GATCGCGCCCCGTTTCGAACAAATCGAGTACAGATAATAATCAACGAATTAAATTAGTTGCCGTCGCGACGCCTCGAATCGAAAACGCGATATTACATCGATTGACGGAATACTTAAAGCCGAAACTAATATTCATTTAAATCCCATTAACTGGTACACGTGCAATTTCGCGTGAAGCGGTCCCTTTTCGCTGTTTCCCATTGTACGGTATATGGAAATTATTGATGGAGTGCGACGGGCGCCGTAATTAAATTGCACCTCTACCTGGTGATTTAATTGTCGTTTACAACTTATTTCGATTTAAAGCGGCGTTATATTAGTCCATAAATTGAACTCGGGTCGATAATAGTCGAAAAGGATTTTTTATCGCGTTTAGGAGATTAATTTTGTGCCCTTTAGGAGGATTTAACTTTACCTAGTCTTTGCTCGAAAATTACAAATTATAATCCGAGCCGACATAATGGAGCCGTTTTTCCTCCTCTCCAGGATTCATAATTCATCATTATAAAAGGTCTCCTAAAATCGAACAAACGATATTCAAAATCCTTTCCATAACTTCCACAATAACGACCCCGCTCTCTGCGTACATCTACGCACGGTATCCCGAAAATGAAATATCCGATATAGTAAATCACATGTCAGGGCACTTATCAAATGAAATTCCGTATTATCCGGGGCCCTTTTCATGAATAACTGATGGCCTTTAATCTTTCCTGACCGCCTTGGCGTTCGGCGTTTCTGCCGGGCATTTCTTTGTGGCATCAGCACGAGCGAATCCTCTCCTTTCCAGTCGGACCGGATGCAAACAGGTGGAAAATCCGGGACGAAACGCCGGGAAATTCGGGGCCTTCGCCTTCTCGCAACGCCGACAGCTACACTTCATTAATTATTGTATTTCCATAGAACGTTAATGTCTGAATTTCGCGCATCATCTATATCATCTTCGGCCTTTGCTGGCTCTTGTGATTGACGTCGGATGTTTTAGAGTTTCTGTTTGGGCCTGGATCGATTTCTACATAATACAATTTTAAGATCATTAAATTAAATGCTCTTTCAATTTGTTTAGTAGGTACATTAGTAACCTACCAATAATAATTCTCTTGCATCACATTATTGAGCCACCTTGTATACCAACGTTTGTTTCGTTTACGGTTTTTATAAAAAAATAGCCATTTTATACATACGCTTATAATAATTTCACGTATATGCGGTCTCGAACCCACCGTGAAATTACAATTTTTGTGCATTGGTAAGCATGAAATAGCTCGCCGGGTTATTTTCATGGGTTTCAGCTACGCGATCTAATATTCGCAATTTTCCACCGTTTTTAATGCGCTTTCCTTGCGCTTTTCCACGTTTAATGACTAGTTAAACAATTAATTGCCTCATTATTATCTTACGTAACGTTCCCGATGCCGGTTCGTTATGGCCCCGAAAAAAATCGTTCACACAATTTAAAATTATTAGCTATTTTTGACAACAATAATCTCTATAATAACTATTATTTATTTAATGATATAATGAGCTCCGACACGTTAGGGTATTTACTACGCCGAGGTAACCTTTATAAATTAGGTCTACTTTCAAAATAGCACGTAAATTTATTAGTGTCTACCAAACCTATCGACCGGTATATTAATTTATCGCATAAGGAATAAAATTCTTCGTAAACCTATCCTCAGATATAATTTTTCTCTGGCATAATAGCGGGAGATATTTTTGTTTGCAATGCAGCGCATTTATCGCAATATCGATTACGCGAGTTAATGGAGCTCCGAAAGTCGAACGGAATTACGGACACGAAATTGATTGATTGAATTATTTAGGGTATCGGTTGTCGTTCAAAAATTACCGATAAAAAAATTTGACGCTTAACGGAATGTTTCGCTAAAGCGAACCTCGTTAGATATCGATGAAAATTCGCTTTATTTCGATTGACAAGTCCAACGCTGGGTGATTTGAGGTTTTTTGAATGATTTAATTAATATACAGGGTGTTAATTAATTGGTTTTAAGAAGAAAAGTTTGTATCAAAATGTGTCCTAAATCTCTTAGTTTTCGAGCTACATGGTGTTACAGTTTTATAAAAAAAAACTTTTGTATAAAAGTGATTTGTATATAGAGAAAATGTATCTTCCAAAGTTTTAGTTTTTACGCAGAGACTTCTTCAGGATTGCAACAATTTGCACCTTTCTCTATACATATACCCAACGTGCAATTCAACTAAACGTTTTACAAAATATCAATAAATGTAGCACTAGTTTCCGCATTTTTTCTACATGGAAAAATCACGCCGATAAATCGAGAGACTTGACGGAACTCTTCTCCGCAATTTTTTTCGCTTTTTGCTCGCGTCGCATGTGGCAAATGGCTCGAAAGTAATACCGTCGAGTCTTGAGGTGCGGGAAAAAATCGCCATAAATTATATTACGAGCGTAATTTGCTTTTAGTTGACCCAAATGTGATGTATGTGTTCTTCGCGCGCCCCGACGACCGGAATTTTTCGCTCGATTTTTTAAATTTTCGAATCGAACCGCCGCGAAAAGAATTTTATTGCATGCTTACAGAGGAAAAAACTGGAATGATCCCAGTAAAGTAACGTTTGCTTGAAGCAGAAAGTATTAAAATTGGATGAGCAAAAGTTTTATCATATTAATAATCATTCCAGTCAATACCTACTTCTTTATTTCGCATGACAAGCGAGTGGTACACAAAACCAAAGAATTAGGGTCTTGGACTAATCTATAGAAACAATTATTTCTCAATTTGAATGGACATGTGTCTACGCCAATGCGTTGAACAATCGCAAGTGGAATTGTTGCGAGATCTACTCCTATGTTATATTAGATATACGGCCAGAATGTGTCCAATAAATTAAATTCGTTTACGCGCTCCGGGGTAGATTATTCAGCACAACGCGAATGGAGCTTTCGCAATGTGAGGTCGAACCCTTCCCGATACGGTCCGCGAACTCGTGACTCATCAATGGAACATATACAGGGCGTTTCCTAAAGAAGAACTGCGTAAAAATCCTCCTATTAATAAGCAGTAATATTTCTAGTATAGGTGCAATAATAACGCAATAATCATACAAGTGCTTTAATAGCAGGCGAAAATCTTTCTTAAGACTGTATAATTGGGCGCGTGATTATTCAAATGCGGCAACACCATCGCCGAAAATTCGAGTTAAGGCGGTCTTAAAGGGATTGAAATTATTTTGAAGGATTTGAATTTATTATCCCGCGCCTTCCTCCTATTTTAATGAATAAACATAAATTATATACCCACTAAGCGAGGCGAATTCGCCCGGCTCAATGGGGGAGAAAATCGAAAATCTCGGCGTTCCCGAAAAGATTGTTGACCCGGAGGTGGCTCATTAAAAATTACGGCTCAATTTGAGTGGATCGAGCGCGAGGAATTAATTTAATACGCATACAAAATACGGCAATTACACCGGACTAACTAAAGGGATTCTAACACTTTATCCGGTAATAATTCCATTGTCGTGTACGAAATCACTTAGTATCCAATTTTTCAAGGGCTTAAAATGCAATTACGGGCCCGTTATACTACTGATCGCATGCAAATCCCGAATATTTTCGCGAAATTCGATTACCTAGCTACTACCCGTGTATAAGAACCTTGCATTTTACATTCCACCCCGAGCGTGTTTTGCACCAACCAGGCCGGGACTTCCGCTGCACAAATAAATTCAAAGTCTCTATTTTAATTTAGAATAAATTTCCTCTTATACTTCTTAAGCTCCGATTGTTCGAGCTTAGGAATTTACTATGAGTATAAAAGGAATAAAGTTGCGCACTTATAGCGCTAGTGTAATAAAGTAAACAACTAGGTACCTTTGTAGGGATATTTAATTAGTGTTTGCTTCAATTACAGGCATAAAATAAATAATTATGTAGATAAAAATTCGAATCCGGCGCTGGGGTAAATGGTTTTTTAACAGAAACGCATTCGAACCGGAGAATTTAACGGTACACAGCTCGGAATTGGTAAATATATTAAATTTTAAGCACCAGACAACGGTATTATCTTCACCTAAACACTACATCAGTTATGGAGTAAATTACTTTTTAATTAAAATTAAATGAAGAGTTAAACTCGCGTTTGGAAGGAAAAACGGAAGGTTTTTATTCCCCGGTTCTGCAGCATCGTCGAAACTAACGACGCATTCGAATTAGTTAAATTAAAAATTTTTCAATTTTTGTTGCCTGAGAATAAGTTCGAATTAAACTAAAAACTGCAACTCTAGCACAGCCAGAGGAATTTATTTTTGTTCACTGTATCTACGTATTTACTTATGCAACAATTTTTTTGATACGACAGGATTAACGCAAACATTCCACATTTGATTTTCGATCGACGAAAAAAAAAATACACTATCTGCACAAAACCCGGTTTGATTAAAAACGCTTTTGCGTGCATGTGCCTCGGCATTTGTCTAATCAATTACCGAATAAATTCCGTGTTATTTCAGGATTTATCAATAAACGAAATGACCCGAAAACATTTCTAACAAATGTCCGGCGACATTTTGTGAAACGTGCCGAAATGCAAAATAAATCGCCGCCCCTTTGTTTACCAGATGATAGTCCGTGATGCGTTTGTGCGTTCCCGAGCTCGATGTAGTTCGTTCGAAAAGCATCAATTTTAGCGACAGCCTATTTTTTCCCAATATTTTTAATCCGGACAATTTAATTCGCGATCCGTACAAATAGGAAATTTTTTATTTTTATAACATTCGTCGGTATTTTACAGCTATTCCATTGCAACAAAAGTACCAACTGGTGATTTATGCGTTGCACGCGAACTTTAAAATACCTAGGTATTTTTTTATTTATGGCATTCGTTGGGAAATTAAATTTATATAAGGTATAAAATATCTCACTATTCAACCCACTCGTTTAACCTAATATAAATTTAATGGAATCCGTCACGCGAACGAAAGGCGTTTGAAAACTTAACACTGTTTACATAATATTTTTATCTCCAATACAATTCAATAAAAAACACAATGGTACTCAGCAACATCATAAATAAATAGACAACAAACGTAGATAAGAGCATTTCTAACGATAATTTATTATTGGATTTCTTCATTTCAGCTAGACTCATCGCCTGGTCGTACTGCCTATCGAATTGCTTGCAAGATTGTTGTACAAAACCTCCTTCCAATAATCTCATCAAATTTAGGTTGAATCTCCTGTAAAACGGATGATCTTTCTGAAAAACCAGTCCGAAATTCAATATAATCTTCGCTCGTTCCTTTATAATTATGTAAAGCAACGATTTTCTTTTTTCATCCACATACTCCTTCGGAATTATGTATTTAACCAATCTCTCCAATCGTACGGTAATCATGTCTTTTTTAAAAGCGGTGCGGTTCAAACACGCTGTATAATGCCCACAAACCAACAATTGTTGGTTTCTGGTCAAAGCTTGGTGGAAGCTTGTGTTAGTATTTTTGTAAATATCCACATAAACTGGCGCTGGAAATCCTACCAAAAACTTATTTTTTATTATATCATCATAGTTTTGTATGAGCTGGGTGTCCAATCCTCCAGTCATAATATCGAACATTTTACTTTTATAGACATTAGTGAATACGATACAAAACACCATGTAACTCGAGAAGATAATCTTCAAAGAAACACTATCGAAAACTAGATGAGACGAGTTTTCCAACACTAAATTACAAATAGCAGGCATTATTGCTATATCAGTTTGATTCGGAATCAACTTCACAATAATCTTCATAAACAGATATAAAACTGGCAGGAGCCCAAAAAACGCTAACCACACCAAAAATTGGTACTCCTCGTAAAAAATACTCCAATATTTCGTACGTACTAAAATCGGTGCTACCCAAGCTGCCCTATCTTCTGCCAAGCTGATGGAATTCTCCACGTCGGGGAAGTACTCGGAGATTGGCGAGGCGTACAGATCGAAGTACTCCGGTACGAATTCCGGGGAAATTCTGAAAGTATTAGCAGCGTAGCGGGATAATGTGAAATTAATCGAGACGTTTAAAGTCGATGCAGCCATTGAAATGATATCGATGAATATACCTTCTCCGTTTCTGATCACGTAAGGTGGATAAAGAGCGCCGAGTACATTCAGTTTGGTGAATTTTTTCGGTGGAATTTGCGCGAAAATGTTGCTGATATTCTGAAGTGGGTTGGCTAGATCGTCGTGTAAAAATAATTCGTACCTTTGATAATTTTTGATGATTAGCAGAATCTTGTTTAGGTAATATTTAGTTGTGAGTCCTTTGATGTCTTCGTTGATTCGATTGTTTGGAAGGATTAGTACATATTTACCTCTTCGATTCAATATGGATAAATCCGAAAGTTTCTTTAGAATATCCTGCAAGTTTCCTGCTATTAAATACATAGTAGGTTGTGTGTAATCAAAAATGGTAACATCAACACTAGAATTAACATTAACAGATGGATAATAAATTTGTTCTTTAACATTCACTACATACACATTTTCGTTTTTTTGCCAACTATCTGCTACAACAGAGTTTAAAATATTTTTCAACTCCAAATCTTCATCACCTTTGACTATGGACGAATTTTTACTAGCACAAATATGAACTATTAGCAACAATGAAAATATAATCATTTTAACTCACGAAAAGCAGGAATTCGAATGTTCTTATTACAGAGAAAGCAATTTCAAGTCATTTGTAGATTAAAAAACGCTCATGACATTAAATATAATTATGCGTACAATAGTCGACTTTATTAATATCATTTATTATCGTATTACTTATGTATTATACTAGGTGTGTAATATTCCTTTAATGGTTTCATAAAGAGAGAATAAAAGAAAAAATGACTATTGACAAAATATGTAAAGAATCGTGCTCTTAAAATCTAACATATTTTCATTTCCTAAACAATTCTATAAAAAACACAATGGTACTCAGCAACATCATAAATAAATACACAACAAACGTAGATAAGAGCATTTCTAACGATAATTTATTATTGGATTTCTTCATTTCAGCTAAACTCATCGCCTGTTCGTACTGCCTGTCGAATTGCTTGCAGGATTGTTGTACGAAACCTCCTTCCAATAATCTCATCAAATTTAGATTAAATCTCCTGTAAAACGGATGATCTTTCTGAAATACCAGTCCGAAATTCAATATCTTCGGTCGTTCCTTTATTATTATGTAAAGCAACGATTTTCTTTTCTCATCCACATACTCCCTCGGTATTATGTATTTAACTAATCTCTGCAATCGTATGGTTATCATGTCCTTTTTAAAAGCGGTGCGGTTCAAACACGCTGTATAATGCCCGCAAACCAACATCTGTTGGTTTCTGGTCAAAGCTTGGTGGAAGCTGGTGTTAGTATTTTTGTACATATCCACATAAACTGGCGCTGGAAAACCTACCAAAAACTTATATTTTATTATATCATCAAAGCTTTGTATAAGCTGGGTGTTCAATCCTCCAGTCATAATATCAAACATCTTACTTTTATAGACATTAGTGAATACGATACAAAACACCATGTAACTCGAGAAGATAATCTTCAAAGAAACACTATCGAAAACTAAGTGAGACGAGTTTTCCAACACCAAATTACAAATAGCAGGCATTATTGCTATATCAGTTTGATATGGAATCAACTTCACAATAATCTTCATAAACACATACAAAACTGGCAGGATCCCAAAAAACGCTAACCACACCAAAAATTGGTACTCTTCATAAAAAATACTCCAATATTTCGTACGCACTAAAATCGGTGCTACCCAAGCTGCTCTATCTTCGGCTAAGCTGATGGAATTCTCTACGTCGGGTAAGTACTCGGAGATGGGCGAGGCGTACAGATCGAAGTACTCCGGTACGAATTCCGGGGAAATTCTGAAAGTATTAGCAGCGTAGCGGGATAATGTGAAATTAATCGAGACGTTTAAAGTCGATGCAGCCATTGAGATGATATCGATGAATATACCTTCTCCGTTTCTGATCACATAAGGTGGATAAAGTGCGCCGAGTACATTCAGTTTGGTGAATTTTTTTGGTGGAATTTGCGCGAAAATGTTGCTGATATTCTGAAGTGGGTTGGCTAGATCGTCATGTAAAAATAATTCGTACCTTTGATTATTTTTGATGATTAGCAGAATCTTGTTTAGGTAATATTTAGTTACGAGTCCTTTGATGTCTTCGTTGATTCGATTATTTGTAAGAATTAGTACATATTTACCTCTTCGATTCAATATGGATAAATCTGAAAGTTTCTTTAGAATATCCTGCAAGTTTCCTGCTATTATATACATTGTAGGTTGTGTGTAATCAAAAATGGTAACATCAACACTAGAATTAACTTTAACAGATGGATAATAAATTTTTTCTTTAACATTCACTACATACAAATTTTCGTTTTTCTGCCAACTATCCGCTACAACAGAGTTTAAAATATTTTTCAACTCCAAATCTTCATCACCATTCACAATGGACGAATTTCTACTTGCACAAATATGGAGTATTATTAACAATGAAAATAAAATCATTATAACTCACGAAAAGCAAGAAGTCAAATGTTCTTGTTACATAGAAAACAATTTCCAGTCATTAGTAGATTAAAAAAAATGATCATTACTTTAAATATAATTAAGCGTACCATAATCGACTTTATTAATATCATTTATTATCGTATAACTTGTATGTATGTATGTAACTAAAAATACATTACTAACAGAGATATCCTAGAAAATAAATTCAACCGTTTTTCACGTCAATTGATCTATTGACAAATTATGTAAAGACTTGTGCTCTTAAAATCTAACATATTTTCATTTCCTAAACAATTCTATAAAAAACACAATGGTACTCAGCAGCATCATAAATAAATACACAACAAACGTAGATAAGAGCATTTCTAACGATAATTTGTTATCGGATTTTTCTATCTCAGCTAGACTCATCGCCTGTTCGTACTGCCTGTCGAATTGCTTGCAGAATTGTTGAACGAAACCTCCTTCGAACAGCCGCATTAAATTTTTATTGAACCTCTTGTACAACGGATGACCTTTCTGAAACACTAGTCCGAAATTCAGAGTAACCTTCTTGTTATGCTTCATCATATAGAGCAACGATTTTCCATTTTCGTCTACATAATCCCTCGGCATTATGTACTTAAACAATCTCTCCAATCGAGCGGTTATCATGTCTTTTTTAAAGGCAGTGCGGTTCAAACACGCTGTATAATGCCCGCAGACCAGCATCTGCTGGTTTCTGACCAAAGCTTGGCCGAAGCTTGTGTTACCATATTTGTACAAATCCACATAAGCTTGTGCTGGAAATCCCATCAAAAACTTATATTTTATCAAATCATCGGCGTTTTGAATCATCTGGGTGCTCAATCCTCCAGTCATAATATCGAACATTTTACTTTTGTAGACATTAGTGAATACGATACAAAACACCATGTAACTCGAGAAGATAATCTTCAAAGAAACACTATCGAAAACTAAGTGAGACGAGTTTTCCAACACCAAATTACAAATAGCAGGCATTATTGCTATATCAGTTTGATTCGGAATCAACTTCACAATAATCTTCATAAACACATACAAAACTGGCAGGAGCCCAAAAAACGCTAACCACACCATCAATTGGTACTCCTCGTAAAAAATACTCCAATATTTCGTACGCACTAAAATCGGTGCTGCCCAAGCTGCCCTGTCTTCGGTCAAGCAGATGGTATTTTCCACATCAAAGGAGTATTTGGAGATGGGGGATGCGTACAAATCGAAGTATTCCGGTACGAATTCCGGAGAAACGTTGAAGGTATTGGCAGCAAAACGGGATAGGGTGAAATTTATCGAGATTTTTAAATTCGATGCAGCCATTAAGATGATATCTATGAATATACCTTCGTCAGTTCGGATCACGTAAGGAGGATAGATAGCACTGAGCACGTTGAGTTTCTCGACTTTTTTCGGTGGAATTTGGGTAAAAATATTACTAGTATTCAGCGGGGTATTTAAATTATTTAGTAAAAACAATCTATACTTTTGATTATTTTTGATGATCAGTATGAGTTTGTTTAAGTAATATTTGTTTATGATACCTTTTGATTCTTCGGCAAATCGATTATTCGGGAGGATGAATACAAATTTACCTCTTCGATTTAATATGGATAAATCCGAAAGTTTCTTCAAAATATCCTGCAAATTTCCTGCTATTAAATACATAGTAGGTTGCATATAATCAAAAACACTAATATTATCACTGGAATTAACATAAACAGCTGGATAATTAATTTTTTCTTTTATATTCACCACATACAAATTTTCGTTGTTCTCCCAACTATCAGCTACAACAGCGTTTAAAATATTTTCTAACTCCAAATCTTCATCATCAGTATACGAATTTGAACTAGTACAAATGTGGAGCACCAATACAAACAAAATTATTAGCATATTGACTTATTAGAAGTATAAATTCGAATGTTTTTAACTATAATATAAACTCATTTACCTATAACTTTCCAAGTAGATTACAAAACGTCCATCATCCTACACACAATTAACTGTAATGTTCAATTGTTGTTTACCTAATACGCATCATTTATTATCGACATAAATACACCATCGAGTGAATTATTATTTTAGTAGTTGATAGATGAGTTAATAAGCTAAAAAACCAATTATGTATAATAATAATTATTCCATTCTCTCCCTTAAATCCTCAGTACAATATGTGCGGAATTAATTATGTTGCTGAGCAGTATTGGCAAATTGTAGTGATAGGCATTGTAATAGGATTCGAATTGTTCCATCAATTAGCCGTTTAATGTTAAATGTTTATCATGATTATTGAGGTACGAGCCTATTGTAAGATAGAACAATAGGATTCTTAACATATTTTATACAGTACATTGAACGCAAGCGAATAATCGGAGACCAATAATTTCGATTCGATTCTCTACAACTTTCATCCGAACATTCTTTATCTAAAGCACCTTGTTTTGGGGATTATTGGGAGTCGTAGAAGGAACGATCCAATACAGTTCGTTGATTATTTTCGTTTTCTCGCTTTGATTTAGCGCTTTCCGCTCCGACTCGTCCTCAAAATATACTTTATGTACCCTTTCAGGACTGCCGCTCCGGACCAGATACGGAAATCATTAAGGTCTTTTCGGGCTAAAGCAACTTAGAGCGATAAATCGCCCGACCGGCTTTTGATGCCTCCATATCGAAGAGGGTATGGTTTATATTTATTCGCGAAAGGAGCGCGCAGAAAAACAAAAATAACGACTGTGCAAATTTCTACATGCCGCAGGGAATAAGGTAATTTAGATTTCGAACGGGATCGAATAGATAGTTAAACTCCGGGCGGCGTAATACAGAAAAATTCCGGACGATTGTTTCTGACAAGTGCCACGCAATCCTTCCCCCCGGCGCCGGAATTGGAAATAATAAACGTTGATGGATGGCGACAGAAAAGAATTGTCTTTCCGAGGATACGGCAATCTGGAGTTAACAAAAAGAAACCCGTTGGCAGTTGGAAATTCAATTATTTGATAAGAATTACAATACCTGCACTGCACCTTTGTGTGCTCTCCAGCTCCGAACCGGCATGGACGTCACGCCTCGCTCCCCTTCCGAAATATCACTTTTTTTTTAATTAAATATTTTTACTTATTCAGCAATACATAACGCGTTGAGGTTTCGCTCTAATTACACTCCGCATTTTATATTGCATCTAATAGGTGGAATTGTATTGGTATTCGAGCGGGTTTAATTATACAGGAGACACGCCGCTGGGCCATAGAGAAGGACTCCATTCGAGCCGGGGAGTTGACTTTATATCCATTTATCGGAGTAATCGTTTGGAAATTGGAGAAATAGTGTTCGTACGAAATCCGCGTACAACTTCATTCGAAGTACTGAAGTATTGCTTAGTCGTTTTCAGCGAACGAGCGTTGTGGAAATGCGACTTTTTCCCCTTTCAGGACGAAAATAACCGGCTAGATATTTTTCGATTTATTTCGACGGTTTTACGATTGCCTCTGAACATTTTTAATAGAGAAAACGGAAATATTTAGCTCGCAGAGAGGATAAGGCTCGAGTCGATATTAAATTTTCTCGTTATCGCGAGGCTCTAATCTAATAAATCTAGGTTTATTTGTCGACGCGGGATTGTAAGTACAAATTTATTATTCGAGTATTTTACCTATAAAGAATACATAACAATTTAATCCTTCGTCATCCTACAATGGGGCAAAGTCCAAATATCATTTTCTCTGCTTCAAATACACGCACTTATTATCAGCTAAAAAATTAATAGCTTTGTATTTACACAGTGAATAATCTAAACTCTTATAATGTTGTCATTGATAAAAATAATCGCGCCAGCCGGGTCAGAGTCAATTCAACACCTATAATTATACGAGTAAAACCTTGTACAGATTATTCAGTATACTCCGCGAGCATCAAAATGGTTAAAGCGAAAAAGTTTGTGTTAAGGAAAATCTTCGATGGTTTCCCTAAAAAAGAAGACATGAGTTTGGAGGTGGAGGAGTTGCCTCCTTTGAAAGATGGGGGTGAGTACTGGAGATATCTACTTGAATTTGTAGATATATTAATAACTTAATTTGTAGAATTTTTGGCTGAGGCTGCGTATTTGAGCGTGGATCCTTACATGAGGGCGTACGTTAAACCAGAGACTTGGGTGTTCTCAGAAGAAGCTTTCATAGGAGGACAGGTGGCGAAGTGGGTTTGAATTTATAATTTAAAAATTGTAATAAATTGGCGTATTTCTCGTAGGATTATCGAGAGTAAAAATCCGAAATTTCCCGTGGGAAAATACGTGGTAGGTAGCTTCGGGTGGAGAACACATACAATATCTAATGGAAACGCTACACTAGTATCAACCCCTACAATTCTATTGCCGGATATTGGAGACTTACCAGTTTCAGTGGCTCTTGGTGTATTAGGGATGCCTGGGTAAGACGGAATATTATAAGAAATTCCCTCGTAAAAATACATAATTTTAGAAACACTGCTTATTTCGGTTTACTGGAATTATGCCAGCCGAAACCGGGAGAGACAGTGGTAGTTTCCGGTGCAGCAGGTGCAGTAGGGAGTTTGGTAGGTCAAATAGCCAAAATCAAAGGGTGCACCGTGATAGGAATCGCAGGATCCGATGAAAAAGGCAAGTGGTTAACCGGGGAATTAGGATTCGATCATTTTATCAACTACAAAACTGACGATGTACAGTCGAAGCTCAAAAAATTAGCCCCGAAAGGTGTAGATTGTTATTTCGATAATGTAAGTACAATAAAATTGTGAAGTGTATATTGTATTACATTAATATTCTCCTTATAGGTTGGTGGAGAGTTGAGTTCTATAGTAATATATCAAATGAACAAATTCGGTAGAATTTCCGTTTGTGGTTCCATCGCAAACTACAATGACACCAAAAGATCACAAGGTAAAAACTCACCCTTATAAAAGTAGTGAGAAAAATTATTTTTTTACTATTCTGTGTAGCAAGTGTGATTCAACCGCCGGTGGTTTCCCAACAACTAAAAATGGAAGGTTTCATAGTGACAAGATGGATAAATCGTTGGATGGAAGGCATCAATCAAAACATGCAGTGGATCAAAGAGGGCAAACTTAAATACGAAGAAACAGTTACAGAAGGATTCGAGAACATGTTCGAAGCTTTCACCGATATGTTGAAAGGAAAAAACGTGGGTAAAGCCGTCGTAAAAGCTTAAATAAAACAGTATTAAACAGTGCGTTATTTGTCTTCATATTTTTTTCGCGATAAAAATAAAACGTCGAGAGCGAAAACGACATAATTTAAAAGATGGATCCGCGTGTGTATGTATATAAAGTAATATAAAATTCCAATAAACATTTCAGGACGAAAATCCTTCATCCTCACTCTCGTGTCGCTTGTTTCCGCAGATGTTCTGCCATCGTGTCAATATTTAACTCGATATAGAAGCGGATTTTTCAACAAAGTTATTTCCTATTGCTTTCATATCACCTTCATTTCTCGCAAACATTATTGAATACATTGCATTTGAGGATGCGCTACGCTCTCCATTCGGAGATCCACACATTTGGCGCGAAATAAAATGAATAATTGGGTAATCAAATTTCCGAGCAAATATTTCACGTTTTTTTTTTCTTCTATATTTGTTTGCTCGAGTCGAACGTTTTTCCTTTGCCGATGTATACTCGATTGCAAAAATAAACTTTCCTTCGAAGATGGGAAATTCTGAATCGGTAGTAATAAACATAATTTCGTGATAAAAATATTCCGCCGCGTCGTTATTTTGGAAAGGGCTCCCCATCAAGCAAGGGATCCAATCTAAAACGTTGAACTGGCGACATTGTGAAAACTCTACAGGCAATAGACCTTTATAGAATAATCAAGGAGTCGGAGAGTGGCTTTATATACGCGTTTTGATGCCGAAACGTCGTAAAAAGCAAATGCTTTATAGCCCATTTGTTACAAGCAGTTCTAATAACATCGGAGTTATCTTTCGAAATTGGAGCGATAGTGCTAATGACAACAGATATATTGGGATATCTCCGGCAAGATTTTCCGGGCCCTCCGTCGTTCTCCCGCAAATACGAAACAAAATTGAACCGTTTACCAGTTGATGGGGCGAAATTAAATGAAGAATATCGCTTTGATTAAGCCCATCGTGTTCGCGAGGGTATCACGATATTCCCAGTTACGACTCGCTTCATCTAAATATTCCAATTTCCTCGACGAGGTTATTGTTATTAGATAGAAAAAGTCGCCGGTATAATACCGGTTTATTACTCGAACGAAATAACTCGTTGTAGAGCCATTTTTCATTTATGTTACGTTAGTTAATCGAACAAAAAATGTCTCGTAAAAGAAAGAAAAACGTGCTCCAATTTACTCGCAAATTACAAGACAATAAATTACGGCCCATTTGACTGTGGGGATAATAGGAGCCCCGTCCACTTTTATTCCCGGCATTTTCAACGAGTCATCGAGTTTCTTTCGGGAATAATTTACATGACATGTCGTAGGTAAATCCAATTAAAACGCCCGATCGAATTTAATCGCTTTATTCGTGTAACTAATAAGGCGCGAGCGAGACGAGAAGACGGCGCGACGGAGAGACAACCTTTTGTCGTATGAATATATCCAGACAATATATTTGAATTGCAAATATTAGCTCATTCCTGAGCTGCCAGATACGCATATTGCACAGTGAAAATGGCGATCCCCGTGGGTGCCTTTAAAATTCTATGACTTCATCTTATTTTTCATATCGCTCCGGAGATCGAGACTTTCTACATGAATTCTTTTGTAAATGGTCGGGGCGCTATTCAACCTATCTTTTTTTTTTGTCCTTTTTTTAACTTTTAAATATGCCTACACAGGGTGGTTGCTAAAGTTATTTGATAGGAATACTATAAATAGTGAAAATACAGTGAGAGTTACTTCATATTTAAGAAAATATGGATGCAACAAAGACTACTTCCATTAGTTTCATATAAAGGAAAAATTTTCCATCCAATTTTCTCATTTTAACCACTGTTATATTAATAATCTTGTTCAACTCGTAGAATTGCAGATAAATTTGTACTTACCAGTATGGGGACCTGAGTGGCTTCTTAGCGGCTCAAACCTTAGGAAAACATTTTTTTTAAATACAGGGTGATTCGCTTTATGTTATAGAACATTATAGAGATATTACAAACAAAATTTGGTCATCAATTGTAAGTTGGAAAACAACCAAACAATATAAAAAATTCAAAGTGTTTACATTTCTCGGATAGTCTATCTATTGAAAATCGAGCTTCAGGCCGATCCTGGTGAATTCGCAACCGGCTCACGTGCAAACTCGCCTGACTGACATTCCTAGCAGGTGACATAAACAATCTTTATGCACATGGATCACGTTCCGACGAGGCGAGACCGTTCTAAACGTGCACACGGCACAACCGCGGAAAGTTTCGCTCAAAATCCGAATCTTTCGCGACGAGATACACACTCGGCTCCCTCTCGATCCCGCTTCGACTTTTTTTTTTCATTCAATTAAGCTCCGAAATAACCGGAGAAGTCGGTCGGGAGGAAGTTTTGATATACAACTCCGCGGAAAGTTCCGAGTTTGGACCCTTATATGAACCGAATTTGCTCCACTTAACATAATACAGTTATTGGCCGAAGTTTCCCGTAACGTTTACCCTTTAATCGCGGCACCATGTGTTACAAGGCCATATAGGTAATATACGATAGTTCGCTTCGCTCTTCAAGCATTACCATAAACTGCGAAAACTTACCGAACTCCAAGCGGGCGCAATATGGAGTCCGCCGGCGTAAGAAGGGTCCGCTCTAAACGAGCTACCCTTTCAACGGCTATAATTTCGCAATAATTTCGCGCGGGACAGCTAGATAAAACTCGTTAAAAAACCACGTTTATTTCACCGCAAGAAAGTTAATAAAGATACCAGTTAACCAATTTATATGCAAATGGTGCAGAAACTATAGGGTACCAATTGTTTCGGTGACCACACAATTTATTTTCTAGCTGACGCTGCAGCGCTACAATCGGGTGTAATAAATCCCTCGCAATCTGATTTCTTTATCGACACACACACATACATACGAAAAAATAGAGTGGTCGTAAAAGTTCACAAAAAAAAGCTCTACTTTGTTCATACCCACGTGTAAACGTGCTATAGAAGACGTGATTAGCCCGAAATAAAACAAAAAAGGTAAAGTTGTATTAGTTCGAAAAGCTCTTATTGTATGTATCGCTAAAAATAATACCGGATTCGACCTTTGTTCTACCCTTTGTTCCGGAATCACTCCATCAATGTTTGGAGTGGTGATCTGACTGCGTTCGATGCTCCCGATAATGCGGCCCGAAGAGGATTTGCCAAAGAGGATTCCTTTTTGGTCACATTAAATTAGAAAGGAGCTTTAAAATTCCTGCCCTTGCTGCGGCCCGCCCCGTTTCGCTCCCCTTTGTTTCGATCCGGACCCGGTCAGATAAATTGAATTTTCTTTAATCTCCGTCTTAATCGAATCTGGATATCGGCCTTTAAAGACGGGAGGATCCTCGACGTTAGGAAGTGGATCGACGTCGAACTGGATATATCCGCTTTTGAAAAAAGTAAAGGACATTACCTGTTCGCGACTAATACCTGTATTCAATTGTAATTAATGGCGGGTTTTAATTAGAATGTTTACTTTAAGCGTATAATAAATTAGATATTTCCATATGAATAACGAGGGCTCGATTTCCAAGATAGCTATAATTACAGTTATCGATGTAGATGTGATAAACAATCGATTGTTCGTAGTAAATTAATAGCTGGATGCATTTTATTATATTGTATATTTGCTGGCATTGGTGCAAAATTGAAAACACGACCCAGTTGGAGAACCGTGTTAAGGTCAATGGCGAATGCACATGAATTAGAAATGATTTTAATATTTATAAGTAGATTGGAGTTGTATTTTTCTTTTAGAGAATACATAAATAAACGATTTTGTCGTTGTCTCGACAGCACAATCGTTTTTGCTCGCCCAACCCAATTCCGCTTTTCGCTCAAAAAAAAATAAAATCGTAGGGAATACGTTCCATATTTCGCTCGTACACTTTCGTTAGAATTTATAAGGGAGGTTATTTCGAAATGAAGAATTATGTATTTCCCTTATCGCCCTTTGAACTTGTAATATAATAGGTATAATACATTGGAGAATGTGAATGATTTTAGTAAACAAACCATGCAAAGCGGATCCCTCGCCCTTTATTTAACAAAATATTCCCGGAGGCCTAAACTTTTAATGGAAAACGAACGACTGTAAATAACGACGTAGAATTAGGCGTATAATTTTGCGCTCGTTCCTCTTCCCTTCTATTCGGGCCTTTTTTACCCGAAATAAAAAAAAAAGTTCGTCTCAATTACCTCTAAGCGGTATAATTTAAATGTTACTAACCATAAATTCGTCATCTACAGCTCTCTATAGCGGATTAGCGACGAACGTACTCCACATACATCAGAGATTTTATTTTCCTCATTTTCCATCTTTCCTTTCCGGCAGAAATACACGAAATGAAAAACGCATTAACGTAAAATTCCGCTGGATTTACTCGATGCATTCGTCGTCAAATCCGAATATTTCACCGAACGTTGCTTCCGCGTCTTCGGTTAACTCTATCTTAATGTATTACTTCGAGACTTCCAACGTTAAAGCGGAATTTATTCTTTCAAATATCCGCTACTAAATGTCCCCAGGAATTTATTTTAGTAAAATAGGTTCCTAACGAAAATACGTCAATCGAAAATGCGAACGAAGGAGGATTCTATGCCCGTATAGAAATAGAAATCAATGGGAGGTATCCGGTTGTTTTTTTTATCTGGGAATTGTTGAAGAAGTTTATTGTACAGGTATTTCCACTAAATTAGTTCTATTGCCTTAAATAATTGTTAATAATAGCGATTGGCGCGAGTAAGTATAAAATATTTGCGAAATTAGTAAAACTCTGAGCTTTGTTGCAAGGTCGATGAATGCCGTTTGAGGATTTACAAACGCAAATTTCCGCTTCTTTGCCTTCATCTAATTTTTGCTTGTAGCAACCATTGTCTATGAATCCTCCCTTGTGTTGCTGCACCTTTGCGCACGTGTAAGTTACATTAGCAACTGTAAAAAATTGACTACAATCACATCATTACTTACAAAAAAAAACCTTTATAAATACTTACTGTCATTATTTAAAAAATAAGTGTACTTCACGCACCGTTGATTCTCGCTCCTCTTGCACAATATACTAGTTTTGTGGTGTTCCCACAGGTAATCCAAATCCGGAAAACTTCCGTTATCTAAAAAAATAAATTTCATTAACACCCTCCCGGGTCGTCGAACGCAATAAAGGGAACTGGTGAATTGTACAAAGGACGAATTTGCACCAAAAACGTATCCCCGGACGACGCTCTGTCCTGTGTGTGTTTGTTCCTGTTGTATGTAGATCGCCCAATTTTACCACGTCGATTTATTCGGAATAAATCATTGCACAGTAAAACTCGGTTAGCTCAAAGAACCGAACAAATTACGTGACTTAATAAAGGGAAAACGACGCGGAGAACTGACACGAGTTGTTCTGATTCCGGCACGATAACGTACCGATCCATACCGGCATTAACATGTCGAGCTGCCATTAGAAACTGCGAACAATTAAATAACTATTCCTTATTACTCCCGCATCGATTACATTATCCATCCAACACCTATAGGTTTATCTGGTACCACATTAGCTGCGAATTGCGATGGAACACACGCATTAGTTGACTCTATAATGCCGGACAAATAACTCGCATGCGGGAATTTTGCATTATTCATCGGTAAAAGGCGCATCGACCGTTCAATTTCAATGGTCCCATCAGGTTTAGGGCATTGTAGATATGCGCGAATAATCGATGACTTACATGTAATAACAATGGGGGCAGCGCACGGTACACCGACGGCCCTTTTCTCGTCCAGATAATCAGCGCAAGTGCCATTGTATCTGGTTACGTTGTCGAAGTCGGGCCCGAACCACGTGAACTGGAAACAATAGGGCCAGTCTGGCTGGAGTTTTGGATAGTCGTTATCTGTTGCATTATCGGCTGCTAATAACGAATATTGTTTTTATTAAAAATGTTTTACTGCAGGTAGTATGTTAGGGGAAGAAGTCGATGGAGATTTCAGGTGTGAAAGATGAAGGGAAAAAGGGAAATTGTCTTGTGTAAACATGTTGTGGAGTAACAGAGTGCAAAATGAGGAATAATAAGAGGAGAATCAGATAAGATTAAAGGCATAAAATGAGTAAATAGGTGTATGTTGCACAAATATATTTCATACAAATAAATGTTGGGTTACTATACCAGAAAATAAACTGATGGGATACTGGAAGAGTATTAGCTATACGAAGATTAGCTATACAGGAATAAATAACACAGTATTTGGTGGATACTTGATATTAAAAGAGAATATGAAGATCTGACTATTTATATACGAATAATGAAGTATATTATGTACTTACAAAGACATTTAGTTATATAAATACTAATAAAAATTAACACTAAATACCAACGTTGAGTCATTTTACCTATGTTTTACAATTGGCGTCGCATCATCATCTTCCAGGAGTATTGATTAAAAAAATTAATCAAATCTTATCAATTTGGAGATAAGTTAGATAAAATTTCTTTGATATATTTCTGGAACTTATTAGACAGTACATCCGGTATTTACCTGCTTATTAATCTCTAATTATTGTTTTTTTTTAATTTTTTGACATTTGACAATAATAATATCATTCTTTATGAGATATCATAACGCGCACTTACCTAACATTTATTTAATTATAATTTATTTACAAAAAAAATTAAATTTGAATTTAAAAAATTTTTTAAAACATGCATGTGCTGCTATCTATTACAAGAACTGTTTAAATTATACAGTTTTCTTTTCACAATTACAGTAACCAAATAATCCATAAGAAAAAGGCACAACATTATTCAAACGCCACTTGTCAACAGAGTCAAAACAAGTCATCAATAAACGTCATTACTGTCAAAAGTGTATAGATTTTTAGGTTATAAAATAATAATCGAAAGTTTGTGAGACGTGTCTTTACTAAAAATCTTTTCCTTAATTGTACCGGACATTCGGAAAATATGCACTCGATTTTGCAACGAGGAAATTCCATATTAGCTTACGCTCTGAGCGTTTTAGCTTGTTTAACTTTCATATGTTTCGCTTCGACCGTTCTCCTCAACTATGTTACAGATGCTAAGATGAATACTGTAAAAGTTGTTGTGTAAGTAGAATATTCCCGATTGTGTACAGTTTTAATGATAATTCCCTGTTATATCCAGGAAAAACGTGCCGGATTACAGCGCAAGCAGAGAAAGGAACGACTTGGGTTTCCTCACTTTCGATTTGACCACTAACCTGACTGGTTTGTTCAACTGGAACGTTAAGCAGCTCTTCTTGTACCTGACAGCCGAATATAAGACAGAAAATAACGAATTAAACCAGGTAAATATTACATTTAATATGTGTATGAATTTTTAATAACACTTATATTTAGGTTGTTCTTTGGGATAAGATTATCCTTCGAGGCGAAAATGCTGTGCTTGATTTCAAAAATATGAATACCAAATACTATTTCTGGGATGATGGTAACGGTTTAATGTAAGTACTCGAACGTATATTAATTTATAACTTTATTATAACCGAGAAATTAATTTTACAGAGCTAATAAGAACATAACTCTAACTCTCTCCTACAATATTATACCAAATGCAGGATTGCTGCCAAATATTTTCGCGAAGGGAAGACATTCTTTCAAGTTTCCAATGGAATACACCACTACTAGGATGTAATTTACTATTTATATTTATAATAAATACAATATGAATTGTGGATTTGTAATTTTATTAAGTATCAAGACTAGAGATTAAAAAAATCAACGATTTTATTCGAAAAGTTTAAATAATAATTATGGTGAGTAAACAAGTATGTTACAAATTATGTGAGAAACTAATCGAAAAGTACAAAAGTTTAATACAACTACGTAAATTTATAAATAATAAATACAGTTGAAGAAAACAAAAACTTAATTTACAAATTAATAAAATATCTTAGAATTTATGTCGAAGGTTCCACATCCGTTTGTACATTTTTATCTTCTGTTTTGAGGCTTCCACACCTTTGAGCTATCTCTAACATTTCCCTTAAACCCTAAAAAATTATTTAAAATAACAAATATTGCTGTTAAACCCGATTTTACACGAACCTGATTTTCAACTTTCAACATAGACACAACCTCCTGGTCTTTAGATTCCCTGTTTTCATCAATTAGAGCCGCTTTGTCCATCACAGCTGCCATTTCTTGTATTTTCTCAGCCTGCTGACGGATCACTTCGTTATATTTCTTCTCCTGCAGAGTTTTGAAATTAATTTTAGACTTGTAGATTTCCTCGTTGGTGTGCTGCCTATATTTAGACATGACATGCTGAAGAGTTATGTGGTAATCCTCCAGAGCGGCTCTAAGTTCTCTATTCTCCTGCTGGATCTCTCTTAAATGCCTGTTCTCTTTCTGTATATTCGCTATTAATTGGGAATGTGGCCTTTGATTCGCAACTTCATTCAGCTGCTCTACTTCTTCCTGAAACTACGCAGATTTCGCAAACATTATTAAATGCCCTTAATTGTTTAAAACGTAGTTATTCGTTAATTATCGACTCACCTGTTTCATGGCGACTATTTTTTTATTAATTGCGTGGGTTTCGTTTAGCAATACATCAGCCACCACATCTCTGTCTTTTAATCGACTGGCCAGGCGTTTTGCGTCGGTAATTATTTGTTGAATTGTGAGAGACATATTTATGAGGTAACTGTTTTCACTGAAATGGAAGAATAAAGATCGACGAAATCGAACGTACACCTACGGACACTTTCGAATTTTAGGTCGAGCTCGAATGAAATTTTAATCGCCCAGAGGACATGACATATTTTATAAAAAATATATTCTTTATTTACAACATAGAATAATAATTGATTGGTGTGACGTTTTGTTTGACACTGACGTTTCTAATTCTATTCTAATCTTGCCAGGGTGGCCAACTTTTGAATAAGAAAGTGTCGCATGGAATAATGCAATGTGATTGGTGGAATTGTAATTTGACACATGATTTCTGGCCAATTAAAAGAGGTTATGTCTTGGTGGTGGTGAAACTGGCTGTGAAGTGTCAAGACTGTCACGAGTGTCATGTATAGCAGATTTTTATCCAAACATCATCCATTTATATTTTTCCGTTTTTGACAGCATTAAGTGACAAAAATTAGTGGACATATGATGTGTTTATTATTAATTTAGCACTAAACTGATAACCTAGGATTTACTCTATCCAGAAATTAACAGTAAGTTGTTCGTATCAATAGCTTTGCAGTATAAAATTGAGAAGGAAATGTCCATGAAACAGTAGAGCAGCAGACCGAGTTTCTCCATTTGCTATCTGAATCTTGGCAGATTCCCAAAGTGTATTTTTTCCGTTGAAACTTCGTAGCATTAAAAAATGTAACATTGTGAATACGTAGTTGAAAATTGGGTTCGTTTCTATTCAATTTGTGTATCTAGAAGCGAATTGGAGACGAAAAAAGTACAGCTAGTAATCTAACCTTGTACTTGTCATCTGAATAAAAGGTAATTGCGTTTTCTTTGTGTACAATTTAATGTATTATTTTCGTTTAATTCAACGGTTTACGTGCCTTTGGAATATCCTTTGCGATAATTTTAGTTTTTTAGTGAAAGTATTGCAATTTGTGAAACTTTCTCTTCCTGTTTCCTACATATTATTCAATTTATTCAGGTGCACACATATGTTGGATACAACATTGCATTGTACTCGCGCTCATTTCACTTTACTGCATATTTAATTTCACATCACCTTCTTAAATTTTATTCGTGTAGTTTTTACTGTTTTTATAAATAGCACTGAAACCATAATATTAGTTCTTCGAACTTCGAACAGTGACTTAACGATTTTTATTTACTTTAACCTACAAAAGTTAAAATTATCCATTCATTTTCGCGAAGAAAATAACTTTTTTTTCGTATCAACACCAATAAATTCAACTTGTTTTCATTGAACCAGTCCAAATTTTGCATCTGAACATGCATCACTTATTCTTAACAATCGTTACTCATAAATAGAAGAAAAATAAATGGAAACGTATCGAAGAATGTGTTTTCCTTGCATCGCTAAAATCGTTGATCAAACTAAACGTAAGTATTATTAAATCAGGTCCGATGGTATCATGGACGAAGCAACGGATGTAGTGATGTCCTCCGAGGAAATCCCATTCAAGATCACCGCCAACGAAGATCCGGCGCAATTCGCCGGACTGGCGTCCAAGATAGTCGCCTCGTGGCAGGATCAGTTCGAGAAACACCTCCTCAGCCACGTCTACTTCGAGGAAGTATGGAGAATCTACGTGCCGAGCATATACAGCCCTCCTCTAAACGAAAGCTGCTTGAACTGGAACTTCAACGAGGAACTGGCCCAAGAGATCCTACTCAACACCTTGGACAGGTTCATTTGCAACGGGGACCCGGAGATCGTATTCAAGCAACTCGACAACCTGAATAAATCCGCCTCGGTGAGTCACGGGAATCTCCTCCTATACTTCTAATTTTAATCGTGCATTCGATAGGTTTGCGGGCGCGTGTTCAAGCTGGGCGAGCCGGCGTATTCTTGCAGAGAATGCGGCATGGACGGCACTTGCGTGTTGTGCATCGAATGCTTCAAGCACTCGGAGCACCGGCATCACAAGTACAAAATGGGGACGTCGCGCGGCGGCGGGTGCTGCGATTGCGGCGATCCCGAGGCCTGGAAGGTGGCGCCGTTCTGTTCCATTCACATGACGAAAATATCGGAGGAGGAACGAGCGAAATCGATTCCGGACGGTATGCTGGATCGCGCGAGGATAGCGTTCAAAACCGTGCTGTGGTATTGCTACAGGCGATTGAACACCGAGGAGATATCCGATTTGAAACTAGGCCTCGGCAACGATAATATATTCGACATTGATACCTACTGTACGATACTGTACAACGACGAGATCCACACGTTCGAACAGGTCATAAGTACGTTAACGAAAGTGTTGAAGTGTAACCAAAGAAATTCCACGGAGTTTGTAACGAACATAGACCGCGAAGGAAGGGCCGTGGTGAAGTGTTCGAGTTTCCAGCATTGCTCCGAATTGAAGCAGGACATCGAAAAGTACACCTCGAGGCACGGCAACAAGCCGATCAAGGTGTTGGTGAATCACGCTCACATAATCGCTCATCAAATATTCGCCAGTAAATTGTTGACGTGGCTGGAGAACTTCCTCGGCAAGGGCGAGTGCTTCAGGGCGATTTTCGCCGAGGTGGCGCTCGAGCCGGACCCTTGCATCGTCAAAGGGATACTGGAGAAAGATTTCAGTTTGTGGAAGAGCGCCCGCACGCAATGGCACCGGCTGCTCATCTCCGGCATGCTGTTGGAGTACGAAAACAAGAAGGCCCTGGCGAAGATATTCACGAAGAACTACGGGCAAGTGATGAAGGATTTCATCAAGGACGATCACGATCACACCTACTCCATATCCAGCCTTTCCATACAATTGTTCACGACGCCGACGCTGGCGCGCGATCTCATCGCCAAAGACGACATCTTGTACATCCTACTCAACACTTTCATATCCGAATGCAACAGGAAGTGCAACAAAGCCGGCAAATTGGAGTTCGAACGGAACCCGTCTTGTCAAACGTTCAAACGTGCTTTATACATGCTGTACGATCTGAAATACCTGCTGGGTTCTCCGCCTGATACATGGACAGACGATCTAAGGAGAAGTTTCCTGCACGGATTATCCATGATGCTGTCGCTTCTCACCAAGATGCAAGGTGAGATTTCGATTTATATTTTGTATACGATGAGTAATTTGTATGTTTAATAGGTATGGACGCAGTGACCCGTCAAGTGGGACAACACATGGAATACGAACCCGAATGGGAATCCGGCTTCAACTTGCACCTCAAGCTAGCCTTTTGCATATCGCTCATAGTCGAATGGTGCAGCACCGATAAAATCGTCCTGGTGAAAGCCTACAGATCCGTGCTGCAAAAATTAGAGGAAAACCCCTGCTACGATCCGAGCGAGGCGCTGAAAGTACGCGAATTGGCCAACCACAGCGCCTCCTGTCTACACTACGACGTGGCTTCGAAACCGGTCTCCATCCACCTGCCGCTCACGCGCCTCCTCGCCGCGTTGCATTTGCACTTGGAGAAGTTCAATTTGCACTTCGACGGCGCCGAATTCCAAGTGCAAAAACCGCGACCGATGCAAATCATGGAGCCGGTGCTCAGGGCGCAGGTGATGATAGCCCAAGTGCACGCCGGTATGTGGCGCCGGAACGGCTACGCGCTCCTCAACACCCTGTTCTTCTACCACAACGTTAAATGCAGAACGGAGATGCTCGATAGAGATATAACTTTGCTGCAAATATCCGCCGCTCTGATCGAAGGCAACGAGTTTCTCATACACATCCTGAACAAGTTCAATTTGATCAACTGGGCGATGTGCGACTTCGAATCGAACTGTCTGAAATCGCCCGAAGAGGAGAGCATCAGGCAAACGACGAACCTGGTGGAGGAGATGCTGCACCTGTTGATATTCATCATCGGCGAGCGGCACATGCCTGGCGTCAGCGACGTCACCGTGGTGGATCGCATCCGCAAGGAGATCATCCAGTATTTGTGCATCAAGCCGCTGCCCCATTCCGAACTGGTGAAAACAGTTCCGGACGATTTGACCGAGCGCGAGACGATCGTCGACGAGGTGATACAGGAGCTGGCGAACTTCAAGAAACCCGCCCAGGGCTCGGGCAAGGGCGTGTACGAATTGAAGGAGGAGTACTACGACGAGTTCAACGTGTTCTTCTATCACTACACGCGCGAGGAGCTGTCCAAATCCGAAGAGGTGCAGCGGAACAGGCGCAAGGCCAAAGGCGAATTGGAATGTTGCCCGCCGCCCAAGTTGCCCAAGCTCAACGAGAGCTTCAGCTTGATCGTGGATTTGCTGCATTGCGACGTGATGTTGCACATCATGCAGATCGTATTGGAAAGGTGGGTTTTCGATTGCGCTTTCATCGTACGCTTTTAATTACCCAATTTTTTTTTGTCATTTAGATGCATCAACCTTCGAGCGATAAGCTTCTCCGAGCAACAATTGCACAAGGTGTTGCATTTGATCGGGTACGCGTTGCTCGAGGAGGAATCTCAAAATTATCCGTTCTTCAAATTCATCGAAAACTCGTCGAAGTTCAAGATATTCTCGCAGATCGAGGAGTTGTTGAACAGCCCGAGGGTGGATTCGCACAAGGATTTGTTGCGTTGGACGCTCAAGAAGTACAAACAACTAACCGATAAGAAGGACGATCAGTTGGAAAATAAGGACGTGAGCACTAAAGAGACCGTCAACGAGGAAAAGGTGGGAAATTTTTTAAGTTATCGAGCAGGTGTTTTATTTGTTTATGTTTAAAAAAGGAACGTCGTTCGAAATTGGCTGCCGAACGAAGGGCGAAACTCATGGCGCAAATGACGGCTATGCAGAAGAATTTCATCAAAGAAAACGCCAGCTTGTTCGAAGAAGCCAGCACAACGGAAATGTACGTGTTTTAAACGATAGAGAAACGCGATTTCAACGAATTTATTTCAGACAAAAACCGAGAACGTCTAGTCAAGTCGAAATGATGGATACCACCGAACTCATCGAACAACAACCGATCGCCCTCGGTCCATCCCAAACCCCTCGATCGGTCGAAGAGAAAACCTACACGTGCATTCTCTGCCAAGAGGAGGAGACCATCACGCCCAACGGCCCCACCATGGTCCTCGCGGCTTTCGTCCAACAAGCCACCGTCTTGTGCCAGCACAAAACCAACGAGACCTTGATGGACGTCAGCAAGCACGATCCGTTGTATTTGCACGCCAATCTGGGCCCCGCCCCGTACACCAGCACCTGCGGACACGTCATGCACTGCGGCTGTTGGAGGGGATTCTTCGAGACTCTCATGATCAAAGAGCACAGGAGACCTTACAGGTACGTTCGTTTACGTTGTATAAGGTTGCGCAATAATACATTTTTTTGTGCTTCGTAGATTGAGGCATCCGGCGAGTTTCGACGTGGACAAGCAGGAGTTCCTCTGTCCGCTCTGCGAATGCCTCAGCAACACCGTATTGCCTCTGATACCGCCGTTGAGCACGCTGCAACCGGCCCAGCGCCGAACCGATTACCTTCCGATCGATCGATGGCTGGAAGGCGTATCGGACATACTCGACAAGAAGCAGAAAATCTGCCACGGCATCTTCAAATGCGATTCGTCGGAGCAGTGCAAAAACCGCCACTGCGACGCGTGCAAATACGCCTCGAACGGCACCAACATCGAACACCACGAGCACGTCGCCTGCGAGGTGAATTGCATGCTGCAACCCCACCAGGTCTTCTACTCGTTCGAATTCCCGCCGGACTTTCCCGACGACGTCAAGCGGCTGTTTCCGCGCGACAGCCCGTCGTTGGGCGTCGTCTACAAGGAGATGATCAGGCTGTTCGCGCAGGTCACCTACACCAGAGGTCTGAACGTCAATCCGCACCCGTCCGACACCCGATTGGCGCCGATGTGTTGGAAATCCTTGGGCTACACGATACATTCGATCGAGGTGCTGCTGCGCGACGCCGACAAGCCGCTGTTGGGCCACCTGTCGAGCCGCCATCGGGACTGCATCGAGAGTTTGGTGCGCATCGTCGGCGCGTTGGGCGCCACGTGGAAGGACAGCGTGTTCATCAACGGTCACGCCGTGCGATTGATGTCGATCCTGTTCGAGCACGACGACGACGGCCCGTCGATACTCCAATGGGACTCGTTGGGTTTGTTGATCAGCCTCACGTTTTCGTTGCCGAGTTTGTCGTGTAAATACGCCCCGTCGCCGGCGCCGACCGGTAACAATTCCGATTGGTATCTGTTGCGAATTGTGTTTATATCGCACGTTGTTAAGATATTAATTTTGATGAAACCTAGTGATCTCAATTCGAGTAGCATGGAGGTGGATAAAGAGAACCCGAACGCCGGGGATAACGAGGCGAAACTGGTCGAAATACTCGAATCGATGGGTAAAACGGGCGATTACAATGCGCATGCTGTGTGGCGGTACGTCCAGGAAGCGACGTTGCCGTTCCTGCGCTGTTGTGTACTCTTCTACCACTACTTAACTGATGTCAACGCGCCGAAATGTTTAACAACGCTAGGTGGCGACACGTTCGCTAACATGTGCTCCTATTTAGACCTTCCGCAGACGCCCTGCGAGGTGTTTGCTTCGGAGCCGGTTCGACGTTTGGTGCGCCGCTGGTGCTCTCACGAAGAGGTGGCCTCGTACTTAAACGGCGCCGAGTTGCAGGTGGTGCGCGAACCGATAGCGGTACCGAAGCTGATCGATTTGCCCGACGACTACAGCGAATTGATCAACAGCGTGTCGACGTTCACGTGTCCGAACAGCGACGAGGACTCGAAGAACCCCTGTATGTGCCTCGTGTGCGGCGAGATGCTGTGCTCGCAGAGCTACTGTTGCCAGACCGAGTTGAACAAGACGCCGGTGGGCGCTTGTAATTTCCACGCGGACAAGTGCGGCGCCGGCGTCGGGATGTTTCTTCGGGTGAGAGAATGCGAGGTGTTGTATTTGGCGGCGCCGCACAGAGGGTGCGTCGTGTCGCCGCCGTATTTGGACGATTACGGGGAGACGGATCAGGGGCTGCGCAGGGGGAATCCGTTGCATTTGTGCCGGCAGCGGTACAGGAAGTTGCAGACGTTGTGGTTGGGTCACGGTATACACGAGGAGATAGCGCGGACGATCGAAACGAGCAGTCACATTATATCTATTCAATGGAATCTCTTATAGGTCATTATTGTTTGGTTTTTTTTTTTTTGAATAAAAGGAAAAGGACAAATTGTGATTTTAAATCCTGAAAGTTGGTTTGCTTTGTTTGTATCGGTCCGGCACACCATCGAGGTCGGACAATGTGTTTTTCGCCTATAAAGAATCTTTTGAAGAGAATCCCGAGTGGTACTATTTATTAAATGTATTATACAAAGTTCAAGTCGATAGTTTCTTCTCTTACGAGTATAACTTACAGGGTGTTTGTGCCAAACTTAAGGAACAATTTTTTGCCAAGATACCATTAGTCAAAAATGAGGTTTTTTTGGCTCCAGTCATCTGCAAAATTTGTTCACCGCAATAACCTCCTTAAGTTTGGCACAACCTTTTTGGAACACCCTATATTGCAGATATAATATTGGTCTCTAGCGAAGCGTTTACTTTAATACCCCAAAAAAAAATAAGAAACTATTTATTTGAAGAGTTCAAAGTAGTGCTGTATTATACATGACATTAAAATGTTTATAAATCTATCGGTTCGTTTTTTATTATTCCTAATCGTACCAATTCCTCTTTACTATCTCGGAATATAGGAATTGTACTTTCGCTTTAGCCACCGGATGCACGTCTGCAATCAGCTTGTCGTTCATCTTCATCACATTGGACTTCTCGCCCTTTTTCGCGAATATGATGAAAACGGACATGAAGATAATTTGAATGAACGACTCGCTCGTGCACTCCTTCAAGGCGACCAGAAAGCGATCGTAAGCGAACGGTTTCACGTCCACTCCCAAGGCCTCCAAAGTCCTCACGAACACCTCGTGGTAGTACCCCAGCAGGTAATCGAAGTGGTTCTGCAGCGTCGGCACGTCCACGCTGGTCGTCAGCAGGAACAGCAAATCCCCGATGGGGTTATCCACTTTGTACATCTGAAAATCCACCAGTTTGTTGCCTACCACTTTACCATCCTCCAATTTTTGCATGGTGTTATTCAGCCACATGTCATGGTGGCAGAGCGTCGCGAATACTCCTTCGTACTGCTTCGGAGGATGACCATCCGCGAACTTCTTCTTATCCTTCTGCAGGAATTTCTCGAGTACGTCCATGTGGCTGCGGCAGAAGACGTCCTGTTGCAGGATCTGCCGGAAGAGACCGTGAGGCTCCGGGAATTTTTGCTGCGGCTCCCCGTCTTTCGGCTTCGGAGGTCCGTCCCACAGCTCGATTCTCGGCGCGATTTTCTCCCGAAACTCCTCGGGTTCCAGCAGCCTCATGGCTAGAGGCACTGCGTGGAACATCGCCAGATCGCGCAACACTAATTTCGCCGTATCGAAATCGAAGCCTGTGTGCCTATCCAAATTCGTGTACCCTAAAACATATTTTACTGATCACCGATCAATTGCATAATGAATATTACCTTTCGATTTCAAATTCTCCAAGATTAGTAAAGCGTGGGAATCGGGCGAGTCGCCAGTCTCCTGCAAATTGAGCCTCTCGCAGACTACTCGCGGGAAAAACTCCAACTCCTGCAATCCGCGCTTCTTCAGGAACGATTGCATGGCAGGCAGGACTGTTTTGTAGAAATCGATTTCCGTTTGGAACACTCGGGCGGTCATGTCGCCCATAAAATCCTCGTGGGTGGTAACGCATTTGGCGCAAAGGTGCAAATCCTCCAGGTTGCCCGTGGAAATGTCTCTAAGCACCAGGTCGATTTTGAGCATGTCGCTCCAATAGTTCTCGCCCGGCGCTGTTAGATTCGTTACGTGCGACTCCGTGAGTTCTTTACCATCGCTGCATAGTTTTTTCTGCAGGAATTCCATCACTTCTCGCTCCTTTTCGTCGAAACTTTGGGATTCTACGTTTTTCTTTTCGTCCAAACTTTGGGATTCTACGTTTTCTTTTTCGTCCATTGTTTGTGATTCTACGCTTTCCTTTTCGTCCATTCTTTGGGATCCTGCTGGAGAATGAAATGCAATTTGTGTGGTTAACACTGGATTGATAGCTTCTATCGAACTGCAATCGATGTTTAAATGTAATTAGGTATTTACGTAATTAAGTATAGATGATATTTAATCACTACATAGATTATATTGTATTATCTAAAAGTAGGTACTGTATTGTGAAAAAAGGGAAATCTGAGTTAAAGTTTATTAATCGAAATTGATAGAATAATGTAGATTAAATTTTTTGAAGATAAGATTTTGTGATAACGAATGTGAATATTTTAGAAAAATTCATGTATAATAAATAGCAGGAATGTATGACATAAATCTATGATAACGTTATTAAAGAGCGTTACACTCGATAGTAAATTAGAATATGTATTACTAAATTTTCGTATCTATTAAATATACAGGGTGGCCAATATGTATCGGGTCTGTGTCTTGAATATACTTATGAAATTAAATAAAATGCATTTCATTCATTAAACTTTATTGAAACTTGGAAATAATCATACAAAATGTCTCTGGAAGATACACAAACCTGATATTGGTCACCCTGAGTATACAGTTTGCCTTATTTTCCAGGTCCAATGAGTTCCCTAGGTGTTTAGTAAACCTCACTCGCTTTTGACCACCCTGAGTATATACAGTTTGTCCTTTTGTCCAGATCAAATGAGCACCCTAGATGTTCAGTAAACCTCCCTCGCTAATCGCCACCCTGAGTATATACAGTTTGTCCTTTCCACTAGGTCCTTTCCACTCATTGCACCTGCAAGACCCTCTCGAGCGACTGGTCAAAAGGTAAGCAAGTACCCGATTAGCAAATTCACTCCGTTTTCCATTTCTGCTCCAATCCAACGGCAGATCCTCGTGGGCTAGTCTCCCAGCCTTCGTTCAGTTTTGTTTTGTACCATTCGCATTCGCTCTTGTAACGCGGTCGCGTCTCCTTTCCTCCGTCGACCACAAAAGTTCATGTGTTGCGATCGACGTCGGATGTTAGCGCGTTAGAATTATAAATAATATAATATTTATTAAAGATTCGCGGGTTTTTAATAATAGACTGGTTTGGATAAATGAAGGTGCCGTGCCTATCGGTCGTTTGTCCAGTGAATTGTATCCGAATCGAGCCCCTTGGGAGGAGACTGTGGTGATTTTTTTTTCGTGTACGAGAGTTTGATGCACTCGGGTTGAATTGGTAAATTTCGTTGTTTTAATTTTTACTCCACTCACCTTGGTTTTGTGGTTTGTTTCTTGTCGTTCTAATTGCTCGATTTTTTCTGTATTTTATTCGAAAAACCCATATTATTACGATTATATTTAATTAATAATTGAGTGAACTACTTTTATCGAAATTAAAAAACAATGAATGAAGTGATTATTCTTATCTGCTGTACAAACAGTAATTAAATTCGTTAAGTTAAATACAATTTAATAAACCTCTAATAAGGGAGCAGTGTATTTTTATACATATTTTTACTAATTTACACCAAAATTATTACGTAATGAAATTATAATTAAATGTATTTAACACTCTTGACACATCTTATTGTTCGTGGAAACTATCTGTGTACATTACATTTTATAACCTTGTCTCTTCTACTTACACTAAGACCAGTTTTAATAAATATAATCCAGACGATTAACCTGTTTTCCGGGTACTATAAAGAAATCTAAGTCGTTGACATTTTTAACGCCGTTCAAAAAATTTACATAATACTCTTCGAAGTGAATTTAATTAATATACTAATTAATTGTACTAAAATTAGCGATAATCTGCGCAAAAATCCACCAATTACGCAACGAATTCTCGTAGACGAAACGACCTAATCCGTTTCTTTCGGATTTTTGAGAATACTCGCGTTCACTTTCACTCGCATATCGCCCTATTTTATCGGAAACCACCGCTAGAAACCAGTCCATGCGTATGCAAATCCACTAAGCCTCTAGGCTAGCGTTACAAAACCCCCCGAGCGTCCGAAACCGCTTAGAAAAATCGCAATTTTCCAACTTATTAAACAATCAAGTACAGCCTCGTTATTTCATAATCCTTACATAAAAAACGATAAGTACTTAAACGTCTCGCGTTCGAAAAAGCGTTCGCGTTTACCGGATAGACTTTTAATGAATTTCTCTCGATGCATCAACGCAATATGCGGCTTGCGAAACGAAATTGCCCGCCTCCATTGTCGATGCCCCTCGCGAAGATACTTCCACCGACTGTTTAGATAAACAAAGTGTTTGTTAATGAAACATAATGGAACGAATGTCGACGAGTTTAATAATACACCAGCTATTGAATCGTTCATTTCGTAACAGTGGCCGATTTCAGCGTAGGAATGATTGTTGGTTCAGATAGGCAGTTACTAGAGGTGGTGTAGGTGCAATTGGTTTGTTATCCGAAGCGTAAAAGGCCGAAGTTGTTTGATTTTTGACAGATTAGTAAGGTTAGAATGTTTTTTATTGCAAGTTTTCAACGTAATCTTGTACTTATGAGTAGTTATGGACCTTGTAAATTCGTCAAAGTTCCTTAATAATTAATTATAATCGTAACAAATATGATTGATAGTTAAAATCATAATGATTAATTAGTGTTACTTTAGCTATAGCAGTAAATACCGCAAAAAAAATCAAAGAAGTAAGAACGATTTGCTATCGAAAAAAAAATCCAATAACTATTCCGAGCATTGTATATCCCATTCGTTCATCTTCTAATTCAATTAGTTTAGTTCCCGAACGAATGATTGACAAATCCGCCTAATGTTTGTCACTATTTCCAGGTTATACGCGGTGAAATGTACAAAATATGCGCCGTACTGGCGATCGCTTTGTTTTATTTGGGCGCTGAGGTGACCACGTTGGAGAACGGCCTGGCCAGGACGCCGCCCATGGGATGGCTCGCTTGGGAGCGGTTCAGGTGCAACACCGATTGCAAAAACGATCCGGACAACTGCATCAGGTAATCTATATCTTTACCCGATTAAATAGCCCAAAGACAAAACAGTTCGTAGGCAAAATAGCACAAGACAAAACCCAAAGACCAAATAGCCTGAGAGGAAACAGTCCAAAGGCAAAGCAGCCCAAAGACAAATTGCCCAAGATAAAATAGCTCAAAGAGAAACTAGCAAAAGACAAAATATTCCAAGACAAAATAATCCAAAGACAAAATAGCTCAAGACAAAACAACCCAAAGGCAAAATAGCTCAAGACAAAATGGCCTACGACAAAACAGCCCAAAGACAAAATATCCTGTGACAAAACAGTTCCAGTAAAATTAAAAACAAGCATTATTTACTAGATATCCAGAGTTTCTAAGACATTTTTCATTATATTCCCTCTTTCAGCTGAACTACTTGAAACTCGCCTAATACTTGTAGTTTCTCTCAAGACAATGTAATTGTCTGGGCTATTTTAACAAATTATCTTCCCTAATAACCTTGCATAAAAACTGTGTAATTAATTAATCATCGATTATTCCGCGAATTGTGGGTTTGGAAATGAATCATTTCGTTTCACTCCGGGCGCTCTTTACTACACTTTGTTCTCGATGGAAACGCGAATGTACAGCTAATTTGAATCTCGCAGTGCAAAGAATCGAATTCGATTTCTTTATTGTAGCAAAAATGAACGCTGGATTGGACTAATAAGGAGAGCGCAAGGCTATCGGTCGAGTCCGGCCTTTCATCTCGATCTGGATTACTTTCGATATGCAATCTAAAATTGTTTATACGCGTAGGCGGTTAAAATAAATAGAGTGGTTTCTAAACAGTCCATCTTCGGCGAGTTTCGTTGAGAAACGGCAAGCATGTATATATTTTTTTGGAATGTTCCAGCGAAAATTTGTTCAGGACAATGGCTGATATCCTGGTCAGTCAAGGATACGCCGGGGCCGGTTATGAATACATCAACGTGGACGATTGCTGGTTGGAGAAAGACAGGAATGTTTATGGAGAATTAGTACCGGATAGAACTCGATTTCCACGCGGAATGAAGTCGTTATCCGATTATGTAAGTATGTGTAAAAAGAGAGGAGTTTAATAAATTTCAAGGCGATATTTCGCATTAAAATATTTCGACTGTTTCATTAAGATTTAACGATCGAAACGTCCCTCGGAGATAAAGCTAAGGATTGTTATTTTTGGAATTATGCAGATTTCGATTTTGGGCATATTGTGCATTGTCTACGACTTTCGACATTATTTTCGCAATAAAAACCGTCTTCATTCAATTCTTTGTAGCCGCTATCGGATAAACAATGCATTGAATTGGACGCTAAAATTTTATAAGGTCGCGATATAAACTTTCCTGAACCTGAATTTGAGAAAAATATCGAAACAATCGAGACATAACGGTAGCCTAGCATCGAGGTCGTTTATTTTTATCAAAAAATTTCAGCAAGTACTGTTATACTCGCGAAAAAAATTAATAAAAAAAAATACCTATTAGAAACAAGTCCAATATCCGCCAAGTCACATATTAATCGTCCACTTTCTCTACCTCTTCGAGCCCGTAATATAATAAATCTTGCAGAAAACCTTGTGTGCAACAAAACTCTGCCCCTCATTTACCTTGAGACATTCTGATCCGCGTTTCCTCGCAGGTGCACAGCAAAGGCCTCAAATTCGGCATCTACGAGGACTACGGCAACTACACCTGCGCGGGCTATCCAGGCGTCCTGGGCAGCCTCCAGAGGGACGCCGAGACCTTCGCCTCCTGGGACGTGGACTACGTCAAACTGGACGGCTGCTACGCCCATCCCAGGGACATGGACAGGGGCTATCCAGAATTCGGTAGGTTCAAATGATCGATCGAAAGCGACCGCCTATAAGCCAGCCTTTCGCAGGGTTCCATTTGAACAGGACGGGCAGGCCGATGATATACTCCTGCAGCTGGCCCGTGTACCAAATCTACGCCGGCATGCAGCCGAATTTCTCGTCCATCGTGGAGCACTGCAACATGTGGAGGAACTTCGACGATATCCAGGACTCGTGGGCCAGCGTGGAGAGCATCATCGATTATTACGGGAACAACCAGGACCTGCTGATCTCCAACGCAGGACCCGGACATTGGAACGATCCCGATATGGTGAGTACAATACAAGAAAATTATTCATGCACAATTGGTGTATGAATACAATTTGGAAATCTCGTGTGAAAGAAAAAGAAAGAGAGATACTTATTAGGCCAATTTTATAAACAGAAGCTCAACCTTTTGCTTAAAAAAATGAAGGAATTGCTTCAAGGTATTTGTAGGTTTTGCTTCGAGGAACCTGCTGTTGCTTTAAAGCAAAAGATTTTATGGTTTTAAAATCTTTGTATAAAGTTTTAGAACATTTTTCTCTTATTTTTTGCCTCTACCGTTTATACTTCATTTTAATAAATATGGACTATTACGTATTATACAGCTGCTTATAAGACTGAGTGATTGACTAATGCAGAATGATTGGAATTGGAATTTCGCTGTTAAAATTAATTTTCTAAAAGAAATGAAAGACTGGGGAAGATTGGAAGCTCTATTACGCAAAGGTGATTATCTATTTAATTGAGCGTTCTCGCTGAAATGATGGCAATTAAGTGTTTAATTCTGAGAGTATAATTTTGGTGTGTTTTAAACGAGACAGCGAAAGTTTAATAACTAAGTACGTACGTAATCATAATAAAAATTCATATAAATAATACATGTTTGTTTATATTAAGTAAATAATTAAAATATAAACACATTACCGGCGAATTAGGATTATGCTTTAATATATTTATAATAAAAAAAAATCTATTTATGAAGCGAAACATGACCGTGAAGCGCCGACAATTAAAAACAGATTCATTATAATATCCATAAAACTGGAACACTTGCCTTGTTACCTTTAATTAAATAAATTGGAAAAAACGAACGTTCGTTGGTTTTTTTTTCACGGAATAATTATAATAATAAAATCGCATTTGAACTTGATTCGAAGGAAATATCGGTTATAGTTTACATAATTATTACACAATTGCATATCGGGTATAATGTACAGGCTTGTTAAAACACAAAATAATTCTATTTGAGACCGTTTATTATTTACAGTTTATTAAATAAACTACATTGACCTTATTTTTCGCAAATAATTACGCTAAAATGACGAATTAATCGTTGATTATTGCGTTGTGATTTATAGATCAAGTTGCATAAGATTGCATTTCGGTTCCGAAATCGACTCGCAAATATTTATTTCTGAAACTCGTTAAAAAAATCTATCAAATTATTTAGTTTAGACTCATTAAAAATTAACTCAAAAAATATTTCGGTAAATAATTTTTTAAACGCCAGATTTATTGTAGGCAATAAAAGTTCTAGTTAATTAACTTGTAGAAAAATTTGTCAGCAAAATTGTTAATTACTCGGTAACATCAATCACTTTTCTTTCTCACGGTTAAAGCGATTTAGGTAAGTTGATAAAAACTCACATATCCTCTAATTCGAGGCTCAATTAAACGTGATTGATGCGAAAGCTAGAATTTCGAGGAAATTGCTCTCCAAATAATTTTTTTAACGCCAACAGTTGCAAAAATACAGAGGGATCGTACGCTTGAGAAATCTCGTGTAGCTTCCTTCATGAATAAAGCATGACACGTGAAAAAACGTATTAGAATATCTATGCTAATGTAGTGTGAAAATCGAAAGTTCTTCCGATTCGATCGGACGCGATAAAACTAGATTGTAATCGATACGAATGAAAATTTTTGCCGGAGAAATTTCAAATAATTTATTATACGACGGGCTGTTTGTCATACATCTTTTTTACATATTCGATGGAATTCGACCTTCGAAAATTGTTATTCGTGTGAGAAAAAAATAGCTTTTCGTGATTTTTCTTTCGAAAATCACGATCCAAACATTAGAATGATTATTTTACGCAATTTTTACCCGCACCTTCATTTCTGGGCGTGAGGTACACACTTCCTATAGTTCATTGAAAAACTTTCAATTCTCGTTTTTTTTTGTTCGTAACTCGAAAAACCTGCACAATGCACGGCGAAAAAACCAGTATTTAGTTTCTATTACATAACAAATTAGTTCAAATATTATTGATTACGTAGAAGAAGATCGAATCTTTCCACTGGAGAGGTATAATTAAATTTTATTTGCCATTAGATGTATGTAATAACTTCAGCGTTTCGTATAGATGTTTAATTAGTTTAAAACGAATTTTTCAAAAGATTTAAAAAAGCTTTTGAAACTTCATTGAATAAGTGGCGCAGTTTTTCCAATCCTCTATATGTATTTTCTTGATGAATGGGAAACCTTGATGACAGTAAATTCGATAGCAGTTAAAACGTTAAACCGACTGGTTAGTTCCTGTTTGATCGATGCACTTTCATATTTTACGTAACTCATTAAAAAGCAGTTACTCTATATCTATATGTGCCATTGACCAATGAATTGCATTTAAATCTGCTGTAAAATCCGAGCTATTTTGTGCATAACATTCCCTCTTACGCGGTATTAAGTCTTGTGCAATATTTTTTTCGAATTCCTATCAATTTTGGTACGAAACGAATTCATTACGCACTAATCCGTTATGTGGAGGATTAAATGCTGTTACTAATGTTGTTTTTTTTAATGCGATTATTTATCTACTTAAGTTGGGAAATTTAGAAAGCAATTATGTATTGTTAATAAAAGGAGTATCATTATCATTACAATGTTAAATAGCAGGTATTTTGTAATAACTTTAATTAGTTAAATTACACAGTCGCTTATAAGTGTCTTTTTTTTTCTAATTCGAATTTCGAAAAGCAATCGTGCGAATTCGAGATGTTCTAATAACGCGAAACGACTTAATAATTTATCATTATTAAACGGATATGTAAAGTAAAAACGAGAAAGTTGCGCACGTTAATAAAATTATAAATATGTCGCAATGACTTTCCATTTCATCGGTTCGCATTTTTACTTTGAAAAATCCGTATAAATTCGTAATAACCCGCGCCATATGGGGACAAAAATTCTTTGTGCAACAAAGTCCATTGCAAAACAATTTAAACTCTTTTTATTGCATACTTACGCTATTAAATAACGCGCGTATGGTTATTAAAAGGATATTATAGAACCGAAAAAATGTGTGTTTTGTGGTACAACTAAACAATTAAAATCGATTCATACGTGCGTTGTTGCTCCAGTTGTTTGTTGTACACGATTATTTCGACTGAAGCGAAAGAGGCTGCGATTAAACGATGATTATACTACCATTTAAAAACTAAAGCGGGGATTCGAAATAGAAAGTCGAGGTGCAATCATCACGAACTCTCGTTGTAAAATATGCACGTTCTGTTTAATATGTAGATATCCTTCTTATTCGCCTATTTTTTTGTGTAATAATAATAAATTGTTCCCATTAAACAGCCGAATACTGTTAATTATTTGTTCCACTCTTCCATCCACCAGATGTTCGTTTTAACGTTATATTTCGTATCAAATAATCTGTTCATATTTACTGTTAACATTTACTTGAATGATTGTGCGCGCCTACTGTGTAATTAAGATTGCGCAATTATTAGATATACCTATTAAAATGTACCGTTTAATATAGTTTTCGAAATGCGATTGCTAATTTTTTTATGGTATTCCAGTTGATTATCGGAAACTTCGGATTGAGTTACGAGCAGAGCAAAACCCAAATGGCCATTTGGGCCATTTTGGCGGCTCCTCTCTTGATGTCCGTAGACTTAAGGACCATTAGGCCAGAGTACAAAGCCATATTACAAAATAGGAAAATCATAGCCGTAGATCAAGATCCTTTGGGCATACAAGGAAGAAGGATTTATAAGGTGATTGATTATTTGTACACAATCGCTCGTCGAAATTAAAACTTTCGCATTTTCAGCACAAAGGTATCGAGATTTGGGCGCGACCGATTACGCCTTTATACCAAAGTTACTTTTCCTACGCCATAGCTTTCGTCAACAGGAGAACTGACGGGACGCCTTCCGATGTTGCGGTCACGCTGAAAGAATTGGGCCTGACATCTCCAACTGGATACAGAGTGGAGGTGAGTAATAAAATTCCGTTTACAACGCTTCAGCAACGATTCCAAACAGTCCAGAACGACTTAGATTGACTCTGGACGATTCTAAACGGTTCAGAACGGTTTTCTAACAATTCAGAACTCTTCAAGGAGGAATTATCACGGTTCAGAACAATTTAGAACGGTTTAGGACGATTCCTAGACGATTTTGAACTCTGTATGGCAATGTGTTAACGTGATTAAGGGACAGCCTGTATAGTGAAAACGGCATTATACAATTTTGTGTCAATTTACTTCATTGTCGACATAATTATTACACGCGAATGAATCGAACAATAAATACGCGTGTGAACCGTTTCGATATGAATCGCGAGTAAAACGGTTTTCGTTTTGTCAACACCGGCCGTTTTGTTATCGCGACTTTCTCGCATTTAATTGAATATTCGCGCGAAAAAAGTCCACACATTATTATACAAGAAAGCCTAAAATTACTCGTTTGAATTGCATACGTTTTCCGTTCGGAATTGTCTATTTTTCGAGACGTAATAAAGGGATTATTGTTTCGAATAAATACATCCTTCTACGAGTAATTACCGGCATTTTTTTTCCTCCTAGGATTTGTACGAGGACGTCGATTACGGAGTGCTGTCGCCACAAACTAAAATCAAAGTAAAAGTGAATCCTTCAGGTAAGATATAAGAAAAGATATAGAAAATATAGAGGGTGTTAATTAATTGTACATTAATTGCACCCAGTACATATAGGTATGTAATAAACAATTTTTTTCAGGCGTGGTGATCCTGAGGATGGACGTACAAGCGGATTTCAGCAAAAGGATACCGTTCTATTCCACCCAACGGACCCCATTCAATCCTTTAAGCCAAGTGTTCAGGGTGCGTGACGACAATAACGAGTTCAAATAGGTGATAAAAGAAAACGCAAGTAAATTATTAACTTAGTTAGGAATATTGTAAGATATATTTTTAATACGATCGTGAAATATAAAAAAAAATATGTTGTTTTCTTAAGATTCATTTCAATCCATGACGTACTGGTAGCGGTTTTTGTCGATTGTAATCGTAATGGCGAGTCCTCGCACGTTTTTCGTCAATCTCGTACAACTTATTGTACCTTCGATTACCTCACCTGGAATTATTACACATAAATCACATCCTAAAGTATCGACTCGATTAATTATCACCCTCTATTTACCTTGCTTTAGAGTTATAGGCTCCCCTAGGAAGAAAACCGTCTGTTGCCAATGGGTTTTCGTAGCCTGTGGTCCGGTGGAAAACTCTATTTTATTATCCAAATCGAAAAACGTATCGAAATAGCCCGCTATGGCCGTCAAATCGCCATCTTTGCGGGCCGTTAAGTTGAATTTCGAGCTGAATATGCAGGCGTTCACGTCGCACTTTCTCAGATTTATCTCCGTTATTACTTGGGAATCTGTGATGAGCTTATCGTCCGGTACAATTTCCACGAAAGCCTCCTTGATTACTTCGCTTTTCATGCATTTCATTGAAAACCCGTAGACGTTGTCCCAGAAATTGATTACTTTGTTGTACCTATCTGGAAAAATAAGATGCTCGTTTAATATGGGGATTTAAATTTGGTTTTTTTATGGATTACCTGTATCACTAACACCGATTATGCTTATATTGCATCGATTAGGTAAAATTAAACCGTCTTCTTTTAAATAATTGTCTCTAGCGTAAATAAAACTATCCAGCATTCCTTCGAAGAGAAGGAAATAACCCATCCATTCGGATACTATTATATCCACTTTTTCTACAGGTAAATTCGTCTTTTCCAATTGTCCTCTTATCAAATGAATTTGGTCCTCTAAATTATTTTCTCTAAAAAAAATAACACTTTTTTATCTTCTATTAACTATTTTCCTCAAACTAATTTACCTAATAATATCCATAGCTTTGTAAATCACATCAGATTGGTCGATTCCGTACACTTTGTGCGCTCCAGCTTTGGCTGAAAACATAGACAAAATGCCTGTTCCACATCCCAAATCTAAAACGATTTTATCTGCGAAACAATTACTATTGTTCAATATGGCATCCCTGTAGCTATCAGTCCTAACTGTATCCTGTAAAATACACATTAGATTCTTATTATATTTCGAGATTTAAATAATTACATTGAGCATTTCGTGGTGGATTCCGAAATGGGAATAGGAATTGAAATAATCGTTACTATCACAGCCCGATGAGACTACATTGTGCGTTAGTTTCTTATCGATAGAGTCGCCGGATTCTACGATTGTCCTGGTTACTTTTCTCATTTTCTCCATATCCCTTAAATAGTTCTCTAACAACATATCTTTATGCCTCACCTAGGGAAAGTTTACTTATTAATAAACTAATCGAGCTGTTTTAAATAACCTTACTTGCATCGTTAGATCTTGTATTTGTTTCTGTAGATCAGAAAAGTTTATGTTACTGATTGGAGTTTTACCGTCTATAGCGTAATGTGGAGTCGATGGGGCGCTGCCCAAGTCATCGAAATCTACAACAAACAATACTTAATTTATAGGTATATGATATATTAATGTGAAACTAACCGTACATAAGCCACGTTTCCATTTCACCGGGTTTCAAATAAACATCGTCCTCCCACAAAGCGATCGAAGACTCGTTTAGTAACTGCGGGTCGGGTTTCTGGAGTCTGATGTAATTGATCATTTTAATGTACGAATAGCAATCCATGTTGTACTTGTTCTTCAACTCTAACAGATCGAATTTATGATCGGATCGGCAGTGATCTAACGCCACAGCTATTGTGTGGAATTGTAGGGGACAAAAAAGGCAAGTGGTTTGTTCGCCGCTGACTTCCATTTCGTCCCAATCATCGGAATCCTCTTCGTCGTTCGCGGGGCCGCCGGAGCACGCGTCCGATAGAGGCGGGCAGTGCAAATCTACGAATTAAAATTGAATTATTAAGGCGTTAATTAGTTGTTTGGCGAACTCACCGTCTTCGACAGACATTTTATTTACAATTTGCTCAAAGAAAATTATAAGAAACTCGTTTATCGATTAGTTTGAAATTGAGTTAACCTAACAAATTCTTCTTTTCTATTTTTTTTTGACAGTTAGAATGATAAACTTCATATGTCATTCTTGTCAATGTCGAAAATCTCTTTAGTGCTAAATTATTAATTCGCATGCTTTATTGTTCACGTTTACGTTTTGTGAGAATAATTAGTACAATAAAGTATAAAAAACACAATTGAATTGTTGATTGACAAAGCAGCAACCAAATTAGTAGGTCAATTAAACAACCAGAGAAAAAGAAGAAGTTTGTGTTTTATCATAAAAGTCAAAATTCGAAATGTCATTAATGTCAAACACATCGATTGGCGATACTCGTGAGGTTATGTTTGATTTTGTTAATTTTACTATTAATACATTAAATACTATATATTCAATCGATGACTAAAATTTAATAAACGAAACAATGTCCACGTCCATGGAAGATGTGCTTCTGCAAGTGCCGCAGGTTCGATATAAAAAAGGGGACGGTACTCTCTTTCTCATGGACCAAAGGCTCATTTGGATGGTGGAAAATAAAGACACCGTAGCCGTTTCGCACCTTTACGCCGATATAAAATGTAAGTGAGATGATTGAGCGAGTTTCCGAATTAACTTTATTGCGATTTTAGCTCAGAAAATCTCGCCCGAAGGCAAAGCCAAAGTTCAATTACAAGTAGTTCTTCACAATGGCGTCTCTTCGACGTTTCATTTTACCAATAAATCGGGAATGCCGGCTCAATTGGCCGATAGGGATAAGGTTAAAGAGATGCTTCAAACGTTGTTGCCTAAATTCAAACGAAAAGTAATTAGAATTCGATGGATTCGATATGGGAATTAAGTACGTTGTTTGTAGGTAGATAGAGAGCTCGAAGAGAAGAATAAACTTCTATCGAGCAATCCCGCCTTATTACAACTATATAAAGACTTGGTGATGACTAAAGTGGTGACATCGGAAGAGTTTTGGTCTCAGCACGCTCAACAGTATACTCAAAAACAGAATCAACAATCGCAAGAAATTGGTAATTATTAAAAAAAAAGTAGTAGCTTTAATTGTTGAGTAATTATTTGTGATATTTCAGGTGTATCGGGAGCTTTCCTGGCCGATATTAAACCCCAAACAGACGGTTGTAACGGACTTAAATACAACATTACACCCGATATTATCGAATGCATTTTCAAAACATATCCAGCCGTTAAAAAAAAGTATATCGATAACGTTCCTTCTAAATTAAGCGAATCTCAATTTTGGACGAAATTTTTCCAATCCCATTACTTCCACAGGTGAGTAAGAAAGATCCTTTCGAGACGATTATTTACTTGAACGTGTTGTAGAGATCGTAAATACGCAGAGAGCAAAGACATCTTCACCGAATGCGGCAAAATGGACGATCAAGAAATGAAGAAAGACATGCAAATAGGCGTCAACGATCCCTTCATCAACCTAACGGAATTCGAAGATAAAACCCTCGACGATGGGTACGGAACGGGCTCCGATGTGATCAGCAACAGCGGTACAGTCAGCCAGGCAATGATCAAACGGTTCAACCAGCACTCGATCATGGTGTTGAAATCCAGCAAAAACAAATCGTCCGATCAGAATAACACCCAGCAAAACGGCGCCGTCCAAACACTAAACGGGGACACCAACAACTCCGAGCACATCGTCAAGAAACAAAGACTCTTAGAGAAGATAACGTACGATGATTTAGAGGATGCGGAAGTGAATAAAAACGCCAAAAACGTTCAATTAAACTTATCAAAGGTGAAACTTGTACACTTAATACGCGCTATTCTACCATCCAAGTTGCTTGGTTGTTATTCAGGTGGAGAGATACCTTCACGGACCGATGCCCGATACGAATAGCGACTATATAAATTCGAGCGAGGCGTCTCTGATCCTCCGAGGCGTGATGCAGGAGACCAAGCAGTGGACCGGCAGGAATCAAACTACCTCGTTGGTGACGCCGGCCGCGGCCGTCGGGGCGCTGGGCGAGCTGTCGCCGGGCGGGGCCCTCATGAGGGGTTTCCAAGAGCAGTCTTTGGCTCGTGAGTGGCTCGATGTGGTATATTATCGATTAGTATGGGTTATAATGTGTTGTTTTTTTTGTTAGAATTGGTACCGAGTGATATAGAAAAAGAAGTTAGAAATCTCTATTTCGCTTTGTGCGAATTGCTGAAGCACTTTTGGAAATGCTTCCCTCCTACGACGCCTACGACCGAAGCCAAATTAATTAAAATGCACGAAGCACTGCACAGATTCCATACTGCCAAATTAAAACCTTTCGAGGTAATTCGAAACGCTTATTTAATGCATTCCTCGCCCTGTATAAAGAAGTTTATAACCGAACCGTTTTGTAACGAACGATTAGATATTTCCGAACGTGGAAACGTTGCTTAATTGAATCTGTTTGAATGTTTAAAATCGGAAATATATCGTTGGTTAAAAAACCATTTGTTTATAAAATAAACTTCTCTTACCTTATAATTTGTTGTTATTTTTTTTTTAGGATAAACTGTTAAGGGAACTCTCACCTCTATCGCATCATCTCACGAAACATCTAAATCAGTTATTGAACGCGGCCTATCAGAAATTCAATAACTGGCAGAAGATCAAAAACCGTTGAAGCTCGAAACTGCCATAAGTATTTGTTTTTTTTTTGTCAAATCCGATTGGGGTACTGTTAGCAATACGAAACAATTTTACAGCAGGTATCGCTACTATTTTTTTAATGTCAAAAGTATTACGTATACCGCGGAACGAGTCGACGTTTATCCACTGGAATTTTTATGTTCTTATTATTAATTTATTGTTTACTGTTATTAATAAAGATGAAGAAAAAAATCAACGAAGAAATGTTTATTTGACGCACCTTATTATATAGAGCGTAGGCGGGGTAGATGCGATTAATTTTAATGAAACAGTGCAGTTTCTACGCCAATGATGTGCTATTTGTGTTGTTGTTTTCGATTATACCTCGAATATGCAACAGCTTATTTATAGTGTGGTTACATCATCAACTGTTAAAACTGAACGTTACTATGGAGGAAAGGAACTTAACCGGTTTTGTAAATTTGGCAAAAATAGCGAATTGTAACAATATTTAATATTTTTCAACCTTCAATATCTTCTCTATATCTCGTTATAAGTTATGGTTTTAGCGAAAATTTTGATGCAAAACAACCATTTGCTATAAACGTAATATCCTCTAATGAAGAGAATGATTTTAATCTTCAATATCTTCCCTAAACCTCTTCATAAATGAAGATTTTACAAAAAATCTTCCCTTGTTTCCCAATCCCACAATTTTTAAATGAGTAAAGAATACATAATATTTCCTAATAATTTCAATCTTCAATATCTTTCCTAAACCTCTTCATAAATGAAGATTTGACAAAAAATCATCCCTTGTTTTCCATTTCCACAATTTTTAAATGAGTAAAGAATACATAATATTTCCTAATAAATTCAATCTTCAATATCTTTCCTAAACCTCTTCATAATTGAATATTTTACCAAAAATCTTCCCACTTTTCCCAATCCCTCTCCGAACATCCTGCACCTAAATCGGGTCTAATTAAACGAGTCATAAATACATAACGAACAATTAAATGAAATCATCTAATAAGTAAGTAGATTCGTCGTTAAATAAAAAGTGCTCCAATCTGCTACATATTGTCACGAGCACGTGAAAATCGTGGAAGCGAGAACGGGCAAAATAGTACCTAGTAGAGGCGTCAGCTAGTTGCTCTTGGTCAGTTCGAATAAGAAGCCGCTCGCAGTCGACTCGCGTTCGAATTTAAACTTAATTTCGCTACCGAAAATTACAGAGAAAAAAATGAGTAAATTAGTGATAGTGTTTGTGTGTTTGGCTGTTTTCGAAATAGGTAAACCGGTGTTATAGATTTTTTTGCACGTCCTTAAAATATCCTTCGAGAAAATTCAGAATGTTAATTAATTTTTACGTCGTATTGAATGATAGATAAATAAAAGAATTCAAATTTAGACGATCGAATGACATCATACTTTTGCGTTATTTTCCATTCCCAATCTAAATATACCGAACACTCTACTTTCCCGAAATACGCTCTTAATATTTCGTCGCTCGGAAAATTGTCTTATTAAAACGGATCGTATTATTTCATTCCGCTCACTTAGCCTAAATGCGAGTACACCTACATTTAATCCAATTTAAATCAATTGACTCCGAAAAACCGAGGAATTTCGAACAATAAGTCGAGCAGGTGCTTTGGATAGATGAGTCTTAAGTTTCTCGAGTTCACTAACTCTAATCCAGGTCACGGATTTAAAGAAAAACTTTTACCTCGACATCGTTGCGATGACTAATCGAGCATTCAAATCCCGATTCAACTGCTCCGTCGTTATCGTAGCATCGAATTAATTTTTTTTATCGATTTCCAGCATCTGCCTTGCAGTGCTACAAATGCGACAATTGCCAAGGATCGTCGAGCAGTTGGGAAAAAAGCACCTGCGGTAGCAGCTCCACAACCATACCCGCCAACAATGACTGGGCGTGTGTTAGAATAAATTACAAAGGTAAGCAGAATGTTTGAAAAATCGCGATATTCGACCTTGTTTTGTTGCTAATTCCTCGATTTATCGACACGCAGACAGGCTGACTTACAAGGACGCGGTGCAAAGGAAATGCGTGCTGGCGGAAAAGCGCAACGGGCAACTCCACTTCGGCTGTCCCACGTCCCAAGGGGAGCCCTCCAGCTGTCCCATTTGCCAAACGGATCTCTGCAACTCCGCCACTGGCGTCCGGACCGTCGGTTTCGTAGCCGTCGCCTCCGTAGCCACGGTTCTACTTTTGTCCAAACTCTTCTAAACAGAGTTTGCAAAGAGTTTCAATAAACGCGTTAATAATTTATTGATAGGTGTATTTCACTGAAAAATAATTTGTGGACGGAGTTAATTTTTTTTGTACGCTGAATAATAATTTAATTTCACACTGTATGTTTGTTAATTGTTATATATGTTAATAGTTTAATATAATAAAAATAAAATGCGTATTATTTCGTTTGAAGTGTGATGAAACCGATATGCATAATTCAGTAGGTGAGGTGTTTTTTAGAAAGTGACGCGAGAATAAATAATTTGTTGATATTTTTAATTTTTAGATTAACATAATATTGATAAAGGTTAGTTAAAAACCGCGAATAAAATGTATTTTCCAGTTAACAAATGGGAAAAATGGAAGCTATTAATCACCGAAGAAACTCGCAGAAATTGCGAAATTTATTTTAGTTGGGCCATCATCAAATGATAGAGGTAATAAAAACATTATCATTCCATCATATGGATCCTTGCCAAATGTTCTTGGCTCTTCACAAATTTCACAAATTTACAATTACGATTTTTTTATTTAATTTAAGTGAAACAAAACCACTTTCATTGCAATACAATGCAAAAAACAGAAATAATATAAAACTTACGAACAACTCCAATAAACGGCCACTCTACTATTAGTCCTGCAAAAAAATGTAATAATTTTTTTACGAGTTTTTCAAAAGAAACAATTTCTAATACCTCTAACGGTTCTACTTCCGGGAGCTTCGAACGTTTTATCGCAGATTCACCCATCTCGTCCGAGAGTATATTAGAATCAACTTTAGCGAAGACTTCTTTGTCTAACATCGACAGTTTGTCGGGTGTGACGGGCCTGGGCGTTCTACGAGTAGCAGGTTTTTTAGTCTCCCTAACGGTCTTTTTAACTGGCTCGGGAGAGACAGTAATATCCTTGGGTGTCTCCTTAATAAACTCATCATCAGCGCCCACTTCCGCCCCGTTCCTTTCATCATCGATATAATCGCTACTTTCGTCGCTATCGTATTTACTGCTGCCCGGTTTGTTCCTGTACTCCACGTTGGGGTAGTTTTTGTGAATTTTAGACAGGAAAATACTGTAAGGCACCAGCACCTCGTCGAAGGGCTCGCCGGGGCGGCACTCTTTTTGGAAACCGGTGAAATACATTCTACGAAAGGAATCATAAACGAGCATTTAGATGGTACGAAATCGCCTCCACTCACCCAGGTCGCGAGAAGATTATGGCCGACGGAAAGCCGGGTATGCAGTAACTTAAAATCGGTATCTCCTGGATGGGCACCACGGAATTCCGTTCCCGCACGCGCCATCCCACCAGGATGTGCTCGACGTCCGATTGGAATCGCTCCTCCACGTAGAAGTAATTCTCGTCGTTGGCCGTCTGATCGTCGCCGTCGATGGTGCAGGGCTCCGGCAGGGGCGGATCCGCCTCGAAGATCACGATGCTCTCTCGCTTCTCCACGATCGTTTTGAACGCGACGATGTTGTGTATTATGCTGTTCTCGCACCAAAAGTTCGATTTACTGGTGATGTAGTGCTTATCGGGTACGGGCTCCGACGTATCGAAGCATTCTGTCAACGATAAATAGAGTGCTTTATGAGCGTTCGGATGGAGTGGTGTGGTGAACGTTACCGGTAAGGAGTACTCCTAAATTTTCGCCGAAATTCAAGCCGTTGCATTTTAATTTAAACTGATCGGAGTCCGGGTAGACGCGCTCTATTAGGCCTAAAACGCGCGTGGGGTCGCAGGGGGAAACGGGTGTTTTTTGGGCGTCTTCGGCGTCCTCGTCTTCTATGAAATAGGGTACCGTGAAGTAGAGTGCGGTGATTATAACAACTAGGGGTAGTGTAATTAAGAAGGTTAAAATGCACATTTCCATCATACAGCTGCCGGTCGTCGCTTTTCGTATGCAGTAGGTCATCAACGTTACGGTCACGAGGAAGCACATTTTGGATTAGGTGGATCGAAATGTTGATAAATTTAACTATAATAATTAACGAAACGAATGAACTTTTCCTTTTCGGATTTATCGAATGGAAATTGTCAAAAATGATGGGAAAATGAAGTATATCACCCGCGTAAACAATTAAGTATGTTGTATTGAGGATCGATGGAAGAATTAGACTAATCTAAAACTGTATCAAGTAAATTTAACAAGAAGAAAGAAATGGTTACGAATCTAATTTATTAGATACAATTTTATGGAAATGTTATGATTTTATACTAACCGAAATCAGTAGGTTATTTGCATATCCTAATTCATCTACTCTACTTCATTTTCATCACCTTTTTGCTATTTCCCAATTTTTGATTATTATTTTTATCTAAAAATATTGAATGTTGCTCTATTAACTAAATGTACTGTATAGTATTTTAACGATAAGCACTGTACCTAATTATTTGTACAATGAATAGTGCACATAACCACTAGGTTTAAACAAACAATCTTTAAAAGAAACAAAAATGTAATAAACGTATATTTATATCAAACTTCTTTCCTCTCTAAAATAATTAAACGTTTGTACAACTTATATTATTATTATTTTCATTCGCTACATTCTACTTCACATTATCTTTCAATTTGCGTCTTCATATTCATCTTCATCATCATATTCATCGTCATATTCCGCGTTATTTATTATGCGTACGGCTTTGTTGCTTTTGTACTCGACATTAGGATAGATCCTGCGAATTTTGTCCAGGAACATGCTGTAGGGAACTATCACGTCCCCGAGACGTTCGTCGGCGGAGCAATCCTTTTGAAAACCGGTGAAAAAGTTGCTACAAAAATATCGCAGGCTTTCGATTTCGCGTTTATTACAGGGATTTAATTAATTCACTCACTTGAGCCGAGAAAAAATGATGGCAGAAGGATATCCAGGTATGCAATAGCTCAGTACAGGTATTTCCTGGAAGGGTACTTTCGAATGCCTGTCTCGAATCCTCCATCCGACCAGCACGTGCTCGGCATCGGGCCGAAAGTGCTCCTCCACGTAGAAATAATCGTCCTCCTTCGGCAATCGGTCTTCGTAATTGAAGAAACAAGGCTCCGGCAATGGAGGATCCGCCTCTAAAACCATGATGCTGCCTGTGTTTTCGGTGATTTCTTTAAAGCTTACAATAGAGTGTATTATGTTATTCTCGCACCAATACCTGGACTTACTCGTTATGTAGTACTTTTCTGGTATGGGCTCGGCCGCGTCGAAGCATTCTGTTGGCAGAAAAACGATACAGTTTTAGATTACAAAAGATATTTCTTAGAGTAAAATGATAGGTACCGCTAAGAAGTACGCCCATGTTTTCGCCGAAATTCAAACCGCTGCATTTGAACTTGAATTGAAGGGCGTCCGGGTAGATTTTTTCTATAAGCCCTATGACTCTAGTTCCGTCGCATTCGCATTCGTCTGAAGTTGCATCGTAATCAATTTCTAATTCATTATGATCTACAAAACGCGCTATAAGAAAACTTCAAAATGAAACGATTAAATATTACCTTTAATGAGTTGTTGTCCTATAGTACCATCGCGAAATCGAAGACCGTTACATTTTGATGTAAATTGCTCGGGATTGCAGATTCCCTTGAGTTCTGGGAGTTCCCCATCGCATTCGATGCCTTCGCCAAGGAGCATCTTCTTGGAATTTTCATCTTCTACGAAATACGGTAACGCCAAGTACAGAGCAATGGAGAGTACCACCAGTGGTAAGGTAATTATGAATGTTAACACGCACAATTCCATCACGCAACTTCCTGTCGTTGCTTTTCGCAAGCAATAGGTCATCAAAGTTACGGTCACGAGGAAGCACATTTTTATTAATTATTTTAATAACGTGGTTTATTGTATTTAATATTTACTATAATTGACAAATTTGTCAAAAATGATAGGTCGACTTCAGTTACGTTGAATTGCTAATAAAACAACGATAAAACATGTTAAAAATATATTGTTAAAAGTTTAAATCTAAGTAACACGGCATCTTCCACTATTCTACTTCACGTTTCCTGCAAAAATTAAGCACATTTACAAAGCACAAATACACCTAACAAACTATACCCCGAATTCAATCTATCAATAACTTATAGTCCAATTTATCTTCTAATTCTTCGTCGTCGATTTCTTCTAGCTTTTTGATGTGCACGACCTTATTACTCTTGTATTCGACGTTGGGATGGCTGCTCTGGATTTGATCTAGAAATTGACTGTAGACGACGATCGCCTCGTTCAACGGCTCGCCCGGCGAGCAATCTGTTTGAAAACCAGTGAAATGTTTACTGCAACAAGTCGTTAAAAAACTCGCTCAAAAAACCAGTGAGTAGAAGTGAGCGGAGCGCAAACTCACTTGGCTTTGGAGTAGATTACGGCGGAGGGATATCCGGGTATGCAGTAGTCTACTATAGGGATCTCCTGCAAGGGAACAGACGATGTCCTTTCGCGTATCCTCCAGCCTATTAGGACGTGATCGACGGTTTTATCGAAATTGGTTTCCACGTAGAGGTAGTTTTCTTCTTCTTCCTGCTCGAGGTCCCCGTACTCGAAGGCAAGCGGACTGGGTAGCGGAGGATCTGCTTCTAATATCATGATGCTCCGTCGGTCCTCTTTGATCCTTTGATAGCTGATTATGTTGTGCATTTGATTTTGATCGCTCCAGTACCGAGAGCAACTACTTATGTAGTATTTATCGGATATGTAGTCGGTGTTATCGAAGCATTCTGTTAGTAAAGAAGCTATTAGTGATGGTTTTCGAAGATGCGATTGAATGAGAATGATTTCGCTTACCGCTGAGTATAATTCCCATGTTATCTCCGAAATTTAAGCCGCTACATTTGAATTTGAATTGATCGGCGTCCGGGTAAATTCTTTCGATGAGGCCGATAACGCGGGATTCGTTGCACTTTTTCGAGCAATTGCAGGGCTTTTTCCAAGGTCTCATGTCTAGGAAAAAAGGCATCAGCAAGAAGAACGCCGCTATTATAACGATTAGCGGTAAGGTGATTAAGAATGTTAAACTGAGTATATCCATGATGCAGCTTCCGCTCGATTGCCTTTTGATGCAATAAGACATCAACGTTATCATCAGAACGAAGCACATTTTGGATGGTATTTATTGTCTGGTTCGATTTTATTAGTTCACGATCGTATTCTGATGTTCGTTTGATGTTTTGATGGGTAAGTGAAGTTGCCAAAAAAAATCTTAAAGGTACACTTTCATGTTAATTCGGAATAACTACATTCGTAAATTTGATTCATAGATGCTGAGGTATCGAATGTAAAAACGAAATAGGTTTGTAAATTTTTATTTATTTATTAGATAAATTGTTTAAATTGTTGTGTGCTTTGGAAGAGAAAATTCTTATAAGAGCAATTCGATTAGTAATAATCGATTAAAATTCGGGTTTGAATGAAAAGTATCGAAACAACAAACAATTCAAAACTTTATTATTAATTAACAAATAAATTAAAAACGACAAATATTTACAATAACACAAATAATTACAGATTACAATTCCAATCACGTTGAATAGTTGTACCTTCCATTACGGCTTGGATTATTCGTATTTTATTGTTATAAACAATTCCTACAGTTTTCACAGCATCTTCACCGGCGTTTCCGATCAAATCCATTTGAAACAGCGATTGGGCATTGGCCAGTTTAATTGCATTCCTAGGCAAGAATCCTTCGATTCCTAAAAACACCACATTGTCAAAAATCCTCACTAATATTCGCCATTATTCACCCTTATATTCATAAAACCGCAACTTCTTCCGGTTCTCCAAAAACGCCAGCAAAGTCTCACCCTGTCCGAATTCGATAGAAAGCAAAGAAGAAGGCTTGTACGCCGATATTTTATCGAACAATTTACCCTCAAATGCATCTTCATAAATCTAAAAAAAAAACTCTAAATACTCTAAAACCTCTAAAGCTCACAACAACTTACCTTAATAACATCGAAGGAAGCTTTAACAACAGTTTCTTCTTGCTGAGCGACGGCTAGAAGAATTTTTTTCGCACTGTTCTTGCCTACTTTCAACACTGCTACATCACCGTGTTTTCCTGGTATATAATTATTCGTAACTTCTCTGTAGGAACCTAAAAATCATTAAATTGTAATTTATTTTTGGGATATTTACAACTTCTACCTGTTACAGTGGTTTCAATGTTTGTATCAGTATCAATGTTTGCGACTGGTTTGAATCTGTGCAGGAATAATATATTGCTTCCAGTTCTCATTGCTAAGCCCGTTTTGAGTCCTCGCGGAACAAATTCAGTTTCATCTGCATAAAGACATTGCGAAATAAATTTGGTGGTACTAAAAAATGTAGTGCATTTGTACCTTCAAATGGTATCGCCCATTTTCTGTACGCCAAAGGTTCTCTGGACGATCTAATTTTGTACTCTACAACACCCTCTTTATTCAGAGCGTAGAAAGTACCAGGTACTAGCGAATCGTGTAGGAGATTTTGATGGCCCAACACGTAGTTTAGCTACAAAATATTATTGCGAAAAAACCACGCAAATAACGAAATTATTTCTTACTTTCAAAGTGTCTCCATCGAATTCCCAAATGTTGGTACCATTGGTTCCGCCGCAAAGGCTCGATTCGCTGCGTCGCGTGACCAAATACATCTTTTTCTTGTTGGTAACGGGTACCACCTGCTCGAGAGTACCTGTGGGGATATTCGAAGAGTAGAGTACGAATCGGGAACCGCTGTAAACCAACATATCGGACAAGCAAGTATCGTAATTAACGAGGAGATAAGGAATCTCGTTCAACTCGAAGTTGAAGACATTGTTAATGGTGTGGTTGAAGGGGAGCTGTTGGAGATCTTCGAAGTATTTGAACTTGTAGATTTGCTGTTTGGTTTTTTCGTAGAAGCTCGTTATCGTCGCGCATAGGCTGTTGTGGTCTTTCTGAAAATGTACAGGAATAATTTGAGGTTTATGGAGAAGAATATACTTACAATAGTACCATGTTCGAATTGGTACTTCCAATCCTCCCTTTCGCGAAGTTGTTGTCCAATAAGCGATAAATCCAGCCCGCTAATTGTTCCTTGTCCAACGACATTATCGTCGAAAGTGATGTTTTTAGTAACAGTCCAATTGTTGCTAACTTGTACAGTTCGATTGGAGTTCAATTTCATTGTTGTTCGTTTCCATTCCGTGTAATTCACGTTATTGATCGAACCGTTTACGCTCAAATCGGAATCGATGGTTATTTTGGATTTGAATTCGTATTTAGCGGTCAAATTTTGATCTGTATTCGTCGTGACTAGTCTAGATGTTGGTTTATTGTTCAACAAACTCGCGTTTAAATCGCGCCTTATTAATACCGAGTCGAATGTGGTGTTTGATTCGATCAACTGATCGCCAGTTTTCTACCAAAAAATACGTTAAATCAATAGAAATATACCACAAGAATAGGATTGTTTGTTACCATAAAAGTTCTTTGGTATTCAGTAGGTAATACCATTCCATTGACTTTATTACCCACGGGAATATCTTGTAGAAATTTCATTTGTGCTATATGGAGGTGTTCGATGGTTTGGTTGGTTTTTAACGGAACGATTCTAGACATGTTGAAATTATTAACGAATTCAGTGGTTAAATCCGCGTTGATTTCCATCGATTCCATCGTGTAGTGGCCTATAAAAGCTAATTAGAAATACGATCTATGTAGATATAAATATTCTGTACCTTTTAGTAACCCTTTGTTGATGAAAATAGCTTTTTGGTACCAATCGTTGGTGTTATAACCACTTAAGTGTTTACATTGCAAGTTATCTACTTCCATATTGTTGCTAATTTCTACGTTTTTGGTAAACGAAACCAAACCTTCGATTTCTGCGTCTTGCGTGAGCAGAACAATGTTCGAATTAACATCAGAGAAATTCACGTCGTTCATGTAATCGGTTATTACAAGATTCCCTCCAATGTTTATCTATCGAAACGAAAAATTTCCCAAAAATCACCCCAAAAGAAGAGTAAAAAATCGATGTAATCTCGCACTTACCGGTTTTGTGAATATGATATCATTTGTAAATATCCCTGTGTGATTTTTGTAGACCAATTCCCGTAAAACATCGTTGATATTTTTATTGTTCACTGTTCCATCGATTCGTAGCGATTTGATATGAGGAAGTCGTTTGAAAACCACGTCTCCTGCAAACAATAACCCAATTAAACGATTATTAAAGTGCATTATGTATCGTTTTGCATACGTTTTAAGTGGTAAGCTCCTTCTGTTATACCAACGTTGAAATCATTCACCGAAACTTGGTTGATAGTATCGTTAATTTCGATGTTTTCCACGACAACGTTCCCGACAATTTCCACGGGTCCTCGTATGGTTTGATCCCCTTGTTTCGTAAGCACGTTGAAGATGGATACGTTGTTGATTTTTTTGGTTTCGATGAGATTTTTCACTGTAATTCCGTTCAAAAATTGCTTGGGTTTGTCGAATTTTAGGAAGGAGTTAGTTTGGTTTTTGTACACGATTTGTTGCACGTAATCGTTCCAATTTACTGCGCCCAGTTGGGTTAAATGAAGGTCTTTTAGGAAGAGATCCTGAAATAATAATTGGTAAATAGTATATCGAGGTAATTTTGTAGTTACTCACTTCTAAAATTAATTTGTTGCCGTTTTTGCGAGCTATTCCTAATACAGTGTCAGGCATGATGTTTACAGCGGGTTTGTTGTTGATGTTGTTTATTTGCAATGATTCTTCTACGTGTAAATCTGAAATTAGTAGAAAATTATTGAAACTGTATTAATAAATGTGATGTGCGTACTTTCCACGGTTAAATTTCCACTACTCAACAAATCTCTAACATACTTGAGGTAGCTTTCTTCTTCTATAATTTTTACTGTATCTGCGTTGATTGATTTGAATTGGTCTATTTTGGTGGAGTTTATCACAAACCGGGGCTCGATGGTTTGACTTTTTGTTCTGCTCAAGTACCTGTTGTTTATATCTTTGATATCAAATCCGGATATATTCCCCTGTAGGCTACCTAAAATCAGAATGGATAGAAACTAATTTTTACACACTAAATTTTTACCTTTAACAGTTAAGTTCTCAGCAATAAATTCATCGAAACTGAGACTATCCACGTCGAAAGTCTTATTAACGTAGAGAAAATCATCGGGTGAAATATCGTTCAAAGTTCTATCGATCACCACGTTTTCCGCTTCTAAATCATCGAAACTGAGCACTGAGTATACGAATTGATTGCCTGTGAGTTTCACTAAGCTATCGTCGAGGGTTTTGATGTCCTGGCCGTTGTATGAACCGTTTACTATCAGATTTCTGATGATTACGTTGCCGTTGATCAAACTAACATCGAGGTTTTGATCGGTGTTTTTGGTAACGAATTCGCCGAGATTGTGGGAATTGATGGAATTTGATTTGATGTGTAGTGGCCCGTGCACTGTTAAGCCTCTTGGAAAGTCTTTGATCGATGAGATTGTGGCTTGGTCCTCGTCCTGAAAGATAATAGAATATTATGCGAGTTTGTTTGTTAGTAAAATACCTACATCGTAAATTATATTGTCTAATGAAGCTTTGAAATCTTTGTTATTGAATTTGTGTTCAACGATAATGTTTCCTTTAACGTTGATGTTTTTGAATTGGACGTTGCACATGATTATGTTGGTTTCTTCTAAGGTGGGTTTCGGTAGGAATTTGGCGATTGAATCTCCTAAAATGTTCCCCTCGACCTAAAATTTGTAATGGAAATTAGAGTGGAATTTGAAGAAATTGATAATAGGCTTGCCTTTAATTCTTCGGTAACTTGCAATTTATTGAAAATGAGCTTATCCAGTTTTTGGTCGGTGGTTAATGTGACGAGGTTTTTGGTGTTTATGCCGTTTAGTGTGGAAATAGTTCTAATTTCTTCGGTTTGTAGGGCGTTTTTGAAGGTTTTTTTGCCTAAAATATATGCTATAAATGAATGATAAATACTCAAAAATTACTTACCCAGAATCCTTTTGCTAGTATCGTTGTTGTGAAGAAGATATTCTTCTGGATACTTTATTTCATTTAGATAGTCTGTGTTTACAGTTTCTGCTTCAATTTTCTAAAAAGGCTATAATTTATTAACTAACATTTATAGTACTATCGTAAATACCTCTTTAATATTGACAGTTCCTGGAATATAACAGATTTTATTGACCATACACAAACTTTGCAAAAATTCGGTGAAATTCTCCCCATTTATAAACTGTACTGTTAAATTTTGCGGTATTACTACAGTATCATTGGCATTATCCACACTTCTCCTGCTTCTTGTTTGCTTCAAATCCCCCAGGTATTCAATGTTCACATCATTTACCATTTCTGTTGTAAGATTTTTCAATACAACGGCATCTTTGAAAGTGATGGAACCGTTTAGAACGATTTCTGGATCGTCTTTGAACGCTATGTTAACGATATCAATTCCGTTTACTGATTGCGTTTGAACGTTCTCGATTTCTACTTCCAAAAACGTCTTATTTTTCAGTTCTTTTGTAATGTTTTCCTTGCTGAAATAGTGCAATAAAAATAGATGGAAGATGCATCAAGATAAATTTACTTACTGTACAATATCGTTCAACAGTTCCGTACAAAGTTCTCCGTTAATAGTGGTAATTTTCAAATCTGTTACATTAACATCACCTTCGAAAATAGCTTCACCGTTAATTATGATTGTATCGAATTTTCGATTAGTTTCTTGGTTTAATATCTCGACTTTATCGTGGAGCTTGTCGATTTCTTCGCCTAATTTCTCTAGTCGCTCTAAATAAACTGTAGAATTGTGAGGCTCCATAACTATTTCAGCTGTTTTTGGGACGTTTGAGTCTACTGGTAAAGCGGAAATTTCCTCGTAAAGATCGTTCGTTTTATCTAATAGAACCTACAAAAATTAGTTCGCATAAAATGAATAAATATCTACAAAAGTTACCTGTAATGTCTTCTTCTTCTCCAGCAAATCAAGAAGATCTTGTTCTCGAGGATGAGGTTTCTGTTTGATGAAGGTATGTATAGCAAATAAAACGAATGAATTATTCGTAGTGGGTACCAACAAACCGACTTTATTATCTACAACAATAGAAGTAGATCCGATGATACCTTTTTTGGTGTTGAAACAACCCAAGTTTTCGGTGGTTTCGCCGAAAAATTCGCACGGGATATCTTCGTGCTCTTCGAATACACCTGCAATTTTTACCGTTAAAAATAGAGATAAATTAATTACTTAAAACATTTACCGTTGTGATAAGTGATTATATCAACTTCAACTGATTCGTGAGTGCTGTGATCGAGCACTCTTTGCACAAACAGGAAAACCTCATCTCTTATGGTTTCCAAATGTATGGGTAACCACAATTCTACTCCTTCTAAATTACTATGTGCGATATTCTGGTAAATCAAACCGTTTTCAGTAAATTCATACAAACCAGGATTTATACCATTAACAGCTAGAAAGGTTTTGAAACCAATATCGAAGTTAGTTACACGTGTAACTCCGGGTGTTGTGATTGTTGTGTAATTTCTGAATTTTACTCCAGTGTGTTTGTAAATTACGATTGAATTTTTTTGGGGTACTGACAGGAAATCTTGGTCTCCGAGTCGATTGAAAGCTGATGAAGTCGGGGTTGATTCGAATGGGATTTGTTGGATAAACCTGTGAAAAGAATATGTTTTTGACTGTACCTAATATGGTGTTAAAGGTACTAAACTAACCATCGGTTTGGTGGGTTGTTTTTTAAGTTGAATTCGTATAAATAACCAGTTTTGGTGGTGTCGGTGTAGAAAATGTAACGTTTGTAGAAATTAATGTTCGCTAATTCGTGTTCTACAGGCCATTTCCAAAATTCTTCCACCTAAAATTAGGTGAATTTAATGAAGAATGAGTTATTGGATTGGGATTTAACGTACTGAATGATCAGGGGATATTCTCAGCCAGCTGATTTCTTTTGGACTTGTGGCAGAAACTACTATAATGACTTCAGATTTTCCATTATTTCGGTTGTGGAAAATTATGCTATCCAATGGAGTATACTTAGTTTCTACGGTGGGTTAGATATTTTTTTATACTCCAATAAAAACTTCTTTGAATTCACTTACCATAAAATGTTTTTTCTATTCTAAATTCCGTGTTATTTTCGTTTAAAACACTCATTAGTATTTGAAGGCCCGTTTTCGTTATGCCAACGGAATAGCAAGTGGGGCCTATAGTGAGACTTTTCCATTTGGTTATATTCAAATCAAATGTTAGTATTTCTTCACTAGTTATTTTATTCACTACCAATTCTAAAAATAACTCACTTAAATGCTTGAAAATTTATCATGATTGTAAAGGAAAATATTAACTGTGTTACTACTAATTATATTGTGTAAAAATTATATTTTTGACGATTGTATTCAACTGATTCTCAGATTTAATATTATGTGTCTTATTATTTTGGGTAATAAAATAATTTTTAAACTTACCTTCGCGACTTTCATCGGGAATTGAGCTCTGGAAAAAGCTCCATGGCGAATTTTCCGCGGTACAAAATTTCAAAAAACAAATCGAAATGCAAATTTTCAAAAACTCCATCATTCTATTAACGCCTAAACACGAATGCGACCGGCTGTTATCTGAGAAATATCACCGAAAAACTGATCTATTTCTCGTTTTTTCCCCAATACAAAATAAAATGAACTCCAGTGGACTTATCAAGATTTATTTAAAATTTACAATTAAATTAATAATAAATATTTCATCGATTTACAATGTAAAATTGAGCAAATCCAAGCGAACTTTACCTACACGTTTTAAACACTAAAACGAATAAATTCTTCCATTCCATTTACAACAAAACAATCTAATTCCGGCGAATCGTTTCCTATAAAGTTCATTATAAAAATTTAAGGCACAGTAACCGAAAAGAACCTCTTGGGATCCCCAGCTTTCGGCTGGAACCGCAAATTCACTCGCCTCCCCTTCTGATCGTCGATGTCGAAGAAGGAATTCCAATCGAACAAATAATAAAACCCGTTATCCTTTACCGGAGGACTCGTTTCCGTAGTCACATCAGGAACACCTCCGAAGGAATCTTCCAAATCCTTTAGGCTCGGCGTCGCCGTATCTGGTGTCAATGAGCTAGCATCTCCTATTGATGAACTAGCATCTGGTGTAGATGAGCTAGCATCTGGTGTAGATGAGCTAGTATCTGGTGTAGACGAAATAGCATCTGGTGTAGATGAGCTATCATCTGGTGCAGCTGAACTGGTGTTTTCCTGCCTTTTGAAATCGTTTTTGATCAAATTGTACTCTAGGAACAGGGGATCGGGGGCGTTTTGCTGGTCCAATGGCACGATGCTATCGTTCAAGCTCTTTACCAGGCTCTTCAGGGTGTCGACGTCGATTTGTTTGAAATCATCGTCGGTGATGGGCCGGTTCAAAGTCTCCAGGTGCTTCACCACGTTGGATAGTTTGTTCAGTTTGTCGATTTCCTCTTTGGTGGCGTATAAGTTCTCCGATGGGTTGAAAACGTGCTGTTTGGTAGGTGATTTAGGAATGGTAGGTTGCTGTTTTGAGTCTGCGCCTAACGAATTTATACACTTTTAACTCTAGAATAGCAAATTACAAAAATAACTTACCGGTCCAACCCATGTTACTTTTATTGTTGTCTATAGATTTTTGTTTTCTTGCGCTTCTACCGAGCCCGAATCGGGCGAGTAGTTCCTGCATTTCGTCCCTGCCGTTGTCGTCATCAGGCAAAGGCTTGAATCCTGCGTAAGAGTCCTCTTTAATTTCGGCCACTTCTGGGTTGTAGGTTTCGTAGTAAATTTCAGCGTCTTCCAGAGGTTTAACCGGAGGATTTTCGTTGGGAATCAGGCCGAAATTCATCAGCAAATCCTTCATTTCCGGCGCCAGATTATCCACTACTTTATCGATGTTAGGGATGGGTGTTGTGGATTGTTTTGGTTGGTGTTCAAACGATGATAGTATATCTAAGACCTCAGAGTGTTCTGGTTTGTTTTTGTGAGCTTTATGAGGAAATTTAGCTTTAGTTTTTAGAGCAGGTTCGATGCCCATTCCATCAATTATCTCTGAAAGAGTAAATCGAGGAATTAGTAAGTATTCAATTTCAATTCATTAAGGGGTTAAAATACAAACCCTTTAGACTGTCTGGTATATCGACAAATGCAGGCAGTTTTTCATCTGGCATATTGTCGATTTTAGGCGGTTTTGTTTGGGTTTCTCCTTCGATCTGGATTCGTAAAAGGTTTTCGTTGATTACTTTGGGCGGTAAAGAGGGAGCCGGGACGATTTTGATACCGTCTGAAGGGAAAAGGGTCGGGTTAGAGGATTCAGTGGACGATTCTTCGTATCTAAAAAGGCAAACTTGCGAAATTTCTACTATGCAGATATTAGTGATAGAAGTGTTTACGGAAGAATTAGTTCGTAGAAGAAAATATGTACAAATTGGAGTTAAAAGAAAGAAGGTTGTTTCACTACTATAACGTACCTGTGGTTGGGGTATTTAATAGTACTAGTGCTAGTAGTACTGGTACTGTCAGGTGTAGTAGTTTTTTTCCTTTTCATAACTGACCTTATGCTTGTTGGGGTAATACTAGGTTTAGCGGAAAATTGAAAGCTAGTAAATGGTTTTCCTCGAGAAATATCCACGTTATTAATACATTTAACAGAGTCTTTACCCTGACAATTATTCAATTTGGTAGAATTGTAACTGTTCCTAGTTTTGTAACGTTGGTTCGGTTTATTTTTTTTCAAATTGTCGATTATTGCAGTCATATTTGTGCGACCTCAAATATTAAAATTTTTCTAAAAGCTCCAAACTGCGAATATAACTTACTCGTGTGCTGTTGCTTCGATTTGGGCGGCTCGTATTTAACCTGAGGAATCTCTTGGATTTCTTCAATCACCATTGGAGATCCCACAATCTTCGTTACTGGAGGTTTAGTGTAAAAATCCTCCACGTTCCGCACGTCCCCGTCAGGCATGAAAGGCAGCACTTTCATCACCGCCTTCGGCTTTCTTTCTGGAATTAATTCGAAATTTGAAATCATCGATGTCGAGGGAAATGCAGGAGTTGTTTCGTACCGTTTTTGGCATCTTTCGCGGCGTGGATTTCGGTCTTGGTGATGTTCTCCAGTAAATCGAGGATCTCGCCTCTGGTCAATCGGGGTAGCTGGGGGTTCGCTTTCAAAGCCACTTCCACCTCTTTCACGACGTCTTCCACCGAATTCGCCGCTTCGCTCGCGGAGAAATCGGTGGGCTCGTAGAGGAAGTTCACTTCTGCCGGATAAACTCCCTTTTTAGGTTTAACATTGGCTGGTAAACAATGGCAGAAAGCGATGAGGAACGTTACGAATATCGTGTAGTGCATCTGGAATGAATTAATGGTACAAAATGCGAAATTATGTAATCACTTAATGCCGTTTAAATTGTCAATAATTCGCCAATTAGTTAATAATTAATGACAACTTTCCCAATGTCCTTATTAGGCGCAATGTAAATTCGTCGACGGGCGCCGGATTGCAACCGAAAATGAAGTAATTAAACCCGATTAAATCGGAATTGAGTCATAGGGAAAATTTGCTGTAAATAATAATTAAAAATCGTTACGTATCGATAGTGAAGAAAATCGCCAATCGATAAGGAAAGGTGGGTTTAATAGGGAAAGTGAATAGACCTAGATTTTGTTATTTATGATAAATTTAATGAAATAATGGATTGTATTTTGGATTGTTTTTTACGCTTTTTAGTTCATCAGATAATATTGTGCTTTGTGATAGTAATTTATAAAAGTCTATGCAAATTTTCTCCAGTCTTCGCTTAAAAATATAGAAACTAAAATTTTATTATACATATCATAAATAATTTCTCTGAATTTATAAGGTATGTGTTTCTCTTTTTGAATTATTGGTTGGGTTTATTACGGGTAATATCCGATAAGTATTTACGTACTTATTGCTTTTGAAAAGACTCTTAATTGTCACTTAAACTAAGTAATTTATCGACTGTATTTTTAAATGCTTTCTCTTTCGTTGCAATAAAAGACAAGGTCTTATTTATTGTTAATATTGAACTTTGTATTGTGGTGGAAGAATAAATTAGAATTTTTAATTACACAACAGCTGAAAAATTTCACTGTTTGCAATTGCACTTTGCGGGAAGTGAAGAATAAAGATAAAAATCCTATTTAATTGCACTTTAAGTACAGTTTTTAAAGGGAGATTTCAAATATAACGGCCCGATAATTTAGTTTTTGTTAGAGGACTATTAGATGTTTCCTTTACTTATTTTTCTCAGTAACTCAAATAGCAGTTGCTCTTAAAAAAAATTAATTGCCACTTCGGATGGAATTGTTTCTATAGAACTAACGGTTCGAGCACACTTTGTATTCAGTACACCTTTCTTATATTATCTATCAGAGGAAAAGGATTTTGAAAGACGCAAAAAAATACATTTAAATCTAGCTTTAAAAAGCAAAATATAATAATTTTTTATCCAGCAAATTAGCGTGAACTTTCCCAAAAAAATCAAGGGGTACTTACCATACTTTCGATTTCGAACTAACGACCGAAAATTATTCAAATATCTTCGGATTCTTCGCCGCTGAACCGTAAGTTTACAACATGCTCGAGTATTATTAATATATCTGATATTCCTCCGAAAACTTTCACGAGCCAGTACCGTCTTCGGTTTCGCAGGTGACCTGGAAAATAAGACTGACAAGCCGACGAAGAAGTACCACAATTGCAGAATTCCCGTCCCCTCCAAACCGGAGGTTTCTTCGCATTCACACGCCATTGGCCATTCGTTGCGTAAACATTCCGTAATTATTGTTTTCTTGCTTACTTTTCGACGAATATCGGTCTCATTCTGTATAAAATAGGAAGTGTTTTTTAGATGAAATATCGCCGTAAAACAGTTCATTGTAAATTACAATTATTTTTATCGGATAATTATAAACGACTGGCAGATTATTCAAACTTTCTTGGTGTAGGAGAGTAGGGAGAATGAGGGTGATGAGTGGAAGAGTAGAAGAGGGTAGAAGGGGCTAGAGAGGGGAAGAGTGGATACTGCCTACTTTGAGTGGGTAAACAAGCGAATAATTTCAGTGTTACCACGATTTTTTAAAAATTACAGCCTATAATAGAGCCTAAATTGACGCCCATTTTTGTTGTAGTTTGGAAATGGTTAAACGAATTCGTATCTCAGTATATTTATTTGAAAAAAAAAACATATGCAACAAGTAAATATTCAAAATTATAACAGCTCTAGCTTCTTCGAAATAGCGAAAAATACGTTAATTTGTAGCTAGTCTTGTTAACATTGCGTGCCCTCGTTTACATACATTCATAAAAGAGGTAAGTAAATATCCTTAAAACCTCCGGAATCCCCTTTTTTACTCTAAAATTATTTCAACCACCAGAATTGAAACGATTTAAAATATTACAAGAGCTTATCGATTTATCAAATGTACCTAATTCATCGACTACATTAAACTCGCATTTAAAAGCATATTAAAACCCAAATATACAAATTAATAAAAAAAACCAATCCCATAATAAACACTCAGCTTTATTACGAAGCGGAAAATTTTTGATAAATTTAGTGAACCATTCCAACAGTCCTGTGTTGAATCTTCATCAATCAACGAATCTTCATCATTACCGGGAAGACAAGACGCTGTAGTTGAATCCGGAATAATAAATTCTCGTTATCACAGAACCCAAAACTTGCTATACCTACGAGTACATCTAGAATATACACACGATAAAAAAAATAAATTCCGTTCATCTTTGCTTAAACTTGACAAAAAATTAATATTTACAAAATGCAAATGGTTTTGGAATAGTATTTATATTGCGAATCGACTCAGCGCAACAATTCGATCTAATTTCCTGTTGATATCCCGGTAAAATTAATTGTTACAGGTATAAAATTCAATTTTGTATCTACATACATTATCCGGTGTACAATAAAATTGTTACGCTGGTCGAAAAACAATTCGTAAAAACAACAACTTTATATATATTTTGAACCGATCACATTACTAAATTACACAATATAAATAAATTATAAAAAACCGCATCCTCTTAATTTCGTTAAAACTACGAATACAAATCAACAAAAAAAAATTAAGATAAAATTAAGTTGCTGGATGTTTCTTATTTCTGTAGCGGGTTAGTAATTAGAAATACATCGGACAATTCGAAACCAGACATTTCAACAAGTAGCAATAATTAAAAATTAATCGCGTTTTAATCGCCACCGTTCAAACTCGGAATAGATGATGTGAGGAAAGCTTTAAAAATAATTTGCCACGTCCAGCCCTGCTAATGTCCCATGTAATTCTAATAAAATTTCGAAACGAACGGTCTCGCGACCGTCTCAGCCTTTGTATCTGGATATATATATTTTTTTTGTAAAGGGCAATTCTATTTATTCGTCTTTTGGTTTGTCGCTCGTCCCGGTCGGTGGTTCGTCCTCTTCGTCCGAATAATTCGTGGGCTGCTCGCCGGGCTTCAGAAGCCTTCCCACGAATTCGTATTTCTCTGTAAATAACACACCCATTAATTCCCTATTTAGAAGAAGATTAAATCGAGGAAATCCATTGATTATTACAAAAAGACTGGGAGTAGAACGTAAAGCGGGGTAGAGGAGGGTAGAGAGGGGATTTGTGGAAGTATAGAGGAGTAGAGAATCCATAGAGATTATTTCCTCCGGTGGAATGCATTTTTTCGCCGGAAACGTCATCGATAAATTATGTTCAGTTGCATATTTCGGCGGCTTCCTGACGCATTATCTAATGCTTCGATAATCCAATAATTAATTATGAATTATTACAAAAATGTATTATCTACAACTAGTAATTAATGGAGAGCTGTAAGGTTAAACTCAAAAGTTCACATTTGTGTTATTTATAATATTTAAAATACAAAACGTGACTAAACAAATTTGTATTTAAAATTGTAAAGATGACTAGCAAAATAATCTAATTTAAAAAAAAAATTAAATATCTAACATCATCTGAATTTGTTAATTTTGTCGGCTACTAATTAAGAAATCACAAAGTTACTGTTACATATCTTATAAAGCCAAACAATTCAGATAACACCATAGGTAAGTGCGTAACTCAACCTTGAAATTATTACACAATACTTTATAACCGACCATTAAAAACACGTTATAATTTTCGGAATACGTTCGTCACATTTTTTTTTGTTAATTTCCTAATCATATTTACCTTTGAACTGCGATTCCCACTCTCTAACCGAATCCATTTCCATTGTACTCAAATCGCTCAGGTCATCGTAGCCTTCACCTGCCGCCGTAACGTTAAAGGTAGCCAGACCTCTTGAAGCGTCTCTACCACCAAAGGCCGCGTACGGACCACCTTTAATCAAAAAAAAAAAATATTCAATTGCCCCCCTATTCAACGCTTCTTTTTTTAAGTTAAAGACGAGGTTTAATTTGACAGTTTTACATTGTTGTTATGGAGTAACTAAGGAGATTCCTTCAAACTGACAGTTTTACTTTGGTTGCTATGGAGTAACTAAGGAGATTCTTTCAAATTGACAGTTTTACATTGTTGTTATGGAGTAACTATGGACTTTGTTTATACATTAAAGACTTTCTAAATAGATCAAAGAAGGTCTCTGAATACGGGCCATATATTCGAAATAATCGATAATTGATTTTTACTGATAATAAATGAAATGTTCTTGAGTTTATTATCCATTGACGTTCAATGTGTATACAAACACCTTTTCACCTTTATTATTTGTATCAGAGATAAAGGTATTGATATTGTGCAAACATATAAGATACTGGGAAACATTATTAAATATATCATATGAAGAAACGGGGCTTGTTAAAATGATTTTTATAGACTCGAAAAAAAAAAACATTGCGGAGGTTTAAAGGATAAACTTAATAATCCTATTTAATTTAAAACCATTTTTAGAAAGAAGAAAAAATTAAAATAACAATGATTAGAATGAGAGTTGCAATTTCCCACAATATACCTGTATCTTTCTGTTTCTTGCCAGACTAATGTCTTTGTTGCACCCATGCACTTATCTGTATGAACTTTTTGGGTTTAAAATAAAAATGAAAACAATGTAATTAAATCGAACAGTAAACTTATAAATCCTAATGTACATTGTAACTACATAAAAATTTTATTACTTGAGCGCATCGAACAATAACTTTTACAGAAAACTGGGATTAAAACGATAAGTCTAACGATAAAAATCAATTTTATTCGAATCTCTATACTTAGCATTTCAAAGTTAACGTATGGAAATTATTCATGTATTTGGTAAAAATACAAAACAAGACAATTGGAAATTCAGATCGAGAATGTAAATTTTACCACAATCTAATCTAAAAATACAATGTTAATACGTACAGAAATAAACTGTCTTATATTTCTTATTGATTGGGATTAAACTAAGTTAATTAAATCGAAGAATTTGGCACGAGATCAACAGTACTAAAACAATTACATTAAACTTATTTAGATACTTATTTAGATAACACTAAAATAAGTACCCAATTAGAAATTTTCCAAAGGGAGTTAATTAGTACTGCTTTTAAAATAATGCCTTCGTAATAATAAGTTAGAGGTACACATTTTAATTGCAAAGTCGAACAGAAATTATAACATGACATCATTCTTTAATAAATTGCATGTAGAATTCGATATTTACCTGGCCCGTAGAACCTTTTGCCCCTCGTCACGTCGTACACGTTCCCATTAACAGCGACTAATACTCTGCCATCCTCCTGTGTACCATCGTATTTCTTCAATTCTTCCACGGTAAAATCTCTCTTCTTCAATTTCGGCAATTCCGGCACGGGCGGGCGAACTGGCGTGTTGTTGTTGCGGCTTTTGAATATGTTGTACACTAAAAACACTATTATGCCGACTAAGGCGATATTCAACGGGCTCTGCACTATTTGAAAGAAAATATTTGTTAATATTCCGGCGGATAATGTTGATTCAGCCATGTTGCGGGTCAAATAATTGAAATAATTATGACTTGACAACTTCTACGTTTTCAATTTTAGAAACAACACAAGACGACTTGTTGACAGCGAGACGTCATTTGTCTTTGTGATCTTTGGTCTAGTTATTTTGTTGGTAATTTTTTTATGTTGGTGCTACTGTGTCAATTTTCTTTTTAGTAAAGGAAGTGTATAATGGTACGTTTCTAATCCATACGTTTTGTTTGAATCAAAATATATTAGTAAAATTAGGGAAATTAGTGAAATAAGGAAGGTTTTTTATCATTATTGTAAAATATCGTAAGGTTTCGTAACAAAATTTGGGAAATAATCGCTCTAAGCAGAAAGTACGGCCGAGTAGACATATTCAAATAATTATTTTTTTTCTTCTTTTTCTCATTATCTTAACTACAACTACCTTGGTTATTCAGCGTCCCAATTTTTCTTTCACTAATCGCTACCGGTAGTTCTTGTAGTGTCAGTCAAATTTTTAGAAATTTAGATTAGTCTATGGGCTCTGTGTAATATAAGGTACGTTTTTGTGTGGTTTCTGTTGAATATTCATTAGGGTTAATCTACGTATTAAGTCCCTGTTCTATTAACGAAATATCTTGTTTTTCTGTGACCTTTTTCTTGAACCAAACTATGTCTTGTGTAAGCTCTAAATTTTATCAATACAATTAGTGCTAAAATACGAAATATCTAATACACCCGGAGCGGAATTGATAAAAGGGTAAGGCCAGATGGAAGTTTACATAAGAGCGTACAGTTGTCACCGTAGAATTTTTCGATATTTTTACTTTGTTTACTGTTTTTATTGTTCCACAACACACGATAGTGAAACGTTAATTTTTAGAGATAAACATGCGAGTAGTAGCGCTAGTTAGCGGCGGCAAAGACAGCACGTTTAACATGATGCAATGCATCGCTGCCGGCCACGAAATCGTAGCTTTAGCGAATTTAGTACCCTATTCGAAAACAGAAATAGACAGTTTCATGTATCAGAGCGTAGGACACGAAGCGATCGATCTCATAGCTGCTGCTATGGACTTGCCGATGTATAAAAGAGAAACGATGGGTAACTACGAACCGACTAATATTGTCCTCAATAGCTCGAGTTTTGTATTGTATTCTCTTCGCAGGAATATCTAACGATAGAGGTAAAACGTACACTCCGTCCGATAGCGATGAAGTAGAAGATTTGTACATTCTGCTCGAACAAATCAAGAAGGATGTCGAGTACGATGCTGTATCGGTCGGTGCCATTTTATCCGATTACCAAAGAATAAGGGTAGAAAATGTGTAAGATACAAACTCTATTCATCTACGAAAACCGATTTTATAAGTTAAGTTTCCAGTTGTATAAGACTCGGGCTGTTGCCTTTGGCCTATTTGTGGCAACGCAACCAAATAGAATTATTGGACGAGATGATTAAATGCGAAGTCGACGCCATATTGATCAAAGTTGCTACTCTCGGATTGGAAACGAAGCACCTCGGAAGATCCCTGAGCTCCATGCAGCCCCATCTGTTAACCATGCACGAGAAGTACGGGCTGAACGTATGCGGAGAAGGAGGCGAATACGAAACTCTTACGTTGGATTGTCCTTTGTTTAAAAGTAGAATAGTTGTGTAAGTCGCTCTGTGAATTACCCGATGCGGTTTACATTGTGTTGTTTTACAGTGAAGATTCCGAAGTTGTTATTCACTCGACGGATCCGATAGTATCGGTGGGTTATTTGACATTCAAGAAGCTTTCTTTGGAATTGAAATTACCCGCGCTGGATTTGCAAGATCGATTAGAAGGTTTACCGTTGAAGACTAGTGATGGATTCGTTACGGATCAAGAGGAAGACATCTTCAAGTCCCATGAAGATATCGGTAATGAATTAATCGCGCTAAAAATCTCGTATAATTATAATTTTCTAATATAGATGAAGTTCAAAACGATATAACACCTTCCGGTAACGTTGATGGTTCGTTTGTATCGGAAAATGTAGTTCAAGAGGCCACATCGGCTTACAGCGAAAAAGAAGGTTGGCTGTTCGCAGGAGGTATACAGGGCACTTCCAACAACGCTTTCGATGCCATGAAACAAGCTTTAAGTGTCTTAAAGTGTGGGTATGCATAGAACTAGTATATTTTATAATTTCATTTTCTTTAATTTGCATCTGTAAGCAAGTAGTTTATTTAGAGTTAAATCATAGATTTAGAAGTACATTTTTACACAATAAATAGACAATTTGCTTGTTTTGTATAATACTAGTAGCGTATACTAAAAAAAATGGTTGAAAACGCAATTAATACATGTAAAGTTTCATGATTCCAGCTGAATTGACTAAGTACGATCACACTGCAAGGGACGTGAGCTCTATCACGATGTTCATAGGGGATATGTCGCAATATGCGGCTTTAAACAAATTATACATAGATACTTTTAGTTTTTCCAATCCGCCTACTCGCGCATGCGTTCAAGTACCCTTCAGTCCCGATAATCCCGTGAGAATTGAAGCGGTTTCGTGGAGGGATAAGAAGCACGATGTGGGAGATATTACGGAGAGGTAATGTTTGGTATTTTGGAGATTTTGCGGTTGATAAATTGATGATTTTTTGTTGTGTTTTAGGCATACGATCCACGTTCAAAGCAGATCTCATTGGGCGCCTGCGAATATTGGGCCGTACAGCCAATCCGTGAGGATAAAAAATTTCGTCCATTTAGGTAAACAAAGAGTTAAATTGTTCATTAGATTCTAGAAATTCTGCAGTTTTTCTCTGAATTAGTAGATTTTTACTTTCTCGCTCACTTTTGGTTTGTCTAATTAGTAAATTGCAGATTTTATTTAACGTTTTATTAAGTGAATTGCGTCGATTTTACGATAACTTGCTCGATTTTCACTACAAATGCTCAAGTGATTCTGTTATTCGAAGTTTTACTGGGCAAATTTGTTTATTTTTCACCACTACTTACCAAGAAAACTTTTTTATTCTATTCTATTACTACCAATTAGACTTCTTATTCAACACTTTACTAGGCAAATTTACCGATTACAAGTAACCGGAGTACTAGAGTAACTGAAAGAGTAGTAGGATAATTAGAGTACTTATAAGCTATATTTAACACTTAGTTCTGAGCATTATATTTCATCAAATGACTGGTTAATGATGCTTAAAACTGAATTTGTAGCTGGTCAAATCGGTTTAGTTCCTGGCAGTTTGGAAATGGTGAAAGGCGGCATAAAGGCGGAATGTAAATTGGTCCTGAGACATTTGAAAAGACTGTTAATGGCTGTGGATCCCAAATTTAATTTGAGAAACGTCGTTCAGGTTCGTAACCTACTAGATAAATGCAAAGTTGTTTGCGATATAGTCAATTCTACGAGTTAAACAAAGAGAGGTTGTTAAAAACAACAGTGGTTAGAGCGAGAAAGAAAGTTACGATCCCACGACATCGCTCTTTCTTTCTCTTTCATGCGAGACTAATAGTAGTTGTCTTTGTTGCACTCATGCATACTACTGTATAATCACTCGCGTTAAATGGTTTTTTTCAATTATTTTTCCAGGGTATTTGTTATGTAACGGATTTCTCGTATATTAGCGCAGCTAGGAAACTATGGGAGGAGAGAACGAATAATGCTATCGTAGATTACGTTGTGGTAACGGGTTTGCCTAGAAATGCAACAGTCGAATGGCACGTTTGGGCGCATAAATACAACAACCAATTCGATTGTAAGTACTTATTTAAACAAATTAAAACTCTAATAACCCTCGTATTCAGAAGTTTTTTATAATCGAATGGTTTTGTAACCGACGGTTGTACATTTTCGAAATACGGAAATACGTGGAAAAACGTCTGAATCCGTGGTTAATTAAGGTAATTATTGAATTGTAGACGAGGAAAGGGGCAAATGCATCGATAATTTCTCCATATCGATATTCCGAAGGTGGAATTACGAGAACCACGTTTCAACAGTACTATGCAGAGTGTCCCATCTGGACGATAATATTTCCCTGGATCCCGCCATCGTCCACGAAGCGTTAGATTACGCTCTGGAAAAGCTCCAGCAGGGCCACGAGACCGGCGTGTCGGTCATAAATCTGAAAATATTCTACTCGATAAGGAAAAACGTCGCGGAAAAGGACATTTCCGGCTACTTCGAAAAGGTAACGAGAAATCCGATTTTGAGTTATACCTTCGTACCTGTCGTATCTCTGAATAGCGAGCATACGATTCTGTCAATTTGTGGAATTAGATTTCCGTAAAAGTGCAATTCTAGACGGTAAAGGACATTCGCGCTCGCTAGGCAAGTGTGTCCTTTATAGGACGAGTCGTTTCTTAAGTTTACAGGGTGTTTCGAAACAATTCGGAATTCAGGGACACGCTGTATATTTATTAATTTAGTCGACTCGTGCCTTTCGCGCACACAAAAGTTCAAACAATTTTCCTCTAAGGAACATACTTTATAATTATTAAGAGACGAAAGTAACTCGTTAAAACGAATTTGTTACAAATTGAAATAGTGTATCCTGGAAATAATAAATATATTCTAGTTGGATTATTTTTATATAGTATTTTTTTATTAAATACACTCACGTTTTCTCTTAGAAGTAGTCTAAACGTTTTACTATACAGGGTGTGTCTAAATAACACGGAAAGAATTTAAGAATTTAATTTTATTATACAAATTTGCATTTACCTGTATAATAAAATAAGGGTTTTAAGGAAATTATTAAAGCATCATGTGGTAATGAGAAATGTTTAATTCGTCAATAAATCTAAAAACAATGATTTTTATGCATAATAAAATATTCAATAATAAAAAGGAACCCCAAAGTCAAAATTACTAATTTTTGTTTATATAATACACGTTCAAATGGCTACAAGACTCCATAGGGTCTCTGGTATATACATATTTTGATATATATCTTATGTACAATTAAAAAATAAATAAATAAAAATATTAAGTACAATAAATTTCTTCTCGTGAGATAAGTTCTCTAATACACTTAGGTATGTAGGTAATCTTACATGCAATTCATACGTAAATCTTGAATACCAATTTCTAATAATTACTCGAAAATTATCGCCGGTTCAATTTCAAAAAATAAAATAATTTTTTAGAAATTTTTATTCAAGACGATTTCTCTAAAATTACCGAATTATTCACCGATGGAAAAATTTATAAACCGTTAGAATGCGTGTCTCAGGAAAAAAGGATTCGTGTGTGATTCGTTCTAAAAAGGACTAAACACGTATAAATCGAAAAGTTTGAGAGTTAACGAGAACATTATCCTGCTTCTTCCTGTCCGATTTTGCTATTTTGATAACTCCTCTAACCCAACATTAAATCTAAGTTAAATCCTCCTAATATCGTTACGCGCTACTGCAACATTTTTTGTTTCTCGTCGAAACGAGAAAAATGTTTTTTTGTTTAGGAGATTCGAAACGCCTCTAGACGAAAATTCAATTTTAAATATACCGTAATTTTTGATTTTATATCAAATAAAATAGACATTACGATTGCATGTATTTTATAGCGTTTTTGTATTCAAAATATTTAATTAATATCGATCGAAAATATCACTCTAAATTTAGTTAATCCAAAGGATGATTTGCCGTGTCAAAAACGCGCAAACGCTTTGGGATATTTAATTGTTCCACACCTTTAAAAAAAATGGATTAAATCGTGTGTTGATACAGATGCTACCCTGTTTATTTGCTACCTTTCAGGGTAGAGTAGAGTACAAAATTAAATTCATTGTAGATTCAATGCAGATTCTAAGTAGAGTAGAGTAGATTCAGAGTGGAGTAAAGTAGAAATTTAGAAAGAGGTAAAAGTAGCCCAAAACTATCTACAACTTTAGTGAAGAAGTTTTTTTGATAATATCTACAGTCACAGATATATTCAGCTTTTCCACACTAATTTGCCACCCTGTATAAACAGTATATACCTAAGGGTAGCAAATATCGCAGGGTCGCATCTATCCCCGATTCGTTGAAAACACTTCCTAAAATTTTGAAATTATATTTGTCAATTTTGCATTGTTATTTGATGAATATTCCAAATGTTCCACATCGATCTTTTGACACGCAAAGCATATTTAATATTTCATATACTTTTGAAATTCTAACATCAATTAAAATCTCTGAGCGATTAGTTAAAGTCGATTTCTTTATCTACGAAGTTACACGATGCACGGCGACGCGAAAGAGATCAATTTACCCTTCTTCGATGTATTTATACAGGGCGTCCCGAATAGAAATTTCTTGTATTCATATACAGTCGGTGCAAAACAAATTTATTCGAAATTATCGATTGAAATAGGTTCAATCGACTTGTTTTTGATCCTAGATTATGCGATATACTTTATGAGCGATCTTTTCGCTACACCCTGTATAATTATTGATGTAATCTCTCGAATCGCCCTGCGATAACAGTGCATATGTCACGATGGAAAAGTATCTTTATAAGGTGCTGATTAACGTTAAAAAGTTTCTTGTCTAGCAAATTGTGGTAATGATTAAGACGTTTGAAATATTCCTATTTAGAAATGTATCGTGACATATCCTGCGATTAGGTCATTTTCACCTATTTCATATGTATATTATATACACACTTCGAAATACTACATATACATAACTATAAACAGACAGTTGAAACATTTTACGATTATACATTTAAAATATATACAGTCATTATTGCCGTCTCAAATTTTAAGTCCCTTTTCCTATATATTTATTGAAATATTTATCTTTATCACACGTTTAAAGAATATACCTATTGAAAACAGCAAAATTTTTTCAAATTATAATTACGTACAACATTTTGATTGTTCGTTTCGTTTTACTTACGCACGAGTAAAACAAAAAGGGAAATAATAATTTTCTCAGAACGTAAATTTTGCTGTGTCCCATTTGTACGATCTGTTGTATCCATAAAAGTATGATTTAATACGAAGCATTCCGATTAAAATTAACAATTCCAGATTCGGTTTTTACATTTTGGAACTAAATTAGTCGAGCTAATAAAATGATCTGTTATGACACTTTAAAAATAGGGGTATACTTATAGTATATGGCAAAAAAAAGTTGAGCAATCGTTTCGAATAGAAACCAAAATCGTTAATTTCAACGGAACCTCGTACACCGTACTTACATCCGGTACTGTCGTAATAAAAATAATCACCAACAGAATTTACACCCTTCGAGACAACCCCCACAGCCTCTAGCAGCCCTTCACCCAGGCCGCGGGCACCCACTGGGGCTCCCTCTCCAGGCTGTTGATCTCGTTGAGCAGCTGATGGTAGGCCCTTTCGGTGTCGTTATTTATGATGATCAGATCGAAGAAATGACCGTACTTTTCCTCCATCGCCCTCGCTTTTTCTATGGTGTCTTTCAGCTCTTCCTCCTGGAATTTTACAAATTCTGTAACTCGCCTGGTACAGGAGAATCGCTTTAAAGCACTTGGTATATCTCAGAAAAGCTCTGTTAATCAGATTTGTTGATATAAAAACGAGTAATCTAGAAGACTTAAGTCTGGAGATCCTCCGGATCATTTAAAAGGACCCTTATTAATCTCTTATAAGACTTCCATCTCCTATAGGAATGTAATTATGAGACCCAACACCTTCCTTTCAACATCCTACAGTGAAGCATTTGAAAAATCATGGCAAAATGCTAAATCTAATACCTCAATTTCTTCACTATCTTATACAAAACTTCTCAACCTTCTCTTCTCCAGATACTACCATCATCTTTGCACACTGTATTTACCTTCCATTCGATACATCAAACAAAATAAGTAGAGCTAGTGTACCAAACGTTCTCTCACCTTATACGATTCCCCGTTTCTGATCTTCTTCTGGCGCAATTTCTCGAGACTGGGCGGCGCCACGAACACGACGTACGGCTTCAGATCGGAGGTCCGGAGGATCTTGAGGCTCTGCGGGTGCAAATTGAGCACGCATATCTTCCCCGACGTGACCACCGATCGGATGGCGTCCAACGATGTGCCGTAGTACGATTTCTCGTACTCGCCGTGCTCGACGAACTTCCTCGACAGGATGTCCGCCTCGAACTGCGCCCGCGTGATGAAGTGATAGTCCTGGCCGTCGACTTCGTTCTCTTTGCGAGCTCGGGAAGTATCTGTAACGTTTCGAGGTTTAGTTAATAGGAATCATCAGCTGGAAGGAGATTGTTCTTACGCGGTATGGCGGCGGCGAATCGCTCGCTGTCCTCCATAAGTCTTTGTCTCAGCTCGTGCCTGCCGATGTTGGGCGGGCCGATCAGGACGATCGGTCGCTTGTTGTTGGCCCGCGGGTAGTACAACGACACCTCTTCGTAGGTGAGGATCTCGTCGATTTCGTACTCGTCGACGTTGTTCGAGTACATGGGATAGCCGCCGTCGGCGTAGGCGCCTTTCTTCTTTTTCCGCTTGGTCGTCTTGCCGCACAACAGCGTGGTGGACTTTCGCTGCGGCTTCGACATCCGCTCTTCGGCGGCCAGCCGCATGTTCTCCCGCTGGTGTTGGAACGATTGCGACGGCACCAAGCCTGAGGAAAACCAGAGATTTTGTCATCGAACTAATGAAGAGGTTCTTGGGCGTATGAGACGGCAAAGAGTACTGGTGAAGTCGTGTAATGTGAGGAGATTGAAGTGAATAGACAGACGCCAAAAGTTCTCAGAAGATGGGTTGAATCCAACCATTGAATATCCAGGATTGTGTTGGAGAAGGTTACTTAAGAAAGTTTGGTGTTTAGGAGAGGGATAAAGAGAACCTCCAAGCACTACAAATAAAAGAATTTTGAAGAGGAAGAATTGGTTTACCTGCTAACGTTTGATCCTCTTCGCCTTCCCTGTAGGCTTGCCACCAATTGGCGTCCTCTTGGCTAATGATATGCAGTACATCACCTTTTTGAAATCCAATCCCCAGCTCCCTGCACGGTATGTACATGTCCTCTTCGGGATCGTAGTCGAAATGAGCGCGGACATGAAGAAAGTTATCCCTGCAGAAGATTAACGGTGAAATGGTAAAGTGGAAATGAGTTGGTTGATAGAGCGACATACCTGTTATTGTGCCTGGGAACTTGTGAAGCGGGTATGATGAGGAAAGTGAGTGTACCTTCCATCGTTTGCAATATATCACAGACAGCATTGATGCTTTTGCCGCGCATCTCAATGCCGTTGACCTCGAGGATTTCGTCGCCTTCGTGAAGAAGGCCGCTTTTGTCGGCGGCCCCGCCACGAATCACTCTACCTACAACGTCCCGAAAATGTACACCGAAACTCTACGAGGATTCGAAGATTGCTTACCGACGACTACGGCATCTCCGTCGTTCTTCACCGTGGCACCTAGTGGTTCAGTACTTTTCTCTATTTTAATAACTTTAATGTTATTTTCCCCGTATCTACGGTCCGTCATGGAAATGGGCACCGTTTCGGCGGTAGACGGCGTAGGCGATGTGGAATCAGTCGGTAACGTTGAAGCGACGCCGTCGTGTGCAGCCATCAGGGCTTCAAATTCGTAACCTGCATGCACAAATTATTAAAAACCTCGCTTTAAGCGCCACAACAAACAGCTCACCAGTCAATAAGGCAACCAATTCCATGGCATAAGCACTTTGAGAATGTCCAATTGTATCAAGGCAGTCCTTTAGGGCAGTTTGGGCGTTCGGCAACGGCCTGGGCGTCGTTCGCGATCTCACCGATTGGACCTTATTGTGAACGGCGAGAGCCCGACCGAATTGCGGCGACAGCAGGAGCGATTGTATGGCCGCGATGCGGCCCTCCAGACCGCCCAGGCCGCCGCTCGAGCAGGCTTTCTTCAGTTGCAACTGGAAGCGTTGGATCGATGCCACCAAGTCACCATAAGCTGACGGAATGAAAGTTTATAAGCCTCAAAATAGATCAAGGAATTACTAAACTCATGCATCCTTGGAGCTCTACAATCTGGAAGCTTTGAAGATGATTTCAATCAAATGCAAAGTTCATCTTCAAAAGAATCCTGATGGAGAACAGAAGATTCAATTGTACTACTCATGTAGCCACATTTGCTGGAAGATATTTAAGATCAAGACCCTTTGAAAATGACTTCTATCAATGCAAATATCGTCTTCAAAATGCTCCAGATGATGAAGGAAATTTCAATTTCACTACTCATATAGCTACATTTGCTGGAATATACTTGAGATCAAGAACCCTTGAAGATGATTTCTATCAAATGCAAATATCATCTTCAAAATGCTCCAAATTCTAATGGAAGCTTCAAATATTGTACTACTCGTGTAGCTACATTCACTAGAAGATATTTGAGATCTAGAAACTTGAAATGTTCCACAAATATAATCTTCAAAAGGCTACAGATGCAGAACAGAGACTCCAGTGGTACTATTCATCTAGCTACATTCTCTAGAAGATATAATGGAACTAGAACCTTTGAAGATGACTTCCATAAAAGCAAATTAATATAATCTTCAACAGGCTCCTTTTATTTATGTTCTACTCATCGAACTATATTCATCTGTATCTTACCGTATGGAACGTGCACCAGCTCCTTTTCGCCCTTGGGGCCCGGGGTGCTGGACCTGGAGGAATCCTGGGCCTCGTCTTCGTAGGCGTCGTTGACGGACCCGTAGGGTTTGTTCTCCAGGGCTTGCAGCTTCCGCGAACCGCGCAGAGACCTGTTGAGGAACTCATTTTGGGCGGCCAGGCGGTCTTCTTCTTCTTTCCTTTTGCGAATTTGCTCCTGGAAAGTCCAAGAAAGAGATGTATTTTAATATGATTTTGAAATGGAGTAGATACAAGTGTGGATGATATTGAATGTTTTTTAATTGATTGTAAAGGAAATTCCGCGTTTATCCTTGCTTTTGGAATCGTTTGCGATATTGTATTTGATTATATTCAATTCAATAAAGTTGGCGCGGTAATAATTTTAGCTATAAAATAAATTAGTGTATTGTTAATAATATTTGTGGAGCAACGTGATTGATAAATGCGCGAATAAATACGATTCTCGAAACTGGTGTGGGATTTACAAATGCGAATTATTTTGCATAAAAGAATTCACGCCGTACGGACAGGTCACGTTTAACTCTACATTAGGCGGTTAATGGTAAATTGAATAAAATATCGTAAATTAAAATTGAATCAGAAATCATCTATGTTTGCGTGTTGAATAAATGCTAATTTTCTAGTGGGTACAGCGGTGTAGTATCCGATAGTCAACAAAAGTAAAAGTGTGTCGCATAAAATTGAGTCGATTTCGTTTAAATTCAATGCAATTAAAGAAACTGTACGTTTAGCTTAATTATTGATAGTCAATAATGTACGTTTGATGAAATCCTGGCGAATTTTGTGAGGCAATCAAACACTAAAACTGTTTATTCGTACTATTAATAGACTGGTGATCAAACTTCTAGGTTGGTAATAAAATATTAATTTGATTTTATGGTTGGAAAATGCATTTTTTTTATTATTTCGCTTATTTACAGGACTATTCACGAAATATATTATTAGCACATAAATTAGATAATAACTCGTAATTACACTTAATAAGCTATTAATGGTATTGGAAAAACGCGTTCAAAAAAATGAAAAATTTCATAATAACCCCATTTCCTATCGATAAATATTTTGCACACGCGTCAATTTGTTTATAATCGCACGCCAATAACGCCGCAAACTGGCCGAAAAAAAATTTAAATACCCACCTTAACCGGGTACCAATTGTTATTTTCATTAAATTCGTACACCATTTTTCCCTAAAAAATCGCCACGTCCATTTCCCATGCCACAAACATCCACAAACGCACAAACGGAAAAAATCGCATACCGAAATCAATGTTTCAATTGTACGTGTAAAATGCAAACACTAGGTATGAAACGAAAACACGGTGAAAAATTCAAAGCTCTGACGCATCGACGAGGAAAGACGTGAGTCGAAAACCGGATATCAACCGCTCGTACGTGTTGAAAGAAGACGGATATATGACCAGCGGAGCCGTGCATTTTTTACAGGTAAAGGTGTCCACTCCCACCTGTTCATATGTGGGGCTTTGTTGCCGGTGTATTATGCATTTCACGTGAAATTATTCCTAATCTCACTACAATTAGTACATTTTTTATTGTGCTTTATCTACAATAAAAATTAAAAACACTAAGGTAGACTGGGGGCAAATAGGTTGTAAAATTTGAATAGTTCAAATTAAATCCTAAAATGTGGCTTTATTTTTTCTCTTATTAGAAATGCTGATACCGCATTAAATTCACAACTTCCTAAACTAAAGAATCGAGGTATTGAAAAGTTTTTTTTTGAAAAAGGAAGAAAACGATTTTACATATTTTGTAAAATGTTGACAATATTTTACATTTACCCCGTACCAAACGGTTCTAAAGAGACAATACAATTATATAGAAAAACATATGGGGCAATTGTAAAAAAATATTTGGTTCCTCTAAAATTTGATATGCTGTTTATTTATTTATTTCAAAAAATAACAGAGCTACAAAATAATAAAGAAAAAATAAGAAACAAACCCTGTCTAATGCACAAAAGAACTATAAAAATAATAAAAACATTAACATAATAGGTAAAAATATTACATTTACCCCATTTTTACATTTGCCCCAGTCTACCTTACAGGTAAAATATTGCGTGCAGTGCATAAACTATTTAAGTGAATAAATTTCTATAAATTCTCTCATGGGGTAGTTTATTCTGTTTCGGGGAAAAATTCGAAAGAAAGTTGAATGGCACCCCGTCAAGAGGCGCCTTGAAACATTATCTGAAGGGTGTCTGGTCTACGTCGTTACCAAGCACTTAACATTATTGCTGGAATTATGAGAAAAAAATGGGCGGTGATCTGTTTGAAGAGTACCATCGAAAATATCCGATTTCCCACATTGGTACCGCGAATAGGTCCGACAACAGCGCTCTTTTTATTATGGAGAAAACAATATTGACAAAGTCAGGTCGGTGTAATTAATGATTAAATAAATGAATCGTTAGCGAGTACAATGAATGAGCACATCGTTAGTTTTGAAAGAGCCACGATTACAATGTTTATTGTAGTGAGAAAAATATGCGGGGGGATATATTTCAACAGCTTTTTTACATGCTGGTTTGAATAAAAAAACGGAGAGTAATTTTAGTGAATAATTCGGTATAATGTTTCTATTTTTTTTATTTAAATGTTATGACTAAATTACCTACTCCCTATACGCTAAAAAAGTGTAAATTCATGTAAATGGAAAATACATCGAGACATTTGCATTTCGCATTCGAAATTGCATTTATTGGAAAGAGCATGAATCGTAAATTAACAGCATTTTAAAATGCACTTGTTATTCAAATCATGCGGATAATTTCATTAACTCATCGATCGACATGTTTCTAGTTCAACAACTGTCCATCGATGTCGATTAATTACCCCCTTTAAAACGACATTTTATTTTCATTTCGAAAAGTTCTCTCCGAGAAACAGAAGAGCCATTACACAACAGATATTATTAAATCGTAGTCTAGGATACCCGAGCGTTTAAAATTCCCCAGCTAGAACCCGCATCAGTTACACTCGACCTAGCCAAACGGAGTGTATACCGAATACCTGAATTCCACTTTTACCAGGTAAATTCTTTTCGGTCGGAATTCCTCGTTATTAACGATTACCTAATAACAACAGACATTGTAGGTGTACGAACCGACCGACTAATGGATACGTGATGTAAATGTACCGTAAGGTTACACCGTTAGTACCTATTATTCTTCACCAAAAACACAATCATTTTTTACTCATAAACATCGAGAGTAACGGTGGTCAAATTGACGCAAAAATTACTCTAGAGTAAAGCAGAGCAGATTCAGGATATTATAATAGATTCGTAGTAGAGTAGAATGGAGTAGATTTAAAGTGGAACTCAGATCCGAGTAGATTCAGAGGGGAGTAGATTCAGAGCAGACTGGATTCAGAGTGGAGTAGATTTAGAACGGAGTATTTTCAGAGTGTAGATTCAGGAAGGAGTGAATTCAAAGTGGAGTAGATTCAAGGTGGAGCAGACTCGGATTCTAGTAGATTCACAGTTGAGTGGATTCAGAGTGGAACTCAGATCCGAGTAGATTCAATGTGGAGTAGATTCGTAATAGAGTAAATTCAGAACAGACTGGATTCAGAGTGGAGTAGATTTAGAACAGACTAGAATCAAGGTGGAACAGACTCAGATTCGAGTAGATTCAGAGTGGAGTAGCTTCAGAGTAGAAGTAGGGTAAATTCAGAGTACAAGAGAAACTCAATTAGCTAAATTTCAACACACATTATAACTGTTATAATTATAACTGAATTTATACAATGAAAAACATCACATCCAATGACCATTTTACACCTGCTTTAGCGCCCTATACACTCAACATTTATTGCAATATATCTTCAGTAAATTTACAGTGGAAGAGGGAAAGAACGAACATATACCTGATATTTGCTGATGCTATCCAATTGCTCCTTGGTGGGTTCGACGGGTTGGGGAGGTTTGACCGCCGCTGTGGCGTTACCGATCGGCGTTGGGACGTTGTTGTTGGTGATGCGAGCAGGTAGTTGGGGCGCAGGTGCTCTGTTGGTTATCCTGCCGTCCTTTTCGATCTTCAGGTGATCCCTCGGAGGGGGTACGGGTTTCGATGCGACGGTTTCGGATGGCTGGAAGACGGAACAATCGTTCGGACCACTCTGAAACAAAAAAACAACAACATTTTTTCGTTCGATAATCGAGTAGATCGCGGCTAGGAAACGATCGAAAGTCGATCGGGGAGCGGTCCACAACGGATGTCGCGTAGATCGTACCTGCACCGCGCCGGAAACCCATTCATTCCGATATGAAAAGGACGTTCTTGTCGTTCCCCGTTGCGCTGTTTACGCAGGAAATGACTCCATTGTCGTTGTCGTTTGATTGTTTTTACCGAAATCCGCGGAAGATTCGCCCCGAAACGGCGGGAATTATCTAATCCGCAAACGTACTCGCGCTTTAATAGACAATCGATCACACCTTGAAATACATACTTGCATGGTTACGAGCTGAAAATGCGACTGTTAAATGATCGATAACCGGGAAGCCTCCTATCAATTTATTTGTTTTGAGAATGGATTGTTTTCGAAACAATAATATTTCGGATATCTAAGCTATATACGCGAGCTGTAATTATTTAAATATTTCGTTCGTCAGTTGTTGCGAATGTTTCAGGTATAAAAAGGAATTATATTTGAGTACATTTAGAGTAAAATTGAATAGAGTAGTTTCAGAGTGGAGTAGATTCACATTAGAGTAAAATTGAGTTTTTCATAGTAAAGTAAAGTCGTAGTAGATCAGATTCACAGTTGGATTCAGAATGGAGTAGATTCAAAGTGTAGTAGGTTCAAAGTTGAGTAAAATTTAATAAATTCATAGTAAAGTAGAGCCGTACTAGAGCTAGAGCACATTCAGAATAGAATGGAGTAGACTCGAAGTCAAGTAGATTCAGAGAAGAATAAATTCAGTGTGGAGTAGATTAAGAGCGGAGTGGATTCAGAGTGGAGTAGATTCATAGTAGAGTAGATTCAAAGCGAAGTAAATTCCGAGTGAAGTAGATTCAGAGTGGAGTAAACTCACAATGGAGTAGAATCAGAGTGGATAGGAGTAGAATAAGGAATTCTAATTTACACGATCATTATATTGAAAGAGAATAAATACATGAAAATAATTTGCAATAAAAAAAATCCTAATCTATTTGTGGGTTATTTCTACGCCCAATTTCACCGGCTCCCCGAATCGTACTCTGCGAGTACCTTTATGAATAATACATCTTCAGGTAGAAATCAAACAATCGCGCAAATCAAACGTTTTATAGGAAAATTACCTGAAGGTTGGGTTTGGGCGGCGGATACCTCGGAGGCGTCTTGTTCCTGGCGATGAACGTGTCCGGCACGTCGACGGCCATCTCCCGATGGGGTCCGTTGTCGTTGGGTATCATCATCACCATGTTATTGAATTCTAGGCTGTCGTGGAGTTCGAGATCGGGCGGCTTCTTGACGGGCTCCAAATCGCCGTCGAGAACCACTATGCTGCTGCCTGAGCGACGACGAGGTCTGTTTGATTTGAAAAAAAAAATCGTTATTTTTCACTAATTATTCATCGACTAAAGGTGATGTTTTTTTTTATCTAGTCTAGAAACGGTTTTTAGTGGTCTTCGAGGTTCCGGAGTAATCCGGTGTTAATGAGAGAAAAAACCGATCGTACGACCTACAATAAACTCGTATTTATTCGGGTATTATATCACGCGAAAGTGGAGCGTAGAGATTCCTCACTTATTAATATTTTTACGGTCAAAAAGTACATATTTTTTTGGTTATTAAACCTTAATTAATTGTCGAACCGTTAATATTTATTGCGAAAGTAAATAAACTGTACAATAGAATTATTCCAATAATTTTATTCTTCTATTTTAAATAACACATTCGCTCAATCACCGATCGCTATGTACAATTGTTTGTCGAAAAAAAATACATAACTTGCGCGTGAATAACGAAAACTTATAGGTGTGGAAGATGTTGCTTATGAGCTTAGGTAAATGTATGAATAGGTATTTGAATACAATAAACCCACGTAGAGTTCATTGATTAAAGCTGCTTCCTATTAAAAATTTACATTTATCTTTCAACGAATATCGCTTCGAGAGAATATTTTCAACGGCCCGTTTGGTGTAATTTTCGAAGTAAAATGAAGCAATTACGGAACGAATTCAAATATTTTGCGGTTTGCAGGTAAAAAAATGTACAGTTTATATTCCCATAATACCATTCTCTAAACCGTTAAATACTATCGTTATAAATTCCAAAAATCTCACCCGATATAAAAATTCAAAATTCTCATTTTTCGCAATCGAAATCACCTAATCACACATCAAAATTACACACTAACAAAAAATCACAAAAGCTCCTATTGCACTCGGTCCGGCTCGAAACTTCGCATTCCTCGTATTACATCTCACGCGTTATTTAGACCAGACTGAAGTCGAGCCTAAAGAACCAAGAACAAGTGGGTGTACCACAGGTACCAACGGAACACAGTATCGAGCCTCACCGGCGGGGCTATCGCGTGTTAAAAGCGCCCGGCGATTCTATAATTTCTTCCGATGGACCGAACGAACCGTCAGGGCATTCTTCTGGAAGGTGTCGCTTTCGCTTGGTCAACGCGAAGGTAAGAAATCGTGGAAGGTGGAAGCATTAATAGCTTCTCGGTAGATATTGTACGTATGAGTAGCGCAGGTTTCTGTGTTTGTTGGAATTTTACGGTAGATACTAGGTGAAAGAATTTACCTTAAATTATTGAAATGCTATCAGGAGAAGCGGCGCATAAACCGTATTACTTTGAGTATCTATATGTAGATTAAAAGTTATAGAGAAAGATTTACTTTGGGCGAGGAAATAACGAATTTTAATAACGTTTCCTCGAAAACGGAAGGAGCTTCACAGTCGAACTGTTACAGTAATTTAAGGTTTCCTCTAATCTAAAGAATACGTGCATTTCTCGTTCGTCAAAATACCAATGATAATGATACACTGGTGTTTATTGGTTGTGAATAACTCGCTATGCTGCTTTAAATACGTAATTTTATACTATTGTAATTACGACTTGCAGTGTATAATATATCTGATTTTTTTTTAATAAAGTTAATATTAAAATCCTAGGAGGAAGATTGGCTTATTCTTTTAGCAGAAATAAATTGGCTTCTCGTACGAACTTGACAATAAAAAAGATATTTCATGTAAGGATAAGAGGATTATAAGATGACAAAATTTTTCTGTTGAAATATACATTTTAATGAGCTTATCATATACCATGAAATTAATGATGATTTTATGACAAAACCACAAAACTTTGTATTCAAATCCATTCGAAATTTCGTGACAGTGAAAGTTTCTATTGTACGAAATCACTTTTAATCCGACGATAATAATGATTTAATCGATTGTGTAATGGATTGATAAGAATAATTAGAGCCGATTTATTAAAAATAGTTTCTAATTCAGTTTATTATAGAAATACAAATCTTCGCTTTCGCTTATTGAAATTAAACTGCGACAAATTTTAACGGGAAAGTACACAATTTATACCAATCAGTTCATCAGATCAACAATTTACTAAAAATAATACAAGCGAAGCTTCGAAGTGCAATTTAATACCCTTTATAACGAGTGAAAGTACGATTAGCGATGATGAATTCGAAAAAGGTTTCCTTCATTACGAAAACAAAAAAAGAATTGCATTACCTGTTTTCGAGGTCGACGCCCAATTTATTATTATTGCTTTCTACGATAGCGGTGGTTCTCACTTTATTATTGTCATCTGCAGCTAACAAGAGCTCAGTTCTACCATTTTGGAAAGGAGAAGAACTCCTTCGGTCACCGAGTTTCCTGCTTTGGACCGGACTGTCGCACGCGTTCAGGAGTTCACCCTGGAAACAACACCGATTTTTCGAATACACCAATTACTTCGCCAAATACAACGAGATAATCGCAAAAAAACAGTAAACAATGCTGAATACCTACATGCTTTTGTCGTTTGTATATACAATATAGGCTGGGTGTTTTATCGAAAAATGTATCAAATTACGTTATATGTAGTGTGTTATAATTTCAATTGCCTTTAACAAGTCGATTATGCGAATAAAGTTAGGCGATTTACCTGTGCATCGTTGGATGTCCTGTTGAGGACCTCCTTGTTGGCGTTCTCGGCGTTCTCGAGCGCCTCGCCGGCGACTTCCCTGCCGTTGTTCAGTTGCTGGGAGGTGGTGATTGTGTCCCTGCTGATGGCCACCACGGCCGTGGTGGTGCTCAGCACCCGCCGCCCCGCCGCCGCCGCTTTTTCCTCCTGCCTTGTTTGCGGTGGCGTTGTTGTTCAAATTTCCAGTGGCGGTCAACGAAGTTACGTATATCGATGAGTTTTTTATGAAGCCGTTTAGTTCTTCGCCCGAGGACGTCGTTTGGTTCAGCTGGAACACACGATGCAGATATTTTTAATTCATCTGTTCATCTTTAGGGTGTTTTTAAATGGGAAAACTTATAGGTTCAGTAGTTCCAGTAAGATTCAAATTTGGCTTCAAGAATTGATTTGAATGTTTCTTATAACTAATATAGAGACTCCAAGCAATGTATCTCCTATTTTTAATCTCTCCTACTCCATTATATCTTTAAACGTAATTCTAGTAAGATTCGAGTTTTCTCGAACGGATGTGTGAATAATTTTAGGTTGAAACATTACAATACTCGCGATTGTAGTGGAGAAAAGCACCCGTTGGAAGGTATAGGTTGCAGGTAAACCAGGGAAATCGATAAAAAAATTAAAAGGTTTCCTTACTTGTTGAGAGAGTTTGTTCATGTCGACTGGAGTAATTCGTTTGAGGGCCGAGAGCCTCTCCAGACGTTCTCTGGCTTGTTGCTCCACAGCGATAACAAAGGCATCTTGAACATTGTTCGAACACAAATCTAAGTCCACAGCTGAAACGACATGTAAATTTTAGAGGATCGTAAATAGACTTTTTGCGAATGCTTTAAGAGTGTAGTATTTTTTTGTAAATATTTTACAACAGTTAACCGTTAAAGTATGTCGATAATTTTATGATACAATTCAGTTAAAACGCATAATGGTTATTACTCAGTTATCATTTATAAAACAAACATAATTGCATGCTTTCTTTCGCTAATTTGACACGAACTAGATCAATTAGTTGAGTTATTAACGTTTTATTTTGTTCAGAAAAAAAGTTACTTTACACCAACACACATGGGTGATTACTACTTATTATTTAGGTAATTTTCATCGCCCAGAAACCGATCAATCGCCGCGGAATCTCCTCGAAATGTTCGACACAGTTCCACCCATCCCCAATAGAAGAGTAACCGAAGATGCTCAAGATCTCGCGAGTCTCGTCTAAAATTACGAAATCGCCTTGTATATGAACTCCGAGTCAAGGTTAACTGGGTATTGCGGTGTCGATGTCGACAAGACTTTGACCATTTTATTCCTCGTCATTTCGAATCGAGACGGGCCGGCTCTTCGAAATATCAATCCCTCAAAAATTTAGAGCCGCTCGAAGTTCCTACACCGCGAGATTGGAGGTTTTGTTTGGCTGAAATTCCGCCATGACCTAAGACTAAAGCTATGTAGGCCAAACCGGGCTGTGGCTTTTAGCTTATTGCTAATGATGTTTAACTTTTGTGAGGAGATTGTAGAGTCAACAGATAATTGGGCTTGACGTAATAATGCTTTTTCCACCATTTTTGTGTAGTCGAAAATCAATTGGGAATTCCAAAAGCGATTCAGACAGACGCCCAAGGTCGTAGAAGTTTGAAGAACAATGAAATCAATTTTTTTAATTGCGCCTTACCGTTCATAAATATTTATTTTGGCGAGAACGTACGATTTTTTTTTAATTAGATGATACTTCGGTGGAATTGTTGAAAGTAATAATTTCGGACAAGCTGTATATCGCAAAGCGGAATTTGAAAAAACAACATCGGGAAAGCGAACTTTTAACAATGGCTTTCTTAAATTGGAAAATGCCCCGTTGTAAAGAACACGGCGGTTTTTTTAATGTAAGTATAGAAATGCAATGGAACAAATTGAAATGGGAAAATGTCTGACCTCTTTTGTCGATATCGGGGATGTTTCAGGTCTCGACGGGAGAGCGGAGTTTCACATTGTAAGTTTCGCATCAACGTCGAGAGCCTGCCAGATAACTAGTTTATTTATGGAAGAAAATCCATTACTAGGTAATACGATTTTTTTCGTATATCCACGGTGGAATTTTTTCATTAATTAGACAATGCCGGGGGGTTCGTTTAAAAGGAAAATCAAGAATTTTCGAAAAGTAGGTTGTGCAGTATAGGTCGTTGAGCTCGGTAAACGATATTGAAAATATTGATCTGTTGTCTTCCAGAGCTCGATTAATTGAAGGTTTCTTTAAAATATATTAGAGCAATAAATACTAAAGAGTGAGTACTAAAGAAACTCAAGTAATTAATTTTTTATCCCTAACTAATTTTAGCTTAAATTCGCTAGTATTTTGCGCTTATCTCGATTAATTTCGATCTGCAAATAGCTGAAGCTGTAGAAGTCACATGGACAATGGCAAATAAACAAAGTAACTCAGTAGGTTATCATTCGCGCATTTCGTGCATTTTATTATACGCATCGGTTTGTAGTTATAAAATTTTAGTTCGTGATGATGTGCAAATGAGTATTTGAACAATGCCATCAACAAAGTAAGCTTAATTTTAGGAGTTTTTCTAGGATGTCGAATGGAAGGATGCCTCGCGTGATGTATGAGTAAGAAAGTATGAAATTTTGTGACCCCTTTGCATTTGAAACTCACCATAGAGTGGCGTGTGAACAAATAAATGCCGACGATAATTCACTTCTAGAAAGTAAGACTAATCAACGAGGTGCATGTAAATAATTTACGTTTATTCAGAAGATACTGTTAATAGCGAATTGAATAAAAAAGTTGACCTTAGAATAACCAGTGGGATTATTTTACATAACTAAAAATTAATGTTCTTACATTGTTTAATCGTAATTATTTCAAGAGAAGTCTATGAGCAATATGAATAAACAACTTATAAAATATGCGAATAAAATTCCAAGAATGGCATTTCGATTGAACATAAATTATTCAAAACTAATCGAACGTAGACGATTTTTATATTGTAATATAGGTACATCTTCGAAATCGAAATTGGCATTAGAAAGCCGCGCGTTAGGTTAATTCATTAATTAATCGCTACAGATGCACTCACCGCTAAAAGCCAATAAATCCGTTCGAAAGTCGGATATCCAAATAAAAAAAAACCGAACAGAAAAGTACCCGCTCGAATCGCGATCGCCACAAAACACACGAAACGCGAAAATCCTCCGGCGGCCCGCGAAAATGGACGCGTTTTTTGGGGATTTTCAGATTGCGGAAATTCGTGTTGGCCACGTATTTGCTATACTTCTACATCTATCGCGCCGAATGGTGCAGGTAAAACGAGAAAGTCGCCGCAGACGAACCAGCGACTTGGTAACTAGTATTTTCCTACCTTGTCGTGATTCCTGATTCGTGATTGCACGGTGTAAAAGAACCGCGGCGTTGTCGGATTTTATCGCGTTTCCTATGTAAACCGTATTAATATTACTACCATTGATTACATAGGAAATTTATCTAAGTTCTGTCCTGTTAGGTTTGTGACAGAGAACCGTTTTTAAAACCCATTTTTCAAAGGGCCTAAAGATGATGGTAATAGGTAGAGTGAGCTTTTAATTTGAAGCTTTCAGGCATCATGTTATCCCTTAATTTGAGGACACCCTGTGTATTATACATAATTTATTCATGTAAAGATTCTATTTCGATTAGTCCTTCACTCCTTTTATATGCAATATAGTACAAATAACTCTGGTAAAATTAATAAATTTAATAAAAAAAACGTACCCAAACGAGCACCGCTTCTCCTCTTCACTCGTAAACATATTGTCCGGGATCTTATACACTAAAAACGAAATACACTTCGATTATTAAAAAGTATCAAATTACCAATTACACCCACAATTAAGCTCTCTAATTAGATTAGATTTCAAGTAATTTAAATTGGAAATTTACCTGGTGGATATGGCTAATAACTTCCGTGTGTGTGGCGTCCTCCAACGTTTTCCCGTTGACTTCTAGAATTTCATCGCCGACTTCCAAATTGTCTTTGTCAGCAGGTGAACCTGCGAAGGAGCGAAACAAACTCAAAATTCGCGTGGTAAACGATTCATTCTTCTGGAATAAGGGCTAGAGGGGTAACATTGTGAAGGAAAATGTTTCGCGAATTGAGTTAGTAAAGTTTTTATGTGTTGAATTTGGTAAACAATTTGTATTGTTGATTTCTTTGTATTCTCAACATTAAATAGGAGTGGATGTTTTTATAGGATTGTCAATTAAATTTGTTGTCTGATTCGATAGATTTAGTATGCTTTTTAACAGGAACTTACCGTATAATTTAATTTTTTTGTCCTTGGTTTCTACCAGAATTATAACATATCCACCTAAATCCACCATGGTTTGAGTGGCATGAAATCTACAGAAAGAGAAAAAATAATGGAAAATTATTTTAGTTATTGAAAAAAAGGGTTCATAATCATTGTATCAGACTTTCGTTATGGGAACGAAAATGTGATAAGATCTTTAAATTGTAGTCATTTTTTGTAAATCTTTAAAATACCTTCCCTTTATACCTAAAATACTGCTGTAAAAGCTTTTAGAAAGATGAATTCTTCCATTAAACAATTCTCATTATAGTCTTATTGTTAGTTTAAAATTGACGATGAGATTTGTGGAAAAATCGAAGCGGATTCTGTAGAAGTATTTCTGAAGAAATAAGATTAATCTCCGTTAAAATGGACAAACTTCTATATCCATTTAATCCCATCCCCAACTTTTAAGCTTACGAAACGGAAAAACTAACATCATTTAAAAGGTATTAATCAAAGAAATACAAAAAAAATATATGACGGAGTGGAACTGAATCAATTAATATAGAGATATCAATTTACAAAATAAATTTATTTGATAGATTTAAATGGAAAATTAAACTTACTTGATCACGATGAACTCCAACAGAAATCAAATCCCAAGCGAACCTTTTAATGTATTCACTATATAAACAATTTCTTCGACGTTAATAAAAACATTTTGAGTTTGTGCGTATATCAGAAATATAAACTAGAAATAAAAAGAACACCATCAAACAAAGGAACACGCAATAATTCAAAAATAAAATTCAACTAGGATTTAATCAGGTACACTTCGCGACTTTCCGCATTTTATAATAGTCTGCTTGTAGGTAGAATTTCCACCATTTGAAGCGGTTTTTCAGTCTCGTCCCGTCACTGGAAGTCGCCATTTTGTCGCTACATGGTTTTTCTCCAGTCGGTTACGTTCGAAATCCGGCAATTTTCCCGTGATCACCCGCGCCTGATGGTAACATTTTCCGAAAAAGGGTTAGACGGGTGTGGAATGCGTGCCGTTTCGTGATCAATAAACTCCTTTTGGGGATGCTGAGCTCTCGCCCGTGCTGCTTCTGCCTCGTGCCGTTTGCGCCTGGTCCACGCGTTTTCCCACTTTTCCTACGTTACCTAACCAAACTCGAATTATAAAAGTGGGGCAATTTATTTTCTACTTATTATATACCTACTTTTATTTATTTCTAATACTCTTTCAACACAAAACGTATGCTAATAACAACAACAACTAAACGAATCCTTAATAATATCTATCTAATTTTTTTTTTGTTAAGCATCAGGCACTATACTTGCATCTTCATTAATATCTTCTATAACTTCCTGCGGAGATTTCCCTTCTACGGTACATCCCACCGAATTGGCGGTACCTAATATCTCCTTAACAGTACCGGCGAGTGTTTTGGCCACGGATCTCGGTCTCATCTCCCTCGCTATGTCGATAATGGCTTCCAGTGGTAAGTTCCCGTTGTGTTTAATGTGCTTCTGTTTCTTCCTGTCGCGTTGAGGCTCCTTGAGCGCCCTGAGGATGAGAGAAGCAGCTGAAGGTACTACCGTGATAGTAGCCTGGCGGTTTTGAATTCGCAGCTGTACCGTGATTTTTAGGCCTTTCCATTCTACAAACGAGAAGGGAAATTCTTTATCGTGTGCTGGTACTTGTGAAACAATCTGTTGCAACTGGAGACTAAATGGGGTACTCAATGGGAAGGGAATAAGGAGTGAAGTGTAGGGTCAATACACAGTAATAGATCTATTATTGCTTTTATAAGTTAAAGTCCTTACCTGATGTGGCCTTGGCGATGTCATCGCCGATTTTCTTGGGCGATAGGCCGAGGGGGCCGATTTTGGGGGCTAATGAAGAAGTGGCCCCTACTTCGCCCCCTACGCATCTTAGTTTTACGTGTTTTACCTCGGTGGGGTCGAATTTGGGAGGCATTTCGGTGAAGGGTTATTCAGAAATTGATGAGATTGTCAAATAATTTCTATGAATGTCATTTTTCGTGTGACGGGTAGAGCGGATTTGTGCGAGAGTTATTCACTTTTTTCTAATAGAAATTAATAGATGAGGTAGTAAATAGAAAGTTTAGGAAAAGATAGGCATAAAGTACAATTCACTACGCTCAGATACGCTCAAAAATCAAAACTACAACCACCTTTTTGCGCAGAAATTAAAGTTTATTATTGGAAAAAAATTATCCTTAGTTATCTATCACAATTTTAGAATTACTCGAACGAATTTTCTTATTACTTTCCATACAGACGAATTAAAAAATATACATATAGTTGTTACAGAATCAGTCGATTATAGAATATCTATTGTTAAAAAATCTTGAAATAAGGAGAGATTTTTATTGTATTTCTATCATGATCTCTCCTTATTATGACTCAACAGATATACAGATAAGTGCAAATTTGCAATATGCTCTATAGGTGCAACAAAGACTTCCAACTTCCATTAGATAAAAGAAAAAGAATGATATTTCAATCTTCTCACTCTAACCACTGTTATTTTAATACCCCTTCTTTGTCCAACTCATAGAATCAACCGTATTGCAAACATATTTGCACTTATCTGTATAAAGACATTAAATCTCCATTAAACAGAGTTACAGTAGCGATATAGTAAATTTAATTATCACAAAATATGTTTCCGTTAAGCGTACAGAAACATTACAATGATTAATGCTAAAGGAATTTATGTCGTATTACTCGTATTGCTGGTAGTTTCTGGTTGGGGCTCCACCACTTTGAGGCAAGCATCGGAGAATTCCACGAATAGGGGCTCCTGCATGGCCTTTTGCATCATTTCATCGGCGTTTTCGTCTTTATCGATGGTGGTTAGGAGATTCCGTAAATGGCTATTCGATAATAGTGAGTTGATTTCTTCGCTTGTACCTGCGATGATTGGGGTATTAGGAGGGTTCTAACGGTTGCTTAGGGTTGACTTACTCAATAACTTAAGCTTATCATCGGGTACTGTGGATTCGGTGATGAGTGGTTCGAGTTTTCTCTTTTTAACGATTAGATTTTCGGCTTCAGTCTGTTCGTCTCTCTGAATTACGTCGCATTTGTTTTGCCTGTGTTTTTTACAACATGTAACAGAACAGCTGAAAAATGCATTAAAATTAAGTGGTTTTTATAGTTAATGAGTAGAAAGTATACTTACTAATATATTAAACATGTTGGGCATTTGTACCTAGCTTCCTTTTGGCAAATATCGCAAATTTTATTCATACTCTTCTCTCTAAGCGCTTCGGTAATACGGCTAATGGTTACGTTATGGGAATAATTGGTAAAAATAATGTAAAACTAACAAAATAACCTCTATAAACTAATTCCTCATTGAAATTAAAAATCAAAACAATTAACTGACAACTGACAGATTGTCAAAACACGAGGTAAATGTCATTGAACTTGGATCCCACATTAGTGGAATTTAATTATGGTAGCGCAATTTTTGACATCGACGTAGAGCGTTTTTTTTCGAAATAACTGTAATTATACAATGCTATTAGTTCAGAGTAAATAGTTTGTTAATTGTTTAAATGATAAACTTCGAAAAATAAAAAATAAACTTGATTATTCGTAATTTTTCCTGCTTTTATATCGTTACCTTGTGGAAATAATTAGCAAAATGATACATACACTTCAAATTACTAGTGACATCTATTGGAAATAGTTTTAAATGTTAAGTTTATTGAAAATTGTGTCAAAAACTAGATAGCGCTGCGAAATTCAAGAAAAACCAGCGCTATTTTCGAATTAAAAAACTTTTGTGAAAATTACTTGCAATATGTCGGTCATTTTTAATATAAAAAGTGTATAAACTTGTGTAAACTTTACATTCTGGGTAAGTTATATTATAACAGTTTTTCCAGATATTCTAAGAAATTTAATATAAAAATAACTTAATTTTATTTTTTGCAGAAGTTATTTTTCAATAAATTTAATTCAAAGTCAGGTTCATTTGATACCTGTAGTAGTTGACTAGAATCTAGTCACTATATATACAATCATATATCGACTAGGGCTAGGGTATTAAGTACTAGCATAAATCTAGTCTATAATCTAGAATAGTAGTAGACCAGTTCAGTTAGAAACCCTTCTTTATGAATGAAAACTACAGACTATCATTTCATTCGAATGAAACATTTTTTACAACTAATTTACACTCTACAAACTAATTCGTAATAAATCGTCTGGGATAGAGTCTGCATACCCATCCTGTATAAGAATCAATGATAAGTGCAATGACCACAGGAAGTTTCCCCACCCACACGCAACTTCCCTTTTAGGCGCCAGACCATTCCGTTCCACCATTAGCATTTTTGTTTCTGTTCGTCCACCACCCGGCTTTACAGCGCTGTAATTTCGACACGGGGCCTTCGGAAAACCGCGCTATATTTTCGTGATAAAGATGATTCACCCTATCGCACAATCACAATACATCATCGTGTTTGTCAGCTTTTGTTTCATGTTTACGAGGATGTTACTGTATATTGCATGGAGGGCACGGTACGGTGATAATGATAGGTGTTCGAATTGGAATTATTTTTTTCAGGGTGGAAGGTTTCGGTATATTAGACACACCTCGATTTTAACGAACGGATGTAAATTTTGGACGCCTAAGGGACTAGAGATTTTAATCCTATAGGTAAATTCATCGCCAGAATTTTTATTTACACCAAGAAATATTTTCTACTTTACTCTTTCTACTCTCTACGACCCTCGCTCTCTTTACTCTCTGCTCTCTTCTCTCTGCACTCTACTCTCTTTACACTCTACTCTCTGTACTTTTCTCTCTGCTCTTTTTCCTCTCTACTCTTTGCTTACTCTACTCTGTACTCTCTTCTCTCTGCTCTCTTTACTCTCTACTCTTCGCTCACTTTTCTCTCTACTCTCTGCTCTCTTTACACTCTACTCTCTGTACTTTTCTCTCTGCTCTTTTTCCTCTCTACTCTTTGCTCACTCTACTCTGTACTCTCTTCTCTCTGCTCTTCATAGATTATTATCTACACAGGTTCATAAAATTAAAATTAAGTAAAAAAAAATAGGAAAATCGTGTGCACTTCTACCTCAAGGGTAATATCATCATCTCGTTATCTTCGACTGAATAACGCAAATAATCCTTGCAGTGTGTACGCGGAGTCATTTGGATGTGGCGCATTTACATGCGAAAATGAACGGATAATTAGATAATCAAAGGGTAACTGCTAGCCAATGGCGAGGTAATATTTCGATGTGTTGCGGTAATTTTCGATTTTTCGCGTAGTTTCCGATAGGCAAAAATTTTACTGCGAGGAAAGATGAGTATATTTAACGCTACGTGATTTTATGGCCGGCGTGGGGATAATTTTCTTGTGCAACAGAAACGCGTTTGTTATTATTACCAAACGCCTCGAGTCGTGGGGATGCGCCCCCGTTTTGAAATAAATTCAATTTAATTTTAGAAGCCTTAGAAATATTAAATGCGCTTGGTTTCTTTGCATACTTGTATACAAGGTATACCTTCTAATAATTATATCTAAAACTTCTCTCATTCATGCGTTGTATAAAACAGTCATTTTTCTCATTTCTCGGAATATAACCTAATAAATTATTTGTCCCGGATATCAAATACATGAATCACAAATCGGTACATTATATTTTCGTTTAAATCATGCATTAAATTATAGCTACATGCGATTCGGCCCAACAAATTCGAGATTATCTATATCGTACACGTTCCGGCGCCAGCCTTAAAAGGCTCTAAGATAGATAAAGTACTTCAATTATTATTTAATAAGACACTTCTTTATCCAGTTGTAATAATATGAAACATTTTACGAATTGATTTATTTATTAATAGACAAGTAAAATGTTACAATCGAATTTGTAGCAATTAATTGATTGATTAGGTTACGGGAGTACAATTTGCATACGTGTCAATTGTACCGTTAAGAAACTCGTTAAACAAGGATACGTGCTTTACGTATTTATTTCTCTCGTACATACGTTATATGGTTTATGCAATTCTCCCTTATAAGGTTGATTTTAAAGGTCACTTTCATTTTCCATATCCAGTTTTAGACGCAAACAACTCGGCATCGGCTTTTATTAGGCTCGATATATTATTCACTCTACTTTCGTTTAAATTTAAATCGATTGAAATGAATTTATACGTTGCTATATAAAATGATTTTATTTAATTATTAATTAAATTGGTTTAACCATGTGCACTTTAATTGCCGATGCGGCGAATGGTGCATTCGTCGTTTTATTTTTACAATTTTAATTTCTTTTATTAAGATTAAAATTCTTATTCGTTGTGAATCGTGGAAATCAAATTTTAATGGGCCCATCTGCTGTACAAAACACGTTTGTAATTACTGTTAGATACTTAAAAAATCGTTTATTAGTCATGCAATACAACACGAATATTAATATTTATTAATTAATCAATTTATTACACGTTATTCAACCGTAAGAATTTCCGTTTCAATTCGCATGCTTTTAATCAACCGTAAGATTACTTAACGAGTGCACCATAAACGTCCATCTTCACCCCCAAGGATTATTCTTATCCCCGGAAAGTGCCATGACCTAGACGGGGACGGCGTCGTTCGACGTCAGACGTCGGTTTCCACCGTTTGTGGGGTTTTCCCTCTTTCTTTCGGGCCCGCGAGGAAAGCTCAATCGCCCGTAATCTTCTCTCCTTTATTCACAAACATGTCGACGCCGGGGAAATCGATCTGTTGCACTCGGTTGGTCGAAATTAATTCTTGATAGGGATGATAAAAAAATAGGTTTTTATTGAATGGATTAATAATTAGCGCATGAAAATTGTATTGTTATTAATTTGAATCGACTTTTTGTGTGCGATTCAATTTTTAAAATTATTTATTATGTCAATTTTATGAGTTTTTTCGTGTAATATATTATATTTTATGACTTTTTTGAGAAAAAAACGTATTTTAAAATGAAATTAAAATATCCCTGGATCGATCGAAAATATCACTAATAATGAAAGAAAATTATCTAAAATTATGGAAAATTTCTTTCATATATGCATTATTTGTTCATTAAAAAATATCTTCTATAATATCATTAATCAAAACTCCCTTAATTCATAAACTTAAACTGAATTTCTTATTTTAAATCTTTAAATTGCTAAAAAAAATATTTAAAAAACCTTCACAGTTTCTTCTAAAATCATGAAAAATTAATCCTACAAACACCACCTGAAAGATTTTAACAAACTTGAGGAAAAACTCCCTTAATTCGTGCTTAAACTAAATTTCTTGTTTTAAATCTTCAAATTTTTAAAAAATAAACAAAAAACATTCATAATTTCTTCTAAAATCCTGAAAAAACAATCGCACAAATACCACCTGAAAATTTTTAATAAACTTGTGGAAAAAAGCCCTAAATCCGTGCTTAAACTGAATTTCCTATCTTAAATCTTCAAATTTTCAAAAAATAATCAAAAAACATTCATTTCTTCTATATAAAATCCTGAAAAAATAATCCCACAAACACCACCTTATAATTTTTAAGAAACTTGTGGAAAAACTTCCTAAATTCGTGCTTAAACTGAATTTCCTATCTTAAATCTTCAAATTTTCAAAAAATAATTAAAAAACATTCATTTCTTCTACATAAAATTCTGAAAAAATAAACCCACCAAGACCACCTCAAAATTTTTGAAAAACCAAAATCAAAAACCTCGTTTTTTATTTCCAAAAAAAAACTCCCCGAATTAAATCGCTTTCAGCCTCAAGTACAGTCGCCGTGTTCCCTTCCTGAAAATAATGAATCGACTGAAAGCTCAACGGAGAACTTTTCAGCGCTCGCCAAGCCAAGCTAGTCGGTTCGCAAACATCGAGTAGGCTACGCGTCTCGAAGCCTACTGGATCGGTCCTCGCTCCGTTCGCTCGATAACAAAATAACGACACAAACACAAACGCAATCGCTTCCAAACGAAACTCCAAACGCATATCCGATCGCTGCTCGCAAGTCACACTCGAATCGCACGGGAAAACGATGGATAAGGAGAAAGACGCGCTCGGCTTTCCAGCAAACCGCCGTTAGGGAAAAATGGTGCGGTCTCGCGACTTCCTATCCGTATAAAAATGATAATGACGACGGCGTTTTAGCCAGATTTGTTCCGGTCACAATTCGGAATCGTTCGCTGAGAAATTCTATTTTCGATAGTTTCGTCAAAATGTGCTTTTGTGCCGCCGGCGGGTTCTCTGCAGCTTGCAGGAAAAAGCGGAGGTGGTTCCGATGTGCTGTTGTTTCGATTGTGTTTTGTTTTTGTTTGGGCGCCGCCTCAGCGGGAAATCATACGAGGAATAAGCGCGAAAGTTTCACGGAAAGTTTGGTAAGTTTTAGCGGGCGGTTTGATAGCGTTTAAAAACTTTTCATGAAGGTCAAGGCGATTTGAATTTTTGCGACGTTGGCGCATTTTTGTTCGTTAACAAACGTTTTTTTTTTTGGTTGGAAAATATTTTATCTAAGGTGTTAGGTACCCGTCGCAGTTCGGCACTTACGAAATTGTGACTTCGTAACGTTTTTCGTATTTTCTCGAAATATGCGAAACAATAAAAACAATTCATTTATAAAATATGCCGGTTTTTTCGCGAACATTTTCTCTGTTAGGTACTCCTGCTGTAACGAGCATTCCTGCGCAGGTGTACCTATCACTATGAGGCACTTCTATTTTGATTAATGGATAATCTCCGAAAATTTGTGGAAAACTCATTCGCCGGCCTCGTAAAATCTATTTTAATTTCCGATTTTAATCGATCAATACGATCACTTTACTCCATCGAGATATGGATCAATCTCGACGTTACAATGAATCGACAATGAGTTCATTCAACTTTTTATTTATTTTCTTAAGCGCTTCGAACACAAAAGGCAAAATCGATTGTACACATGTGTGTTTTGGTATCGAAATTCACGGCACTGATTATTTTTATATTTTATTAACTCAATCACTAACATCAACAACAATCGTACTTGAACTAACAGTATGAGTACAAATAAAGTGCTTGCAGTATTTTATGAATTTTCAATAGTTTTTTATAAGAAGATCATTAAATTTATTATAAATTACAAATACCTCTTGTGAGGATACCTAAATGATTCTAAATGTAAACGGGGTTCTAGTAGGTGAATTTTGAACAAAATATCTAGCTGAGAGATAATTGTTATCTTCACTACACGCAGTGTCAATGCATTGAATTCAAACTTTTGGGGTTATCTTGATATGTCCCACTTCTACGCGTATTAAATCATACGCTGTATTGTTCCACATCGTTGTACGGGATATCTAAAAATAAATAACTCCAGTCTGTAGATACGCTCATTTCCATCAAGAATTCACCCGCAAGTAGCTCAGATGATTTATTGAAAATATCATCACCTGCACCAGCTCGAGCTTTTTAAATTATCATTAATACTACGAAAAGTATACACAATATTTTCTAACAAAAAAAAAATTAAAAAAAATGTCTCCTCCGTGACAATGTTTGCTACATTGCCGTGACCAGGATTCGAACCTGGGTTACCACGGCCACAACGTGGGGTCCTAACCACTAGACGATCACGGCTATCGGAGACGTTGAGCGCTTGTTTCTAAAACATGTATATCCGGTACATTTCCACCTGTTGATCTATTATACGAGGGCATGTCAAAAAATAGTTACCGCTCAAATATTTTTGAATCAACAAAATAAATTATTCATATACAAATAATATATATTTATAATAAGTGAATAAACGCATTTTTTCATAATAATTTGATTCATTAAATAATTATTAAATAAATTAAATATTTCATTTTCTTCTCAATAACAAAAATAGTCTATTATCGTGTTTAACAAGAGCGCTAGTACCCTTTTGTAACGGCACAATGCGCGTGCAATAGAATATTTTACGAACAATCTGCGTACTTTATGTAGGTTACCGGTGATTCACAATAGTTCGAAGTGCCATTGTGCAAAAGTGTTAAACTGTTACAAGTCATAGGCAATACCATTTAGGATCGGTATGAGTAAGTTTATGCTATCAATGAAATTTCAAATAAGGATTTAGAGATGTTTTAAAGTTCAGTTGGCGTAGGAGATTGTTTTTATGATTTCCTTGTTCAATGTTTTCATCAGTAAAATCATTATTTTAGAAACAAAACCAGCAGTGCTAATTTTATCGTATAAATAAGTGTACTAGAACAATTGTTTGCTTAAAATCACAAAAAGAAACAATTTAATAAAGTATCCTTTCATAATGAATCACAAACAAACACAAGCTTCCATTGAAAACCTTTTATAAGTGTTTTTTATCTTTCCTCCGTATTATTTTTAAAAGAAATATCCTGTACATCGTGTACATCCTGAACATTTCCGTTTTACTCCACATTGCATTAGCAATGCTCTCGCAGGAACTCGCATATTTCGACATTTTAGTGAATCCCTGCCTTTCTAAATACGCAAAACATTTTTCGATGAGTAAACGTTATACCTGGAACATATTTGCAAGAACGAAGATTTACTTTTTCACCGCAATCACATTAAATGAGATGACTCAAACGGCTGATTTTCGATCGAAACTCCCTCGTATTGATCAGTCATCACCAAGATTTGCGGTTATTTTTTTTAATATCAGAAAAATACACACTCTTGAAAGCAGATATCTTGAACGAAACAATATCTTTTTTTAGACCAATCCCTCGAACCCTTAAGGCCATAAAATCGGCTCGAAGAAGTAATTTGTTTAGGGGACCTTCTCCATTAACCCTTTAACCTCTTTTCTATGAACATCGTTCTTTGTGCGACAGGAAGTAATAAACTCTCTTTATTAGCTACTAATCATTCCATTTAACTTAAAAGCTCGCGATACGTATAATTAACTTCATATGCATTTACTGTGTGTGCAATAATGACTACCTTAGTGTGACTCGAGTTGAAAAACGTGTAGTACTTTGTGGCATAGAATCATACAATTTAATCATTACGCGTTTTCATGAAGATAAACCTGATAAAAAAGCGTGTATAGGAAGTGAAAGAATTCGAGGTAATTTTACACCGGCTTTTGTCTCTTTTATAAATATAAAATAAAGCACAATAACAAGCAAGTCATTTTTGTGCGTGCATAAAGGTATTTGGCTGACATTCAAAAATATTTCTGGACAATTTCTTTTAATTCGAACAGTCCAAGAGCAGGCTTCTTCCTAGTAGACCTGCCTAAATTTATCTCCTACACACAACTTATTAGATTCCAATAATTTACACCGTTTACACTAGTCAGTTTAGAGTAGACGAATAGTACAGACAATTGACCTATTTTCGCGTCTAATAACGTTAATGAGACGCCTTTTTAATGTATCACAGATCAATTTCGAGAGCGAGATACCAGATGTCGAGGTTCGACTGTATTTATTTTTATAGTACCAATCATGGATGTAAAATGCTACTGCCTCTACGAGCATTGTGTGTGGCCCACGTTAAATTGAGCAATTGAGGAATCGTAGACAACACTTCGACTGTACTTGTGCAAGTTTAGCATGAAACGAAACGGTCACAGTTTGTATTTCGTTGGATTCTAATTTCGTGTGGCTCAATTATTTCGCCCGAAGTGCAGCAATTTGATGTTTTTATCCCGCTTCAAAGGCCGAATGTGCATCCATTGTTTGATATTAAGTCTATTAGCATATTCTGGTACTGCAAGGGAGAACAATAGGTAGACAAACGTGGCAATCATTCACGAAAAACCTGCTTGATATGCACAGGAGATGCGTATTTTTTTTTTGATAACCACCATCAGAATATCCGGATAGGAACGTGTTGGCATATCTATATCCGTTGGGGTACGAAATGAATTTTCATTAAGCCGAATTCGTGAGATACAGTATATTGTAAAGAACTCGTATTATTAACCCACATTTCTGTGCGTGTACTCAAAACAATTCGACCTTCAACGTGCTTATTATCTACTGAGAATAAAGAGCTTTTTAACGATAATTTTCTTAAAAAAATGTGGGTGTAATGTGATAATGGTAATACTCCTCTCGCATGCATCTTTTTGAGTTGTACATTTCAACATAGTAGATTTTTTTTTATAAAATATGCAATGGTTATAAATTTGCAATTATTCACATTCGTATAAATTATTGTGCTTATATGCGAGACGTTCTGTCTGGGCTGCATTAACGCTCGTGGGTGGAAATAAATTGGAAGAAGAGCCACCTCCGTTTAAGGATATTGCCTTTTTCGTCCATTGCTCGTAAAAAACCAGCGACGGTATTAAATACAGACAAATGATGCTTTAAATTGTTGTTGAAATGTCTAACAATCAACTCGATACAAAAAAACAAACTGATTCTTTTTTAGAGTTAAATATATGGTATATTTGTGTAAGCGAAAATTTTAGAGAATCAAAATCATTAATAACGTAAATTTTCTTACTTTCATTGACGTTTCATTACCATAGAAATAACAATGTTGAATAATGAAACTCAAAAATGTCATTAGCGGTCTCACTATCTACAGGATGTTGACTCTATATAAATAAAAACCACGCATAATAAAAATTGAATTAATTAAATGTCTTTTTTTAGATGAAGCGGATACTAATTGCACGTAATTATGCACCTTTTTGAATCATCGGAATTCATGAATATAAGTAATGAATTTTGTATGAAAAACTGGGCAGGACCCAGGCCCTACCCTAACGGAGCAATTCGTTAATTTTCCCTTCGAAAAGCTTCGTTAATTCATTTTTTATGATGAGAATTCTGTTCGTTTTTATGTAGCAAATTTGTTACAATTTTCTTGCCACCCGATCGACCGCCGGGCGAATATTAAAAAGCGATTAAACGGTTAAAAGAGTAGGTATAGCGTCTGGCAATCCCATTCATCGATCTTTATTGCCCATCGTCCAACCTTAGATTCTTGACCCTGTTTCCGTGAACCCGCGCAATCCTCGCCCGAGCACCATCCGGTTGGGTCCCGAAAAAAAGGAAAATACCGTCCAGATTGGGAGTCGAAAACAACTTAATACGATGCGAAAATAGATTTAAACCGACGACGAACATCCCATGCAGAAGGTCAATTTCGACGACTAAATTGCCGGTCGACGGAAATGTAATTCAAATTTTCGTAATTGCCGTCGTCGCGTTCTGTTCACCCCTGAACCGCGAAAGTTCATTTTTATTTGCCCGGCTAATTCCGAATTGTTAAATAAATTGATGTAGCACAATTCGATACATCTTAAAATTCAATTCTCTAAAACATTGTGAGAAATAAACACATTGTTAAGGCATTCTGTGTTAAAAAGTAAATGAACTCTTAAAGAAAATAAATAACAGCGCATTTATTATAT